CCAACAAATGCAATGAGCTTACGCTTGATTGCTCATATTAATGTAACATGTTGAATGATGGAAAACGCCGTTTCAATTGCCAACAACATGAAGAATCCATCACTGAGTCGATTACATGCAGCCATGATGATGTCGTTGTTTGAGATGATGAAAGCACCCCTTTTAAAAGTACACATTCCACTCTCCTTTTTCTTTCTTATTATTGCTGGCTTTAGTAATACAAGTTGTCCTGCTATGCTTTGGCTATCCAATGAACGCAACAGCATTCAAATTGGATGCGATCTGGATGAGATAGCGATCGTGGCAATTAACTCGTACGATACCATTACGCCTGAGTGCTTATAATAATGTCATCGGGTGAATGATGAAAAACGTCGTTTCAATTGCCAGCAACATGAAGAATCCATCACCGAGACGACTACATGTAGCCATGATAATGTTGTTGATGCGATGATGAAAGCATGCCCCTTTAAAAGTAGACACTTGATCCTTCTTTTTGTTCTCATTATTGCTCGCTGTAGCAATACAAGTTGTCCTGCTATGCACTGGCTATCCAATGAGTCCACCAGCATACGAATCGGATGCGATCTGGATGAGATAGCGATTGTCCCAATTAAACATATGCGATGCCATTACGCCTGATTGCTCATATTAATGTAAATGCTGGATGATGGAAAACGTCATTTCAATCAACAGCAAATACAAAGAAGCTACCACTGAGACGATTACATACAGCATTCATGATGTTGTTGTTGCTGTGATGATAAATGCGGCTAATCCCACACGTTCATTTTACTCTTCTTTTTCTTGTCATTCTCACCCGCTGTAGCAATACAAGTTATCCTGCTATGCTTGGGCTATCCAATGAACGCAACAGCATTCAAATTGGACGCTATCCCAATGAGATCTCGATCATACAACGCCATTACACCTGATATCCCATATAAATGCCATGCTTTGAATGATGGAAAATGTCGTTTCAATTGCCAGCAATATCGAGAATCCATCAGTGAGTCGATTTCATGCAGCCATGACGATGTTGCTGTGATGGAAAAAAGAGATCCATACTTGCACTCATCCTCCTTGCCAATGCAATTTTCCGATATCCATTGTGCATCAGCACTCTTCCTTTCTCCAATCATTCACGCATAAAACGTATCCCACAAGAGTGTATTGCAAATGATGAATCCATACTATAGATAAACAACTACCTTGCCACGAGACGTTGTTGTCCATTGCTGTTCAAAAAAAGAACGAGCAGCATGAGTGTCTTGTATTCATACGCCCATCCATTTCCAAAGTCATATTACTTCGCCTCTTGTTTGCATGTCTTGCTGGTCATTCATGTAGAAGGAAGGTTCGGATGCACTCCACCATCATGACAAAAAGACTTACCTTGTTCTCTTGCATCATCCAAGTCCTTTACCTTGACAAACAAAAACGTCAACCCTTTCTGTGATTGTATATGCTCTTCATCCATCATCATTTCGCCTGCCAAACACTTTACCTTGTCCATCCAGTATACCCATAGCCAAAGATCGCGTTCGACGTGCTTGTAGAAAAGGATAAACCTGTGCCAATAAATGGAAGGAGTCAAGAGAGCCAAGCGATGACGAGGCTAATGGAAGCTGCTGCAATTGACGTTGAGAGCAATGAGTGTTGCAGTTGGAGCAAGTGGGTGTGTGGTGCCAAAGAAAAGTGTGTATGCTGTCAAAGAAAATAGGCGTGGTAATAGAGTCTGCACTCGCCAAGGGCTTGCAATTCAGTCGAATCGGGTTGGTTCAAAGCAATTGCGGGCTTGGCATGATGGGGAAAAGCAGGGCGATCGTACACAGCTCGTAGATTGGGTTAACATGGTAGAGTTGGACGCGTTGAGAAGCATAATAGAGGAGAAAGAAAATAACCTGCAAGCGGAAGAGGAGCGAATTTGTGGCGAGTGGATCGAAACGATCGGGATCATCCTCAGCATGTTTCCATAGCAGCATGCATCTGCGCCGACTTGTTTCCATAGCAACATGTCGTCATGCCAACATGTATCCATGGCATTTATCTATAGGAGACCGTGAAAGATGTCTGTATGATAATCCGTACGCATGCACCAAGTGATACTGCCATTTGATTGCGGTACCTTGTATCTCCACAGCCATTACTAATGAGCCATGTTGTTATTTCAATAGCAGATGGTGCAAGATGTGTGCTCAATAAAGCCATACGCATTCACATGATGTCCCTGCCATTTGTAAATCCTCTGCAAATCCCTTTGATCCATCCTGGTGGTTATCCCAATAATAGATGTTGTTTATTTGAGAATGCTTTTATGTAGGGCAATAGAGCTGATAGAGAAAGCCAAATCTATGATTCATGTGTGGGTTTCAGGGATAATGATGGGATGCCATACTATGATCGCTTGTGGTTGTTAAAGTGTATGTGTATTATTCAAGCTTTGTCATCCAAACTGCAACGCCAATAAGAGATGCTGTGAGATGGGTGTAGAATAAACCTATGTACATGTACCAGACGATGATGCCGTTTGTATATCCACTGCCAATCTCAAGGATCCAATCCTTGCGTGATCCCAATAACAGGTGTTGCAAGGTCGGTGTATTCAGTGATGTTGTTGTTTTTTATCCAGTGCCAATCCAATGATGCATTCCTTGTTGTAGTGATCCCAATAGAAGGTAGACGCTTTTCGATGTCGTATATCCACTGCTGATCCAATCCTTGTTGTGATCAAAGGAAGAGACGGTCCAAGATAGGTCTATCACATAGCTGCTGCCATTGTCCAAGATAAAGAAAGGCCAGCCTAGAAAATGTAGAAGTAAAACGTATCAATCAAAGAGACCAACAACCGTTCCTGTAGTTCAAGGTGTAAAGAAAAGACTCGTTGGAATGCATGGCCATCTTACCCATTCAATAAAGGAGCGTCCATTTGATTGAGAGCCACTACCATCATTGTAAAACCATCCATCATGTTGTCTTCGAACAAGCAACGCCATCCTTCATTTATTCATTTGAAAAGGGATCGTCTCATCTACCTCATTATCATCAATTACCCACCTTGTTGTCCTCCATCATCCAAGTCTTGCCATCCGTTCCTTTGAAAAAGAAGCGATCCACTCCATCGCCATGATTAAGCGACTCAGCTTCTTGTCTTGCATGAAAGAGTATCATCCTCCAAGTCCTGTCGTCCATTCATTCGAATAAGAATCGGGTCCACTCCATCGCCATGATAAGTCGACCCACCTTGTTGCCTTGTGTTGAGCAATGTATTCCTCCATCCTCCAAGTCCAGTACCTTTAAAAATAAAAGCGTCAGCCTTTTATGTTGCAGTAGATCCTTGTCATCCATCATTATGGCGTCTGCCAAACACTTTACCTTGTCCATCCGGTACATCAATAGCCAAAGAACGCGTTCGAAGTATACTTCTTGTTGCATGTAAAAATGGATAAGCCTGTGTCCAATAAATAGCAAGTTTCAATACGGCCAACAGATGACGAAGGTAATGGAAGCTGCTGCAATCGAGGTTGAGAAGAATAAGTGTTGTAGAAAGGAGCAAGTGGTGGGTGTGTGGTATCAAAGAAAACGTACGTTGTAATAATGTCTGCAGGAAAGTTCACTCGCCATGGGTTGGCATTCAGCGGAATGGGATCGGTTCAAAGCAATTGTGGGCTTGCCGCGATGGGGAAAAGCAGGTCAATCGCATACAGCTTGTAGATTTGTCGCACATGGTATAGCTGGACGTATTGAGAAGCGTAGTGGAGGAGGGAAAAAATAACCAGCAAGCAGAAGAGGAGCGGATTTTTATCGCGTTGACACTCAGGGGCATTCAACGGCGTGGTTCTAATCTTCAATCCCGGATGGAAGATTCAAATGCCGCCCTTGCCACACACCTATGTACGTCCTCGACCAAGCTCTCATTTTATTACTGCAACCAGGTAACAACACGATCACCCTTCCCAGGTCGTCTACAAACGTTTGATTTTTTTATTATCATTGCTCTTTACATTACATGTTTGCAAATAGAAACGCTCGACAAACACATCATCCATATATAAAAGGTATCCCATACCCACATGTACGCACTCCAGATGATGTTCCTGCAGCCTCATTTATTCATTTGAAAATGAATCGTCTCGTCTACCTCATCATCATCAATTGACCCACCTTGGTGTCCTCCATATCTAATTCATGCCATCGATTCCTTTGAAAAAGAAGCGATCCAAACCATCTCGGTGATAAAGCGACTCGTCTTGTCTTGCATGAAACGATGCCATCCTTCAAGTCCTGTCATCCGCTCATGTAAAAAGAATCGGATCCGCTCCATCATCATGATAAAAAGTGTCCCCTTGTTGTGTTGCATCAAGCCATGTCATCCTTCATTCATCTCATTCACCTTGTCAAATAAAAGAGTGAGCCCTTTCTGTTGTCGTAGATCCTTTCCTCCATCATCATGGCGTCTACCAAACACTTTACCTTGTCCATCCAGTATACCCATAGCGAAAGAACGCGTTCGACGTATACTTCTTGTTGAGTGTAGAAAAGGATAAGCCTGTGTCCAATAAATAGCAAGATTCAATCGGCCAACAGATGACCAAGCTAATGGAAGCTGCTGCAATCGAGGTTGAGAAGAATGAGTATTGTAGAAAAGAGCAAGTGGGGGTGTGGTGTCAAAGAAAGGTGTGTTGTAATAGTGTCTGAAGCGAAGCTCATTCGCCATGGGCTTGCCATCGGGTCAGTTGGAAGCAATCGTGGACTTGGCATGATGGAGAGAAGCAAGTGAATCGTATACAGCTTGTCGATCGGTGGAACATGATAAGGTTGGACGTGTTGAAGTTTGAGTGGGAAGAGTAGACGTGAAAGAGAAAGAGAGGCACCGAAAGAACACTGCTGCGACCAACAGCGTGTTACACGTGTCACCAGTGTTTTGCTGCAACAATGCAACAACAAAATCATCATCACAGTCGTTTAAAAAGGCCATTCTTTGCTCCTGATAGTAGCCTTCAACGTTTATTCAGAACCTTATACCACTCGTGGTACACTTCGCCAATATTTTTAACTTTACGTAAATCGATTTCGTCTGCAAGATCAATCCATCTTCCATCACGCGGAACTAAATCATCCAACTGTGATAAGAAATGGCGCCAAACGTCATTGGGATCCTCCATCCTTGGGATTTTGATCCGCAACATCCCCAGCACACCATAGACATAATCCACTGGATCATAACATCGTCGCTTGGATCCACTCAATGACCACACTGCCCTTTCAAATCTGCCTCGAAAGTCGATACCGCTGATACGGTAAGAGTTGGATGTCTTAGCAGCCTTTATGTCTGAAAGACATAAACGAACTTCATAAAATGCATCTGCTGGCTAACTGGTTATCAGTGTGATCAATATCAATTTATGCATACGATGTAACGTACCGTTTTGTTTGTCGAAGTCAACATGATAATACGTCATACTCGAAATTTTAGACGCTGTCATTATGTCCAGCGTTAAAGAGTTGGTTTGAAATCGGTGAATATCTGTTTCAGCAATATAGCGCACGTCTCCTACAGGTAGAGCCATCTCCTGCCAAGTCCATACACGTTGCCACCATTCGCTTTGGAAAAATGTATGCAAGTGTTCAACCAATAGGGAGCATTTGGGTTGACACAACTCCTTGTATGTTGACCATTCTATCTCTTCTCTGTATGCTAATTTCTCGAGTGCTGCTAGCTCATCCACCGCTGTATGAATTTCAGATATCAGGTTCGGCTCACAATCGATCATCGCAATACATTCAAGGCAATAAGCATAGATATCTCCCATGATATCCAAGGGTGTATCAAAACGTGCACACAAGACGTCGATCCACCAATAACTATCAGGGTGATCTTTGAGTAGTGCTAGTAATGCATCGCGTTTCTCAGGTCGCATGGACACAGGCTTCACTGGTTGTCCTTCCTCGTCATCCACGTAGTCGCTGATTTGATTCCACTCGTATAGGTTGTCTTTTGTGAGTCCCCAAAGGTGTGATAACGCATAATAAAACGATGGAACGCGTTTTGCTTCATTGATCTTTTTGATCATGCGTTTGCGATGATATGAGTCATTAGCAGGTCGTATAATTTGCATCCTGTCCCCATCTTCAGGTACATAGAGCAGCAAGAAAAATGGGTCGGCTAAGAGTGTGCGAAGGCCTTTTTCGAAGTACGCTTTTTTGTTGCTGTCCGAGTCATCCTCTAAGTTTATATTGATCTAAACAAAACCTTATGAATAACATTTCAAGTGTATGGTGTCTTTTGCGCATGTAGATACTTTGTATGGGTCGTTATCGTCCTCTATATCGCATGTCATGTCAAAAATTGAGAAAAAAAAAAGGGGTGTGAAAACTGAAAATGATGTCCAGTGTGGCGTTATTCGTAGTCTTGACGCCCTAGGTGTTGTGTCACATTGTACGAGATGTCAGCAATCCCTTTGAGTAGTAAAATGAACATTGCCATGTATGATCAAATACCGAGTTATGTTGATCTTCATGATCCCACCAAGAATACCATGAAAGCTATGCAGAGTTACACGATTGTTGAAAACCTGAAAATACTTAGGAACTTTGTGCTTGAAAGAGTACAATTACATAGTGTTGACCAAGGGGTTCCATCTCAGACTTCGGGTGAGGTACCCGCCTTTTCAGTTTGTAATATGGGGTGTACACAACATAGCTTTGCGTCACAAGGAGTAAGGTTTTATTGAGTTTCATATTGCAAAAACTATTATAAAACGTCACTGACTAATCGCTACAATACGCTTCGTCACGTCCATCCATAATAGATATTGGCCGCGAAGTGAACCCATATGACATAAGCGTGCCCACAAGATAAGGAGTATTCTCCTGAATCTGATATAGTACACTGATTCCGATCCCAATCTTCGTTATTTATCCTATTTCTCTCAATCCAACAACGTAGCAATCATACGAAGCATCATGCTCCCGCCCTTTACATAATCAACTGCGTTGTAGTGAAAAATAATAGACATCTTGAAAACCAAACATGTGACCCACATTATCAAGCGTGCGTTCATGAAGATGCAGTAGGCGTCAAACATTTTAGCATGATGGATTCCACAAGTATATTCATTAAACAAGAAAACGCTGATAAATGCAATGTTTCTAATGTATGCCACTATGTCCTTAATCCATTCGGTATTGATCATTGTCGACGTCCATCATAAGACTGGTAGATGTCATCGTAGAAGGTGCCGTTCATGGTTGGCAAGCTTCATAAGACAAAAGCAGTGATACTGTAGCACATCATCGAAGCCCTTCTCATCCAATCATGCAGTGATCCCTGAGTGATTCGCAATGTGATCCTGGCAGCCCATAATAATCATAGAATCCGTGCTGATCCGCAGCTTTGTATCCAGGTGATTGGGATAAACATGCGAAGCCAGAAATACGATCCCCTTCTTGCAGATGGTGTCGATGGAGTGGGCATGATAGAGCAGCTGAATCATGGGATGGCATGTTTTCATATCGAGGCCTTGCGCTGGAGCTTGAGTGGTATGTATAATCCATAGCTGGATATGCGTGATGATACCTCACCAAATGACGCTGTTGTAAACGATATCCATTGATGTCATTCTTTAGCCTGCTGCTTATAGCACACACGCTCTCCTTGCCCTTACCTTTGGGAAGCTTGCAATGACGGATACATGACTTGTGTTTGCGGTGATAAGTCGTTGAACGATACTAGTTGTTCGTTGGCATGGAGATCAATCATGCTGTTGTGCGTGGCAACCACCACAATCGAAAAGAGGCCTTTAACATCTTGCTTGCAGTCCACATGATTTGATTGTTCTTACCTGCATGAACCATGTAACTCCTTGCGTGGAAAATGAACCACTCAACCACAACCTTGATGTATGCTGATCACTCATATAAAGGCGTCGAGAAAAGACGGGTATTCCTGCATGCAAACGTTCATTTCCAGGTGCCATCCAATTCCTTTGTTGTCATAGTCTCATTCTCCTTGCAGATGTAATCGTAAAGGTTGTAATAAGATAGCCGCTGGTTGGATGCGAGGATGTTGTTGGGAAAGATGCCGTCAAAACCATCCTTTAAAGAATATACTTTTTCAGTACTTTTGAATACCCATGCTTGCCCTATCCACAACGTACATTGTCGCCATTCTTATATGCAACACTGAAAGCTGTGCTTCGATATTGGATATTGTGTGTCTGCTGTTGGTTGACGTGCTGACGCATCCTTTTCCATATAATAGCGTCCACGATCTCGACATTGGTACTCTAAACAAGAGCAGAGAGGTGACGCGTTGTTTGTTGCGGCCATAAGTTTCATAATGAGCGTGCCTGGTGGTTGTAGAAGGAGGCAGACGTTGTACAACTGGAAATCGACCATAAAAGAAATGAGGCGTTGTAGCAATTTGCTTCTATCATTGGAATAAACAAGGTTGTTGGTGAACGCGAATAGGAAAGCGTTGACTCATTGTGATAACGAAAAAGGGGAGAGAGCGAAAGAAAAAGAGAGAGAGAGAAGGACACTGAGAAAAGGAAAAGAGGACCAACCTTTTCTTCTTCCCGCTCACTCCCATTCACAAACCCAAGCTTACCACAACGACAACCTGCATTCAACCCACTGCACACCAACCGACAATGCCCAACTCTTCTCTCTCCATAACAAGACATGGCAACCGTGGTCAATGGCAACAGCAATGACAATCCCTTACGCATCAGTAGACACGCAAAGACATTGCACGAGTGAGTTCAAGTTACAAGCAATCCGTGTTTACAACAAACGAATACTAACACAAGGTGGAAAAGACTGTAGGTCTGATACAAGGATATACAAGGTTTCTTCTCTCTGGCACTGGTGAGCAAGGTACCGTCTTTGGTCATACTTTGGACAATCAATACGGTTGACAAAGGGATCAATATAGTTCTTAGGACACGAGGATCATGGAGATGATGTTGATTGCTATTGCTTTTACAAGTCATCCAGGTAACTTTCATGGCTATGGTGATGATGATATGATGTGATGGGAATGCTGACAGGATTCCTGCATACAGAAAAACGAGCAAGCTGTTTCGGATGCTGTCATGGCTAGGACTACAAGGTATGTACTATGTCCTATGAGTGTGAATGAGAGGCAATACTAGGTTGCTGATCCAATACAATTCTTGTGATCCATCGTCATTGTGGTACAGGAACGATTAGCAAGACTGAACAATACCGAGAAAGCACTTTACGATGCAATCATCAACAAGACGAGATCCAGCATGATCGTTCACACCTTTGATTTCACTCGACTTTCAACAATCACATCTTGATACATTATGGATGATCACGAGAGACCTTTCTATCGGCATGATCATGCCAGCAAGTGGATTCAATGGCTATGGACGTGTATACGCGATGCAAAGGATAGCGAGGAAGATGGGAGATGTATCACGTGCCATTGTGGAACATGCAAGATCGCTTGTTTATGCAGCTGGGACAAGGGAAATTCCGATCATCCGACATTGATTGTATCACCAAGCACAATGAAACACCCTCAACTTTTTGCTCATGTCATGGTTCATTCACATTGTGTAAGTGTCTGTTATCACCAGGAATTGATGACATCGATGGATACTAATTATATGAAAACATAGGACGGCCTCAGAAAAGATATATATCCAACATCTCCTTTATCCAATTCTCCTCGATGCATTCGTTTGGCATTGACTTGGGGGTGCAATGGATTTGACTTTCGGATCGAACACGACAACGTGAACACTTTTCCAACAGGCAAGTGATTGGAATGTCACTTTTGCTTCCTATCAAGTCGAATTGCAGGAATGCTATGGTCATCATTACCCGGTGTTATGCAACAAGGCGGCCTCCACAGGTACGTATTCTTTATTGGTGATGTTGATGATTTTCTGATTACATGGTTTATGGCCTCATTCTTCATCATGGATCCAGGTTGCTGCGATTGATTGACAAGTCTGCGCTTATCATGTTGATGGGACTATCCAAAACGTGGCATTGTCTCATTTCTCTACTGCTTCCTCAGGTATTTGCTTTCATGTATGTCGTGATTTGTCGTCGTCGTATTAACACTACCCCTTCATAGTCTTCACACAGTCCCTGGTTGATACGCAGCATTCGGCTACGAGGTATGCGGATGGTCCCATTGTATGTACCAGGCACCCATTGTTGATTCTCTTTTACATGGATCTTTGTATCTCGCACATGCTTCTTTACAGCATGGGTTGGCAAGGTAACGACAAGAAAAAAGACACATGATGCAAGTTACAGATAATTTGCTAACATTGTTCATTTGCATTAGAGATAGAACACGACATCTTCATTTACATGGGTCATCCTATACGAGTCTCGAGCAGCAGCAGCAAAGTGGACATCGAGGAAGAGAGCTATTGGAAGTCTCCAAGCGCTCTTGAGTTGGCCGTATTATCCAGGTGATGTTGTCATTTGTATATCCTGCCAATCGTTATCCCAAAAAGGGACGGTCCATGGTGCAGCAAGGTGTCTGCATAATGAATCCATACGCGTGTACATGATGATGATGCCATTTGTATACCCACTGCCACTATCCATGATCGATCCCTTTTTCTTATCCGGAAAAGAGCCATGTAAAACTGATGATGGAAGATGTCGTTGTTTAAAAAGGTGCGCTGTGCATGATTTTGGCGTATCGTATCTTTTCTTTCTTTTGGACCAAGGCAACCAGCGACATGGCGACACAGCTTGTTGGATCAAGGCACTCATTCTGAACAAGGCATTCATCGTGAACAAGGTACAAGGCACAAGGAACTCACTGTGGACAAGGACAAGACTCGTTTCAATAAGGTACTCGGTTTACCCATGGCACTCGATCTTGGACACAATGGGTACTGACAATGGCCCGCATCTCAAGGCAACAAGATAGCAGCAATGAGACACGACAAGCACGGCGTCTTCTCACACAAGTCGAGTGCAGCAAACATGAGGATACAAAGCAAGTGGCTGTTTGTGATATACAGTATACGTGTTGCTGATGGTATTTTTGATAGCTTATGGATCATTCAGCAAGGCTTCAGCAAAGGAAAACGGCAGCAAGTGTGGGCACATCTTCAACGTGGGCTCGTTCATGGCATTCAAATTCTCAGGTATGTCGCTTGTGAGGGTGTGCAAAATCATCATACTCATTCATCTGGTACATAGCAAGAGGATCTTTATTCACAACAAGCACAAGTATCTCCTTCTCACTATCTCAATCAGGATTATGGTAAGGATGCGGAGGATATGGGAATGGCCTTGTCTCTTACATGGATGGTGTACGCTTTCATTTCAGCACGAGGATACGTATGGGGTGGATGGTACAGCAACTGAACAAAGCGTTGGGGGATGGATTAGTATGCCACAAAGACAATTTTAAAGGCAAGTACAATGGCAGGACACGAACACACAGGCAATGTACTGACATGGTGCTTCCAGTGAACTCCTTTCCATGCTTACCAATGACCTCAATCGGTGACCAAGCACTCGTCTATGCGTGTTGTTGATACACACACCATCTGGCTATCATTTACTATCACGGCATCAGCACTACATCCATGGTCAAGGATCAGGAGGGCGAACAACGGCTTCATGGATGGATCTGGTACAAATGATCGATATCAAGGATATACTTTCAGGCATGGATACCATGACAACGGTTATGACACAACACAACATGGTTGCCATGATACAACAACAAAAGAACCAACATGCGGTATGTACCCTCTCTTGCGGTGAATGGGAATGGTTATTGATTGGGACTCCTCTAGTAGGATCACACATACACATATATAAACAACACAACATCCATGCAGCGTATGGGTACAAGGTCAAGGATTGGATTGGTAAGAGTGGGTGTACAACGTGAGCAAGAACAGAGGATTGATGCTCTACCTTTTCCTAGGACCTACAAGCGTTCATCATTTTCATCACGAGCTTCAAGGATCACTGCACAGCATCATCAACCACGCTCACCTCTAGATCAACATCACCACACATCAATCATCAGCATCATAGCTTAGACAAAATAGAGAGCATTCGTCACATTTGAAGTATAAATTATTGAAGGATGGAAGCAGATTACTATTATCATTTGTAACAAGAGTATGTGTGAAATGGATGGGGCTCTTAATTTGGCAGTCGAGATTGACGTTGCATATGCACATGCATGACATCATGTCGATCCGCTGCACGATGACACTTGCCACGTGGGATCGTACATACATGGCATCATGTCAACCACCCTTGGATACAGCCACGACTACCAACACGCGTATCACCATGGATACAGCTTTGACTACTAACACGCGTATCACTTTGAATACAGCCATGACTACTGACACATGCATCATCTTGGATACAGCCATGACAACATCACACACATACTACACACGCCCTTTTTATTATCCTTTTTATAAGAAACGCCTGGCCATATACACATCAGCTCTACTATAGGATATTCCATCCATACAACCTTGCCATTGACCACCCGTTGCTGCATATGTTGTTGCCTCAAACGTGCTTCAAGTGACTACTCGTCCTTTTTCCCATACCAGACGTAGCTTCAGGCTATTACAAGCAGACCAAAAATACAGCATTCATAGGTTCACGATTTACTTTCCTTTCCAATCACACACACACACATGCTGTACAAATACATGATGGTGTCCTTTAATACACGTAGCTTACAAAGTAGAATGCGTTATAGATGTAATAAAAGCAAAGATTATCGTAACTCGCTCAAATCGGGTCAATTTTGAAATCGGAAAGGACCAGCATGTAGAGCTCATTGCAATGCACGTTTTCATATAAACCTTGCAATGGTGTTTAATTGTATCCCAATGTTATACAGCCTTCAATAGGCTAACTTTGCAGGATTACCACATAGAAACTCATTTCAAGTGTGTATAGTTAGATCTCGTCAAAAGAGTATGAGTTACATTCAACAGGGAGAGGGGTTGACATGTAAAAACTGGAGAGCTGCACGTAATCGCATTGGGGTGACACGGATGCAACTCGTCTTTGATTGACTTACAGCCTAGGATCAAGCGGGAAAACGCTAACTTGGTGAAAACAGCTCTGATCAAGACGTAGTTTTTGCCGTTAGATAGCCCCACCATGACTTCCTATATGAATTTCAAAAATGGGAAGGGGTTAACATGTAAAATAAAGCAAGATGCATGGCGTCGCATTGGAGTGACACACACGACGCAACTTGTGTCACCTCAATCCGGCTCCCTGCATCCTGAACTTTTTTACGAGTGAGCATGTCCCCCTCGAATCACCAGCATGAATGAAATCGTGAGAGCTCTTTGTACATACAAAGAACGCGTTGAAACGATCCAATATGACAAAGATACATGATTGAGCTCCGTGGTCCACTATTAAAAGAAGTCGCATCAATCCATCCCACAAGTGTAGAACGTCTTCCCCTCAAATCATCAGCATGAATCAAATAGCGAGAGCTATTTGTACATACAAAGAACGACCCGATACGATCCAATTTGGCAAAGATACATGATTGAGCATGGTTGGGTTGGCATGGAAACGGTATTTGATTTCAAGCGCGATTGATTTCATCGCCCTGATATTACGCGTTTACATTCATTGACGTATATGTCCCAAGTCACAGTATCTCCCTTTAATCATCAGCATGAATCAAATCGTGAGAGCTATCTGCACACACAAAGACTAACTTGATCCAAGCCGATTTGACCAAGATACATGATAGACATGTGAAAAGTGGTCTTGTTCATATTTGAAAATAGCAACTTCCATGTTGTTAATTGTAATGGATCTATGTACCTATCAGTGAGACTCCATGAAACGATACAAAAAGCTGAGCTTTTTTAGTTGTACAGCATTAGACAGTGGCATCTTTAAATCATCCATAGAACACGATCAACACCTTGTGTCTTTAAGCTCACAATATCAATTTTCACCAGAAACAAAGCATCCCAAACAATAGTCCTTCGTTCTCATACGTGTGATCCATCACCACAATCCCTCGATCCCACTTTCAAAGATGAAAGACATACCATGTATTGTAAATAACCAATCCACATTGCTTTAAGTAGTAACGTCTATCTTTCCACGAGTTGCCATGGATACATTCCAGAAAAATGACCAGCACTTGTACGAGGTACGTAAGCGTGCATCTCTTCCAAGAGCGGTATCACTTGCCTTAACCTTTCAACCTTGGTATGATTGTTCGCCACAAGATGTCGCCATGTTGTTGTGGAATCAACCAGTCGTTTGAAAAAGCGCCATCAAGATAATTCAACTCACTTTGTTGTCCTGCATCAAGCCTCTTCTCCAGGTACTATAATCCATTCATGAGAACAATCACTCACCTTGTTGTCCTGCATCAAGTAACAGCGTCCTCTATAAGTCCATCACCATTAATGAGCCCTTTTTGTTGTAGGATCCTTGTCACCCATCAATATCCAAAAGAAAGCGGTTGACATACACGCCTTGCTTCTTGCTTGTATAAAAGGCCTTAGTTGTGTCCATTGAAAGAACGAGTCGAGTGCACACCTGAAGACGAAGCGAATGGTAGCTATTGCAGCCGAGGTTACGAGGAACGACCGTTGTAGAAAGAAGGTGTATGTTGTACATAATAGGTACTGTAGGAAGGTAACTCGTCATGGGCTTTCCATTGAGTCGAATCGGAATGGACCGAGGGAACGATTGTGCATGAAAACGACTGGAACTTCCACTTTGCTTACCTACTTGTGCAATCATCATCTTCAGCATGCATGTGTGCTAACTTGTTCCCATAGCAACGTGTCATCACGCCAACATGTATCCATGGCATTTATCTATAAGAGACCACGGAAGTTGTCTGTATAATAATCCAATCACGTGTGCAGCAGATGATGCTGCCATTTGATTGCAGTGCCTTGTATCTCCAAAGTCATGTTGTTATCTCAATAGCAGATGGTGTAAGATGTGTGCTCAATAAAGCCATACGCATCCACATGATGACCTTGCCATTTGTAAATCCTCTGCAAATCCCTCTGATCCATCCTTGTAGTTTTTTATATGAGATTGTTTTAATGTATGACAATAGAGCCCCTAAAAGAAAGCTAAGTCTATGATCTATGTGGAAGTTTGAGGGACAATGGAGGATGGCCTTCTATGAGCGTTTGTAGTTGTTGAAGTGCATGTGTATATTTCCAAGGTTTATCATCCAAAGTACAACGCCAATAAAAGATGGTGCAAGATGGCTGTACAATAAATCCATACGTGTGTATCAGGTGGTGCTGCCATTTGTATACCCACTGCCAATTCCATTGATCCAACCTGGTCGCTATCGGAAAAAGAGCAACATGGACGAGGTGATGGCACAAGATGACTGCATGATAAGCCCTTCGCATGTCCCTGATGATGATGCTGCTGTTGTATATATGCAATGACACTCCTTGTAGTGATCCCAATAAGAGGTAGACGCTTTTTGGTGTTGTATATCCACTGCCAATCTCAATGATCCAATCTTTGTCGTCGTCCCAATAACAGGTACTGTCATGTAGGTGTACTCAGTGATGCTGTTGTTGTTTTTTATCCAATGCCAATCCAATGACGCCTCCTTTATGGTGATCCCAATAAGAGGGTAGACGCTGTTCGCTGTAGTATATCCATCACCAATCCAATCCTTATCGTGATCCAAGAAAGAGATGATCCAAGATAGGTTTAGCACAGAGCTGCTGCCATTGTCCAAGATAAAGAAAGGGATCCAGCCTGGTAAAAGTAGAAGTTAGACACATCCAATCGAGGTGACCAACAACCGTTCCTGTAGTACAAGGTGTAATGAAAGATTCATTAAAATACATGGTCATCTTCCCATTCAATAAAGTACCATCCACTTGATTGGGAGCCACCAACACCATTGTAAAATCACACATCGAGTTGTCTTAGAACAAGCAATGCCATCCTTCGTTTATTCGTTTGAAAATGAATCGTCTCATCTCTATCCTTATCATCATCAATTGACCCACCTTGTTGTCCTCCATCACCTAAGCCATGCCTTGCATTCTTTGGAAAGAGAAGCGATCCACTCCATCACCGTGATAAAGCGACTCATCTTGTTGTCGTGCATGAAACAATTGCCATCCTCCCAAGTACCGTCGTCCATTCGTGTGAAAATCGGATCCACTCGATCATCATGTCAAATTGACTCACCTTGTTGTCTTGCGTCAAACAATGCCATCCTGCATCATCCATGTCATATATACCTTGACAAATAAAAGCGTCGGCCCTTCCTCTTGTCATAGATTCTTTTCACCCACCATCCTCGTGCCTGCCAAACACTTTACCTTGTTCACCGAGTACATCCATCCAAAGAATGCGTTTGACGTATACTTCTTGTTGCTCGTAGAAAAGGTCAAGCTCGTGTCCAATAAATAGTAAGATTCAATACAGCCAACAGATGTCGAAACTAATGGAAGCTGCTGCAATTGATGTTGAGAGCAATGAGCGTTGTAGAAAGGAGCAAGTGGGTGTGTGGTGTCATACAAGACGTGTGTTGTAATAGTGTCTGCACTCGCCATGGACCTGCCAATCAGTCGAATGGAGTTGGTTCAAAGCAATTGTGAGCTTGGCATGATGGGGAGAAGCAGGTGATTCGTATACGGTTTGTCGATTGGTTGAACATGGTAGAGTTGGACGCGTCGCGAAGCGTAGTGGAGGAGAGAGAAAATAAGATGGGAGCGGAAGAGGAGCGAGAATTCGGAGGCACTTGATAGCTTTACCACGATGGTCTATATATACAGCATGTCACATGCACCCATTCTTAGTCTCACTCGCTGTATGTAGTAATAAATAGAAGTCGTTCTTTTATATTCGATCTATCCAAATTACAATTCAGCATTCAAATTGGATGCGATTTGGATGAGCTCTTGATCGTAACGCTCATTTACATACATAGCCAATAGGCATGTTGGCTCATATTAATGTCACACCTTGCATGATTGAAAACGTCGTTTCAATTGCCACCAATATGGCAAATCCATCACTGAGCCGATTACAAGCAGCCATCATGATGTTTTGGTTGTGGTGAAAGAAAGATGTACTTGGCTAAGGAATGGGAGGGGAGGTGTAGTTGCGAGCAAAGGATGGATATTCTGGTTAAAGGAATGTTTATTTCTTTGACTTTTAAAGAGTGTTTCTGATATCACCAAACCAAAAGCTTCCATGTTTGGGATAATCCAATGGGAGGTCTCGGCAGCCTCTTTAACATCTCCAATTCTTTCCTCCCAAAATGCTTTATCCTGAGTGAAAGTGTCGATGTCCTTGCATGCCATCTCACCAAGACGACGCCAAGGGAAGTGGAGAGGAAAGAGGAGAACCTCAATACCAAGATGCTTGACCAATGAAATCAAAGCAGTACCAGCCCTCTTGATGATACAATTCCAGTAGTCTTGATTTTCATCGACATGGCTACTTGAAAGGCTCATGCGAATCAATTCCTGATATTCCTTAAATGCCCTTGCAGTGTGCTTTCCAGAGACCTTGATGGTATGAAGCTTGGCCTCCGAAGTCGCAGCAAACATCAAAGAATGTAGCAGTATGGATTGACAATGGATGCTTGTGCTTCACCACAGGCCAGATGTCATCATAGCGCATGGTGGGAAGGCGCCCATTGAGCATGCCAGAGTGCAAGTAGATATCCCTGAACAAGGTAAAGTCCAGCAGACGATGGGTATCTACATGCACTTCTGACACAGGCTCCAACTTGCGCATATACATCTTGACTAAAAAATCAAATTAATAGCAGGTACTTTGAGAATAGGATAATAAAAGATACATACATTTTTTCACCTTGTCTCCCTCTTTTTCAGGCTCCATGGTCCTTTGTTTTTTTGGGCAGCAGGTTGGGATGGTGGTTGCCTGTAATACCTAGCCTTCTTTACAGGAACTGAGGTATCCAAAGGGCCAATGCACACAGGCTCCACTTCATCAGGACCTAGATCAGGCAACATAAAAATGGTGGCTGAAGGAAAGCTATTAAAAAAGGAATAGAAAATAAGCAACAGGTAGCTAAGGAACAAAGCAAAAGCAAGTACCTTTCCTCTTGTGGAGCAAGAGGGCAAGCAGAGGTACCATTACCATCATGGAGGGCAGAAGGCAAGTTGGAATCCAGATCAAAGGAGGCTGCAATACCAAAATGGGCCAAAGCATGCTTGATAGCCATCAATGTTGTTGGTTCACCTAAGGAAGAGATGAGAGTAAAAAGAGCGAACGAAAGTATGAGTAAAAGAAAAGAGAGCATAATTTTAATTGCATACCTTGGTTTTCAAGCATTGCATCCACAACAGGATGCTCACATAAGTTAACACCATGAGAGGAAGAAGCGGCAGAAGAGGACGTACATGTCGGGCTTGTCATCAAGAGTACTCAAGGTAGGATCAACATTCACATGTCGACCATTGATTTCCCCTGAGAAAACAGCACGTGTAAACTTCATAGGATCGACCATCTGTTGTACAGCAAGCCAGTGGAAGTACGCAAGCTTAAAGTGTGCTCTGTGTCACCAAGGTCAGTAATTCGCTCAAGTAATGCAACGATACTAAAATAACCACTCACCGGCAGGTACGCCGACACGCTAGCATTCGGCTATGTAACTTAGCATCGGTAGAAGGGATTTCATCTATAGCAAACGAGATACAATCATATGTTAAACGATCTAGCAGTAGCAATAAGCATGAATAATATTATTCACCTTCGTGGTCTTCATCTTCGTTTCCACTGTCATCATCATCCTCACGATCGCTATAGACGTATTGATCCGAATCATCGTAACCGTCATCATCCCCATGATGAATTGAGGCATCTTGAGGTGAATCCTCGAAATCATAGTCGTTTCCATGATCAATGGAGACATCTTGATGCGAATCATCGTTTGCAGCGGCCTCAGCAACAGCATTCCTGGAGGTATGTCTACGACTTGTTGCTGGTAGTGCCGATGATTCCAATAATGAGTAAAAGCAATGATGTGTTAATAGAATGTAGCAATGATTGTATACCAAATCAAGTAATGACGTACGCAAGTCCCAAGTATAAAGCGAATGATCAATGTCATCAGCATTACGCTTAGTGCCGTTGGAAGAGGATTGAGACATGGTTTATGAAATAAGCAGAGTAATCACTGGCAAGGAAAATAAAGAGAGATGAATATAAAGTCGAGAGCCATCATCGCCATGGTAAAAACGACTCACCTTGTTGTCTTGCATAACCATTGCCATCCATCGATGTAAATAAGAAGCGACCATGCATAACAATGCCAACCTGCATCCTCCAAGTCGTTTATCTTGACCAATAAAACGCCTTCCTTTCTGTTGTTGTATATTCTTTTCATCCACCATTGTCGCGTCTGCCGAATCCTTTATCTTGTCCATCCAGGGCATGCGTCACCAAAGAACGCGTTTGACGTGCACTCCTTGTTGCTTGCATAAAAGGCCAAGCCTGTGTGCAATAAATACGGCCAACAGACGACGAAGCTAATGACAGCTGCTGCAATAGAAGTGAAGAGCAAGGAACGTTGTAGAAAAGAGCAAGTGTGTGCGTGTGTGTGTGTCTCAAACAAAAGCGTGTGTTGTATGGTGTCAGCACTCGCCATGGACTTGTCAATCAGTGGAATCGTGTCGGTTCAAGCAAATGAGGGCTTGGTATGATGGGGAGAAGCAGGTGAAATCAGATTCATTTAAGGTCGCACGCGTTGAGAGAGAAAATTTTGCCGAATTGACACTCAGGGGCACAATTACAAGGCAATCAAATTGTAATGACCATTGGTTGTAGTAGTTTTCTTTATTAAGGCACAACATGGATTGACAAGTAAGGTGGGCCACAGTTACATCATGAAATTGGGGTGGAAATACATAAGATACGTATCGAAGTTTGACTATTTGCCGTTATCCCAAAAAGAGATGGTGCAAGATGCCTGCATAATAAATTTAATCACGTGTACATGATGATGCTATCATTTGTATACCCACTGGCTTTATCAATGATCGATCTTGGTCCTTATCCCAAAAAGAGCCCATGTAAAAGTGATGATGGAAGATGTCTGCATAATTGACTGATAATACATGTGGCATTAGGATGACAGGATTTTAATCGTGGAAGGTATCGTTGTTTGAAAAGGTGTGTTATGCATAAGCTTGGGGTATCGTTTCTTTTCTTCGAGAACCAAGGCAACCAGCGACATGGCGACACACATCTTGTTTCCTTCTTGGATCAAAACAACTGGCAAATGGTGACACTCCTCTTGGACAAGGCACTCATCGTGCACAAGGTACAAGGCACGCTTCAACAAGGCACTCGGTTTATCCATGGCGACTTGATCTTGGACACATTGGGCACTGACAACACGCATCTCAAGGCAACAAGGTAGCAGCATTATATCACAACGAGAACGGCGTCTTTATTGTAGCAAACATGGGATATAAGGCAAGTGGTTGTCTGTGGCATACAAGCACGCGTGTTGCTGATGATGTTTGCCATAGGATGGATCACTAGTGATCGTCACGCTCCAGGTGGACAAGGGTATAGCTATGGCTAGTGGATCATCCAACAAGGATTCAGCAAAGGAAAAGGGAAGCAAGTATAGCACACAACTTCAAGCAGACGAGGGTCATCACCATACAACGTGGGCTCGTTCATGACGTTCAAATTCACAGGTACGTTGTTTACGAGGGTGTGTACAATCATCATGCTCATTCATCTCTACATAGCAAGAGGATCTTTATTCAACACACACATGCATACACTCGTTATCTCGTTCAGGTTTATGGTAAGGATGCGGGTTTGGATATGGGATCGGCCTTATCGCTTACAAGGATGGTGTATGCTTCCATTTCAGCGCAAGAATCCGTATGGGATGGATGGTACAGCAACTTCACAAAGCATTGGAGGATGGTCTCGTATGCCACAAAGACAATTTCAAAGGCAAATACAATGGCAGGAGATGAACACACGTGCAATGTATTGATATGGTGCTTCCAGTGGACCCGTTTCCATACTTACCAACGACCTCAATCGGCGACCAGACACTCATCTATCACAAGCACTATGAATCGTCCCATGTTGTTGATACACACACCATGTGGCTTTCATTTACTGTCACAGCATCAGCACCACAATCATATTCAAGGGGTTTCATCAGGTAAATCAAGAGACGGAAGAGGATAAACAAGGTATTCATTGTATGCACGCATCAGGCTTCCCAGTTATAGTCGCGTACTCTTACCCATGGACCACCTATTATTTTGGCACATGCACTATCATTCAGGTAGGATCAATCAGCAAGCGTGGATACGGATTCAGACTACTAAAGAAGCTCGTTTCAGGCGTATCAATCTTGCAACACGTCGTCAATCAAGGCACCAGGAATATCTATGGACCATTCAACGCTGACATCTAACACAATCATCGACCTTTCGCACGAACCACAGGCCTTATCATGGCATCAAGGTGAGTGAGCAACACACGCCGTATGTACGCGTGCTAAAAGCTTCTCTAGAACCGCTATTACGCATCACATCATCAAGACAACCATCATGCAAGAATACAGGGATCATCTCGGTACATACAATTTTCTGCGGTGGACGTTACGCTGGGGATTGACTGTTGTTGCAAGCAAGGAGCAAGGATACCCCTACGGCGAATCTCTCTCATCACTGGTAAATTCCAAGAGCAGGATTAGAATGGCGAACACCAGCATCACGGATGAATTTGGAACGAAGGATCGACATGGATACTATGACAACGGCTATCGGCCAATCATCTACGTTTTCACACAACACAACATGGTTGCCATGATACAACAACAACAGGACCAACATGCGGTATGTATCCTCTTTTGTGCTCAATGGGAATGGCTATTGATTGGGATTCTCTTACTAGAATCACACATACATTTATAAAGACGACACAACATCCATGCAGCGTATTGGTACAAGAAGAAGGATTGGAATGGTAAGCGTGGGTGTACAACATGAGCAAGAATAGAGTATTTATGCTGTACCTTTTCTTACGACATACAAGCGTTCATCATTTGCAACACGAGCTTCAAGGACCCCCAATACAATAGCATCACCCTTACTCACCTCTGGATAAACATCATCACGAATCAATCAACGACATCGTAGCTTAGACAAAATAGACAGCGTTCGTCACATTTAAATCATAAATTATTGAAGAATGGATGATACGGATCGTGTGGTATATAAAATGGTTGGACTCTTAATTTGGAAATGGAGATCGACGTTGCATTTGCTTATGCATGACATCATGTCGATCCTCTGCACAATGACACTTACCACGTGGCATCGTAGATCCATGACATCATGCCAATCCTATGTACATGCATCGCTTTGGATACAGCAATGACTACTGACAACACGCGTCACCTTGGATACAGGCATGACGACTGGGCCCATATTGACAACTCATTGCTGCTGCATCTCTTGTTGCCCCAAAACGTGCTACCAGTGACTACGCCTCCTTTTACCCATGACAGAGATCAACAAGTACAATCCATGCATATAATGATAAACCAATAGCCATATCTTTTGCCAGTGTATGCTGCTTCTTGCTTGTGTTATCCCTTATCAATGCCTTGCTCACCTTTCCAAATGACAGCCCGTCCACCTTATCATACCTGCCAGTAGCCAATGTAGCTTCATGTCAAGAAAGAATAAAATGCCACTTCAGCCTTCCCACTGCTGCTTGTGCGAGTTGCTATATACGTATATTGTCTCCATTGCTATTTATGTGCTCAATGGTAGCCTCAACTCCGTGGGGTTGCAATGGGAGAATAAAAATGACGATTACGATGATTACCACATCCACAACAACGACGATTATGGTGATCACCTCATCCACAACAATGACAATGATAACGACAACGAGATTCAAAAGGAAGCCTGCAAGATCCCTTTTTTTCATCTTGTGTATTTTTGGATGTTGGTGTGACGGATGAGATTGACGACTGGTGACGAGTACGAGTACGAGTACGAATGATGACGGAGGATGACTACGACGATGGTGGACGCAATGTACAGTACATAGCAAGATAGCTAGATGAAATAAAGTATTGTTTATTTATTACACGCTTGTTGGAGGTTGCTAGATTGTGGATAACATACTATTGCTTCGAAGATGGAATAATAAAGGTGGTCCGGTTACTGTATTGGTCATGCAAGAAGTACGTGGCTTTTGTAATACAATAAGGAGGAGTGGGAAGTGGGATGAGCTTGAGAAGAGAAAAAGTGAAGAGATCCCTCCATTGAGTTTCAGGATGAGTGACTCATTCAATATGTATATGTATCTTTTACATATACCAATTGGTTTATGCAGCTCGACTTTCTTCTACATGCAAATGTGATGCATACCTTGACACACCTCCTTTATTGGATGCTGTTTACTTACGTACCTTCACAAAAGGCAATCATCATCATCATCCATTTGTGTAGCAACCTGTCAAGGACGCGTTTGTGTAACCACTACGTGCGGTTTCACCCAGCTCTTCATCTTTCCGTTAATGCAGCCGACACCATCCACTAGGAAAAAGCAACTCCATCACGCTTACAGCATAGGTAAAACATAAAGACGCCTGTATCTCCAAACTTTACAATGAAACGTGGGGTTTTTATTAGAGCAATGGGCTCGGCTTGGCCAACAGCACCTTGTGTGAAAGTTTCACGATCAAGCTTGCCAATCCCAGATTTCGCAATGTCGCCACCAGCCAAACTGGATCCAGGGGTCGACCTCTTCGTTATAGGGAGGCTTGATTTGCCTCGATTTTTTATTGGGAGTATGTCGAGGAGTGATACCCCAAAGATGATACAGCAATGTGAAAGTAAAGAAGACTAACTGAGAAGAGAAATAGATCAAACCGGATCATTGTGACTCGAAGAAGAGACACTTTCCGATGCAAAAGAGAACGAAAAGGGGAACGCTTTCCCCTTGTGGCGAAGTGTAGCATAAAGTCTGTCATAAGATACGCTGGTCAGTGTTTCAGTAATGGTTCTTGCTTCGTCGGAAATAGGGAACAGGCGGTTAAGTAGTCTGCGTTGGCGACCAGTGATAGGTTTGGCGTTAGGGTCAGTATTGAGCTGAGGTGGGATAAAGTCGACAATAAGCTGGTCGTTGTGAGCTTCACGATTGGAAAGGTCATCAGAATGCATTGAAACATCAGAGTCGTGGCTGTGGGCAGAAGAAAGTGTGGGCGATGGAGGCGATGGTGGCACGTGTGGTTCTTTGTTGTTGGTTGGCGCTGGGGTGCGATGATAAGAACATTTTGCTGCACGATGGCCTGGTTGACCACATGACCAGCAAAGACGATTGCGACTTGGATGACTAGGACATGATGAAATAGAGTGACCGGAACGATGACAGTGTAGACAATGTAATGGCATTTCAGCCCATGTTGCATAAAAGAAGTCGGCGGAGTTGGGCCAAGCAATCGTGTGTGTGAGTGGGAGGAAATCGAGTGAGGCTGAAACGTTTAATGTTGCGTAACCATGTCCCATAAACAAGTGGGAGTCCTGGTCACGAAGAATACCATGATCTAGAATCTTACCAAAGGGTGCGAGTGCTTGTCGAATACCATCTGCTAGTTTTTCCCTAGATGTGAATGGCAGGTTGCTGAGACGAATGTTGATGATGTGAGCGTTTTCCGATAAAGGCCGAGTGGGTAAGATACGAGAACCATCAGAGAAGTGAAGACCATTTTTGCAGGCTTTTTCGTACAAGGATGAATCATCAATGAATAGCTCAACAATACGGCGTGAATGATCTGAGTGCAGACGTGCACCACAGTTATCGGGATAGCTTTCACTTATGTGACGAAGAAGTGTTGAACGGTTTTCGGTGCGAGAAGTGAAGTCAAAAAACAAACTCGGGCACGAAGCAGGGGATCCACCAACTTTCCACACATTGGAATGGGTGGTTTTGTCAAGTGCATTGCTGGTCAAAGATTCTCGAATTGCAGTAGGACGTTGAACGCGAGCAGCTCTCGCATAAGATATAGGTGGTGTACTAGATTGGGTGCCTGTTTCCTTATCAGGCGATTTGATTGAATTCGCGGAAGACATGGGGGGGGTCGACCTCTTCGACGACGACGACCAAAAAAATATTTTTTGGGCTGTTTGCGACATTGAACGCGAAACTTTCACACAAGGTGCAGTTGGCCAAGCCGAGCCCATTGCTCTAATAAAAACCCCACGTTTCATTGTAAAGTTTGGAGATACAGGAACCTTTATGTTTGTAAGCGTGATGCTATATGAGAAGTGGTCTTTGTTTAATGTAAAGTAGCTGGACCCTGGCAGAGCAAAAGATGCAGAAGGACCTCTTTGGGTAACTCAGCTAAAAAGTCAGGACTTCAGGGACAATGCATGAATGGTGCGCAACCCTCACTTTTATGTCATACATTGGCAGCTAATAGCCATTTTTGTGCATTCCCAACTTTTGTGCATTCTACTGTAGGTGGACGATGCTCCTGCTCCAGACATTCATTTCCATGATTAAAGTAGGTTGATCCGAGCTGATTTGGTTGAGTTACGCTCACACAAGATTACATCGGTTGAGCTACATCGAGCGTGCTTGATGTCCAGAGTGATGTAATCTCTCTTTGACTGCAGCTCAGTCAAATCAGCTCGGATCAACCTACTTTGATCATGGAAATGAATGTCTAGAGCAGAGGCATCGTTCCCATGCAGTGGATCTCGCAACAATAATGATTGGATAAAAGTGGCCGTTAGCTGGCAATACATGCCTGTTCCTAGATGATCCATAAAGTAATTATACATTGGCCCTTTCATTCATGCAAACGAAGCTGTGTTACACAACACGACCCTCTGCATCTTTTGCTCTGCCAGGGTCCACCTACTTGACATTGGACAAAGACCACTTCTCATATAGCATCACGGTTATAAACATAAACGTGCATGTATCTCCAAACTTTACAATGAAACGTGGGGTTTTGAATAGAGCAATGTGCTCGGCTTGGCCAACAGCACCTTGTGTGAAAGTTTCGCGTTCAATGTCGCAACTAGCCCAAAAAATATTTTTTTGGTCGTCGTCGAAAGAGGTTGAGCCCCTGGATCCAGTTTGGCTGGTAGCGACATTGCGAAATCTGGGATTGGCAAGCTTGATCGTGAAACTTTTACACAAGGTGCTGTTGGCCAAGCCGAGCCCATTGCTCTAATAAAAACCTCACGTTTGATTATAAAGTTTAGAGATACAGGCACCTTTAGTTTTAACTATTGATGCTATATGAAAAGTGGTCTTCATTGTCAAGTAAATTGGTCCCTGATAAAGCCAAAGATGCAGAGGGGCGGGTTTGTGTAACACAGCTCATTTTGCATGACTGGAAGTGCTGATGCATGATACTTTACTACTATTAGTAAAACGTCATGGATTGGTTGCAAGTAGCCACCTCCTCCCGTTACCGACTTTTGTATATCCCACTACAATGGAACGATTGTCCTGCTCCAGCCCAACATGCCCATCATTCAACTTTCTTGATCCGAGGGGATTTGATTTAAGAACAACGCTCAAGCAAAGAAATTATTCGTAAACTGAAGGTGATAGCCCATTCCTTCCATTTGTTTTTGTTGCCTAATCTAGTGCATACGAACAATTGTCCTGCTCTAGGTCATCATTCACATCATTAGAATTTTTTTTTGATTCGAGAGGTTTTGGCTGAACGACGCTTAAACGAAGAGTATCATTCCACTCCCAGCTTTGTTGTCTCTTTCTCCCATTCTCGATTGTTGCCTTATTCAAGTACAACTACGACCCGCAATCCTACACTTGGTCTTGATCCTATTGTCTTCGACTGAATGGCAAAGCCCTTGGCTGGTGCATCCCACTACAACACCCATGTTTCAAGACAATGCACCTTCTCTTGTACACTCCTCTATCACAACCAGTCATAATAGCATTTATCCCAGCAGTTTCTATTAGCAAGGTGTCTCAAACAGCGTTCTTTACTTGCAGCAACCTGCCTTACAACCTTTGTTACATGGACAGTGGATTAGCCATTGTATAGATTCAGCTTTATTTACGTGTAGCAACTTGCTTCAATACATATGACTTCTTATGGATACGGATATGGGTGTGAGTACATGAAATGAAAGGAATTGGGTATATCCAACGCGTGGAACAAGAGTGTATCCATTGTCAACCTGACCATTATGTATCATGCTATGTTCCTGAACGATTGGTGCCTATCCATTATTATACTCTACTACACACACACACACACACACACACACACACACACACAACGAGCTCTATTAGAAAAGCAAGAGAAGAAGAGCGTGTAGGTATTGATGGGTCTTTGAAAAGGGGGTGGCAATATTACCAAGGCTCTGAAAAGGATCAAGCAATATGGATCATTAATCCGACTGGATACACATCCTACATACTTGGAGAGGAAGGTGTACCTTGTAAGGCGCCGACCTGGTTCAGACCCCTACTATAGGCCATTTGCAATGTATGTGTAATTTGGTTTAATATCAAAAGTGAGACAGCAGCAGAGGAATAAAAGGATCGAGGATTCGATATGAGGGTATTCAATCAATTACTATACGGCATCTATCAGAAGCATCATTGAAGTATGTAACGCGGTGAGCGGTGGATGGGAGATCCTATCAGCTATCAACTCGGGTTGCTAAAGACAAATGTCGATACAGTGCTTATTATGTACCAAGATCATCTACATATCGGCATTCAGGATCGTGGTGGTAGATGTCAAGGACTTGGAAATTAAAAGGTAGGAGGATGGTATCCAGGTAGCAAAGCCCGCTTTTTACCTCTTCTTCCCTCCTTCATCGATGGCGACCATTGTCGAAATTGTCTTTCTTGGAACTGGAACATCGGGTGCAGTGCCTAATGTCTCTTGTCTTACCAATCCGGAGCAGTCTTGCAAGGTGTGCATTTCGGCCATGACCCCTCAAGGTAAAAAGAATATGAAAAAGAATACGTCCCTGATGGTGCGATTCAAGAGCCACAACGATCCTCCCAATGCACGATTACGGTGAGCCTCACCTTTATTCTCTATACTCCTCAAACAACTCATACATTATTTATATCCAGTAACGTGCTGATAGACTGTGGCAAGACGTTTTATGGTACGTATGCTCTTACGTATTATCGCCGGCACATTGGATATTGACTCGTATGGATTAGAGAGTGCACTTGAGTTGTTTCCACGCTATGGTATTCGAGAATTGGATGCTGTTATCTTGACACATGGTCATGCGGATGCTTGCTATGGCATGGATGCCTTACGTCAGTGGACCCTTGGTGGAGCAGTTCAAAAGCACATTGACATCTATCTTTCTTCTGAAACCATGGATACCATCCAGACAACCTTTCCTTTCTTGGTGGACGTCCGTAATGCTACAGGTAACAAAAAGTCATGGGATAATGGACGTTTGAGTAGGCACTAATGATGATGATCGTGATAGGTGGTGGTGATGTGGCAACTTTTAATTATCAAGTAATCTCGACTGACAAGCCTTTCGATATCTGTGGATTGGAATTCATGCCTCTACCAGGTAGGAGATGACGAAAGGATATGATTACAGCGATATTGAAAGAAGAATACCTAGTTCATCATGGCATTTACCTCTCGAGCGGTGAACCTTATTGGTGTCTTGGCTTCAAGATCGGCCATGTTATCAGCTATATCTCAGATACAAACTATATCCCACCTGACACCATGGAACGCATTGTCTCTGGTCAACCCAATCAAGTGTTTGTGGTCGATTGTTTACGAGGTAAGGGAGCTGATTACAAATATTAAAAGAATGCACACTCATATTTCGTCTATTAGTCGGCGATACGCATGCATCTCATTTTGCATTGAAGGATTCACTTGCAGCAGCTAGACAAGTTAACGCCACAAAGACATATCTCGTTGGCACAACACACCGCGTAGATCATTATGAAATGGAAGCTTCGTTAGCATCACTCGAAAAAGAAGAAGGCTTAAGAGTGGCACCTGCATTTGATGGATTACGTATTTTTTTCAACAATGACAAGACATTGACCGAGACATCCTATTTAGACGAGCAATCAAATCTTATTGGCGCTACATCATAGACCATTCCCCCTTGTAATATAGACTCTAGAAAAGAAAACCAGCTGTATTTCCAATAGAGATATATAAATGTAAGAAAAGATGACCACATACTACATTGAAATGGGGACATGTGTGTGTGGGATCATTGTGCAGGAACAAGTGGTGATTTGTGTGTGGCATTCGAGACGATACTTTGGGAAGCAAAATAAGAATCATCGAGCTAATAAAGAGAGCCGGATGTTCAATACCACGACCATAGGTTGCTTCTTGCAAAAGAAAATGTGTTGGAGACGAGCGCATGATCTCATTCCTTAGGAGGCTTCTTGATGTTGTTGTCCAAGTTGCTCGTGAATTTGGAAGCATTCCTTGAGCAATACAGCATTCTTGAGTCGTTGGCTAACTTCAGGTCCACTGGGAATCACATCACCGGATGGCGTGGTGTAAATATAAGGTAGTCGTAGCACATGGAGACTGTTGCGTGGCAACGTAAAAGCATCCTTGAATCCCAAATCGAATTCAAATGTTTGATCCTCGCTATCAACAATCTAACAAGTGGAATGATACATTGTGAGTGGATTGACGCAAGCAGATAACGAAAAAGAGATGAGATGTACCTTAATTCTTGGCTTCATTGATACCGTTACTGCTGTTGAATCGGGAGTGACAACATAAAGTCGTTGCAATTGCGAAATGATTTCAGGTGAAGCTGTAGTACTCTTGGGTGTGGCAAAGTTACATGGACATGGGACATACAAAGGGACATCTTGATGAACAAAATAATTGCCGTGATCCTATACCAAGAAGAAATCAGCCATTGTTGATGATTCAAAAAAGAAGCACGCTTACCTTTGGATGCCCTTTATGACCGATCTTGCATATTCTGCCATCCCCACAGCTCAAAAATCGATGACCATGAGGACATTCATATTCAGCTCCCACATAGCCACGGATCAATCCTTCAAGACGATGCTCACGATCCCTACGTCGACCATCACGTCGGCGTCTTTCCTTCTTCGGCACTGTTGGTGTTTCTTCATGCCTCTTTGTCTCTGGTAGTGACGATGATACGGTATTCACTGGAGCAGTAACGATGTTGCTAGTTGATCCGGTTGCTGTTACAGTACCCAATGCAGGAAAAGCTTCCAAGTTGGTGAGGGGTGATGAAGTCGATTTGGATTTGATTTCGGGGCTCTTTCCAGGTAACGGCCACTCGTTCGCATCAATCGCCTTTTTGTCCGCTGATGAACTGCCATTCTTCGATGCAGCTTGTTCCTTCTTCTGAAGATCATTCACCTTTGCCAGTATCCATGGTAAAAGGTAATTGGTATTGCTCATGAAGCCCTCGCACTTTTCCAAGCCAATGCTATTGCGGTATACAGATGCTGGACCAAGGTAAAGCAAAGCTGACTCAAAATGAGGAATGTGCTCATTGTCGGTGTAAAGTTGTTGCTGATCCTCGGCACCAAACTTTGATTTTTGGATATCAATGGCCATACATCCATCTGCCAGACAACATGTGAAACGTGTATAGAAACCAATGTTGGCTTCTTCCAAATCGAAAGGATCCTCGCGTAACTTTTGAACTTTGCCACATGTACACGCATGGAAAAAGCTGCATCCACTGCTGTGTTTTGTACCATCCATGTCCCGGGTATGTTTGATCACGTGCTCCTGATCAGCGTCCTCATGTCCTGCCTAAAACAAATAATGAGACAAAACATCCATTGTAATGCTACTTTTTTCCTTTTACCTTGAGACGACACACTCTTCCAGTCAAACTAATCTTCTCACAGCTTTGGCGTCCTTGCTTCCATATCAAATCACATTCCCGTTCTAGCCTTGTAGCATATTCTGCTGCACATGGTCCACGTGACAGGGTAGCATATAAGCGTAGCACATTCTCTCTCTGCATACGTATGTATCAAATGAGTGAATTGCAATCGTATGACCATGTAATAGCACTATTTACCTTCCATAAATGATATTGTCGAGTATAACAAGGGGGTGAATCTTGAAGATAAGTCTCGACGCACTTGCGCATGATCTCCAAAGAATGACTAAAACAAGCCATTTAAGCATCGATGTCAAACACAAACTTTGTATACACCACCAATTACCTTTTTGAAAAAACACGTTCAATTTCCACGGTATCACGGATCTTTTTCCTTAGGATCACTTCAATTTGTTGGATCATGCCTCGAGCGCCTGGGGAAGAAGCAATGACACCTTTCCGAAAGTCACCATCACCCATTTCATCCTTTGCACCAGAACCAAAAAGCAGCGACCTGAGGACCAATAACGCTGATGCAAATTGTAATCCATTTGGTAATGGGATGGATTGTTTTGGATCACCACCTTTGCGAGGGCCTGAGGATGTGATCATTTGCAGATGCATAGGATGCCGAGTGGTAGCTGCACGTATCCAATGGGCGACAAAGTTGCGCAGAAGCTTGTTTCCACAATCATCCAAAATAGATTCAGTCGTTTGCTGCTTTGTTTCCTTTCTTTTGCCGTTGAATCCTTCAATGTTGTCATCATTATTGTCACGCAGCCATGTTGATATGGAAACGGGTCGATCAAAAGAAAACGTATCCATGCTGTTACTATCGCTGAATGAAGAGATGGCAGCAAAGGGTGTAGATGGCACAACGTGAACAAATGGCTGAGTTGTTGTTGGAAGTGTGAAAAGAGATCTATGGATATCAATGTCAGGAAACGTGATAGGTAAAGAGACATTGGATACCACCCGTACCTCACTTCCACTGGTTCCCTTCCAGATCCACCTTCAGCTAGCGGTATCAAATGAAATGCTCGAAAGATGTTCTTGACTCTGGCTTGCACCACCTCTTGCATCCGTTTCATGGCAACCGATAATTTGGATCGTGAGATCTTGTCAGCGTGAGGAATGATCACCTTGATACCTGATTTAGCATACATTCATATCACTTTTCAAATAGATGCCAAGCTTACATCAGCAGCCACAAAGACCATGAGAGGAACACCTTTGGCAGGACCCCACCAACCCATCAAATTGGTATTGATACGTTCTCGTTCACGTCGATTCTCAATTTCCTTTCGTTCAAAGAGGGCGCTTGGTACATCAATATCCCAATATTTCCAACAAGCTGATTGTAGTTGTGCAAGATGAGTATAAATGCCGTGCTTGACTTGAGCAAGGTTTGTCAACTCGGACATGAAATCGGATGGCAGTAAACTTGGAGGTAGAATAGGCTAGAATTTCAAATGTCAATAGATATTCACTCATCCAACGATCCTTTGTTTCCCTTACAATAACCAAATGAGACACCAGAAACATCAATAGTAAACCACGCATCGTCTTGGATCGATCCTCCATCAAATGTGACTGAAGATAATGCTCTATGTATCAGTTACCACGCTTGTCATCCCACGCCCTTTTTCTCCACTCTTACCTTGACATCTTGTTGTTGATCATGACAACATTCTTTTGCCAGATGATGTGTGTCGATTGTCGCATCCATGAATAGATACGCTGTACGAGATGATTCGTCCACATACATTTGTAATCCTTCTGCAAGCTATCATCATTCCCATTGAGTAAACATCGTTCATTCGACCTAGTTTTTTCTGTTTACCTCGACGGTACATGATGGCAGCATCTATTTGAATCCTATTATTAGTCAACTTTCATGGGTCTATCATCATTTTGCTCCTTGCCTGATATTTGGGTACAAAGACTTGACGTCCAACTATACGATTCGCCATGGTGACATTCAAGTTGGTGAGTTTGCCAGAGCTGTAGGCTGAGGGTGTACGAAAGCCATCGTTGCCGAACATTGAGACGATGGCGAGACCAGCATCTTGAATCGATTCGAGTCGCGTGTCCTCGAGTAGTTCATTGACTTCCTTCATCAAACAACGTAGCAGTGATACCACCAAGTGAAAGAGTCACTCTCTCCACCATTCTTTAAACATGCCACTTTTACTCCGCGTATCCCACCCCGCAAGTTGTCATTGCATGTTTATTATATAAAGGCTTGTCATTTATTCTTCCTAATTGTGTGGATGATATGGATGTATGCCTGAAAATATACAAAAAAGCCCTCGTTTGTGTTTGTCGTTTTTGATGCGTAACGTAATGCAAGCGCATGGCTCAAAGTCAGGTCGAATTCTTACATACATGGATGCACGATGATATTTTCTGGAAAGGTCCCCCCTATGGGTGTTGTTGTCCTGGTGATGGTTTCAGGTCAAACATATTCCTTTTGATCATGAAGGTCATCTAGAGTGGGAGATTTTGCCCAATCAAATGACGACATGGTAGGACCCCATGTATAAAAGTGAGATGGCCATAGCAACGTGTGTTCGCATTACATACTGTGCCCTACAATGAGCAACCTGTATAGTGAATTCGGAGCATCTTTCTAAAACAAAACTAATCCAAGATCTTGCAGCCTTCAACGGGCTCCATCGGCTATGAACTCGATATGGAAATCAGTAGGTTATGTCGCCGCTCGATGCGATATCTTGGCATGGTTGCCATGGAGACGCAAACAAACGCTATACCTGATCCATTCGATGGAGAGATTGTGATAGTACAATGAATTTATTTTAAGGCAAGATATAGTAATGGGCTAATACTCCATAATGCAAGCATTTAATTCAGGGGAAGAAGCTACCAGGGCATACATACATGCGTCGGTTTCAGTAAACCCAGATGATGCTGAAACAGCTCCAGTGAATGATGAAGAACATCGATATGCACAGGCCAAAAGTCCGCGTTTCAAGATCAAGAAAACCCTTCTCGTACCACGCGTCAATAAGAATTGGGAACGTTGAATAAAAATGTGTAACCAAGCGCATGATATCATATACAATAAGCTTTAGTTTGATTGGATAAATGGAAATAGGAGAGAAGAATAATACTAGGAAGGGTTTGGTGTCTATCTAATGCCCCCAAATCATTTTCTGTAACATGCTTACGACTTGCCATCTAAGGCACGTTCGCACCAAAAACCAATGGGTTTCCGAGATTGGTGAAACAAAGAGCCACACATACATACATCATTTTGCATCCTTTTTTTTCTGTGATACTTGAACCTGCATGTCAGAGTCAGCTTCTTTTTTTTTCTTCTTTGTATTCTCTTTTACATACCTTCCCCCCCCCCACCCTCACTCCCTCCCTTCCTTTCTCAATACAATAAACACACAACATTGGTAAAGAGCCATGGCCGATTCACCCGGGGATCAGCTACAGTAAGTGTTCATGGGGCAATGGGTGGTACCTCATTGGGTGGGCCTCATGCTAACATGTCCTTCCTTCAGTGCCGATCAGTCTATCAGCACATTTACCTCTGCCTTGTGGTTCAATGCTGCAGTGGCTGGTGGATACTTTACTGCCTTTTTGGTTCTACGTCGTTATCGTCCACGCGTGTATAAGCCTCGCACGTTCCTTGTTGAGAAAAAGTATGATGTGGCATCTATGTAGTGGTGCTCTTTGATCTGACACACATTGTTCATTAGTCGACAACCTCCACCTATCGATGATGGATTATTGACATGGATATGGACCATATTACGGATACCAGACAAGGATGTGCTTCAAGCAATTGGATTGGATCGATTCATGGTGTTACGATTTCTACGCATGGCCATTGTTACCTTTGTATCCTTCTCCCTCCTTGCAGTGCCAATCTTGATACCCATCAATCTCGTCGACCAACGTGATAGCGAAGGATTGAATCGGCTCACAATGGGTAACGTCAAGGATCCTGAACGTACCTGGGCACATTTAGTATTATCCGTGGTGCTCTCTGGTGAGTCTCTTTGTAACAAACAATCAGCTTCAACGTACTCATTGTCCCATCTTTTTTTATTCTAGTGGGTATTATTTATTATACTTATCGAGAAACACGCACCTTCTTGGTCCTTCGACGTCAATATCTATTGAGCCCTGAATATGCCACCTCCGTCACAGCACGCACTCTTTACGTCCCATCAATTCCAGGCAGTGTCAACAATGTCAAGGCCTTGACCAAGATCTTTAGTCGTTTTCCAGGAGGTGTACGACGTATATGGTTGACTAGAAACATGAAGGATTTGCCCGACACAGTGGTTGAACGACAAGCGCATGTTGCCAATCTCGAGAAAGCAATGACGACAACGATATCAGCATGTTACAAATACTATGCCAAAAAGGGACGTCAAGGGGAACTTGAAAGTGGACCCAAATCACTCATCCCGGAGAAGCTTCGACCTACGCATCGAGTATCACCGCTTCCGCTACCTTTTTCATTGCCCCTGGTGGGACGTAAAGTGGATTCGATCGATTATTATCACGAGCAGATCCACGAGCTCAATGAAAAGATTTTACGTGCGCAACGATCACCCGAGTCTTATTCCCAATTATCATCAGCATTCATTGAATTCAATCAACAAATCGCTGCTCACATGGCTGCTCAGTGTGTGATTCATTCCAAGGAATTGCAAATGGCTCCTCGCTTTGTACAAATCTCGCCCACAGACATCATTTGGGACAATATGAATATCAAATCACTCGAACGATTGGGTCGAAGAGTCATTAGTTGGTCTCTCACTACAGCTATTGTCATCTTTTGGGCTATTCCAAGTAAGTTGTTGCATCCCATTCTATAGCTTGTATCACCATGCACTCATGCAGCATTTATTCTTTTATAGTTACGTTTGTACAAGCTGTATCCAATATCCAATCACTCGCCAAGGTGCTTCCATTTCTCACCGTGCTAGAAGATCTCCCTACTACAGTCGTGGGTATCATCCAAGGTATCTTTCCTGCTATTGCATTGGCTATCCTCGTTGCCTTGGTCCCTATCATTTTTCGATGTAAGTTGGATTATGCGTTATGCTTCTTCTTTTTCAATTATTAACATACCACCTCTACTAGTCCTTTCGGTTCAAGAGGGCATTCCTCAGAATTCAATGGTGGATCTTTCGCTTCTTCACAAGTACTTTTTTTTCCTCGTAAGTTTACTCTTTTATTTCCTATGCATCATGCTCACTATGTTTGTACGTATTAGTTTGTGGATGTGGTTCTTGTTTCAACCATTGCTGGTGGTGCCATCAATACATTTGTCGCTATTAAGGAGAATCCATTGAGCGTCGTCAACATGTTGGCTGAGACGTTACCCAAGGTAAGATGAATGGCGTCACATGAGCCAAACGCATACTCATTCCTTCTTTCATGTTATAGGCGAGCACTTTCTTTATCACCTATGTTATGCTTCAATCCTTCACTTCGGGTTCATCCATGCTGCAACTGGTGCCATTGATCCTTTCCTATGTGCTTCCATTCCTATCGACTACACCTCGGGATATCTATATTCGCAAGGGAAAATGCCCCAATATTCAATTGGGTACTTTGATTCCTACGCATACGGTGATCTTTGTCCTTGGCATTGAATACTCTGTGATTGCGCCCCTGATCTTGCCATTCGTATGCCTCTATTTCATCTTTCAGTACTTTGTGTACCTGTACCAATTCTTGTTTGTATACGAGATGGGCTACGAATCTGGAGGCCTGGCATTTCCTCGAGCCATTCGTCACGTGTACATTGGCATGTTTACTTGGCAACTTACAATGATTGGTTTATTTGCTGTACAAAAGGCATTACCACAAATGATCATCATGATTATCACCCTGGTGGTGAGCTGCTCAGCACTTGCACTCTACGACATGTCCTTCAAGCCGCTGTTCAAGTATCTACCCGTACATGAGGATGAAAAGGAGATGAAAAAGATTGTTTCAAAGACTGGGTCTGCTGGTGGTGCTGAAGCTGCTGCCAATGCTTGCACATTCGATGACGACAAGCGCATCCTTACAGAACCTGACAAGGAAGATGAAAGTGATCAAGACCATGATGATGATGGCGTGGCATTTGAAGATGATGATTATGATGATTACGACATGGCATCGGTACAAAGTGGACAACAACAATATCAATTACGCCGTCGAAAACGTCGTGAATCGGAAGCAACGGCTGTGGTGGTGGATGCTTATCATGCACGTGACACTTTACGTAAACGTATCCGAGAACAAATGCGACATTCAACCCAATCTATTGCGAACAATACCAGCTTTGCAGTTAGTTCGGCCCGTCTCATGTTCCATGTCGAGTCCTATATGCATCCATCACTTTATCGCATGCAACCCACTGTATGGTTACCCGAAGATGACTTTGGTATTGCACGCTATGAAATGGAGCAGCTAAAGAAATTGGATATCCGTACGAGTTGTGAAGGTGTCAAAGCCATGCATCGTGGCAAACGTGGACAAAAGACCAAGATTGTTGTGGATGAATCACTTATCATTGATGGTGGTAAAGGTGTTCCTGGTGAAGTCCCATCCCAAAATGAAAACTCTCGCATCAACGACTATGTGCGCCATGTACAAGACAGTTACAACGTCATCGAGGCCCTTGCACTCACCATTTAATTCTATACATCCCATCTCCCCCCCCTCTTTTTGCACATATTACAAGCATTTCAACATTGTACCTATTTCCCATATACACACGCATTCATTGCATTCATAAAAAAGTTTCAATTTAATGCATTCATCCTACATTTTATACAATGGACTTGATACCCTGGTATTTGGAATAGGAAAATAGAGGTCGGCTATGTAATTGCAAGGGATTGTTTGACCACACAACAAATTCATCATTGCCGTCCATGCTCTGAGAAGAGGAAAGACCGAAAATCTCTTGGATATTGGTGGTAACAAATCGCATAGCTTCTTCTTCCGATATATGACTAGCATCATCGGTAGCAGTGTTGGGTGAAGTAGCAGCTAACCATCCAGCATCCCAAGCCAAATTACGTGCCAATCCATCATCTTCAACGCCCAAAGCAATCTTGACACCATGGCGATGTAACACATGAGCTGCTGTACCATTGGTCAAGGGTGCACCGGTCAAACAATGAATAGAGTCGAAGCTAGCTGGTGTACAAAGAGTGGGTCGTAGGATAACGGGAATATCTGCATCTGCCAAATGTTGTGCTACAAGATGTGCCTCGGCGCCACCCATCACCACAAATCGTGTCTCAGGCAAATGGTTCTGCTTGAGCATCACCAAAGATGCAATCTCGTCTTTGTTGTGTACGCTCACCACCGTTGGGATTTCACCTCGTGCAGCTTGTCCAAACACATTCTTGCTATCGACATTGTCTTTCAATACCTGACGAATAAACGAAATTTGAGACGAGACGGTGGGGAAGCTGGCTGATTTGGCGTTATCTCCAATTTGTAAATGTAAGGCTGCAGCTGGAGTAATGAGTGCACCTTCCGAAAGTACTATGTATACCATAAAAGTTAGTCCTTGATATATGCAAGCTATGATGTTTGTATACTTGCATGAATCAGCATGTGTCTTGAAAGCCGTGCTCACACCAACAATGACATTATCGGACATGGGTGCAGTAATACTGTTCATGACACCACCCTTGAATGCCTCTTCCAAATGCCGAGTACCCAACTTAATGCCATCAACCGCATAAACCACATCTTGGGGATCCTTGGACTTTGAAGCCTTGACAGTGCCATCACCAGTACTTTCTTCGGAAGGAATTTCCACCACACCCAAATGAGAGCCAACTGCAATAAGACCCTATAGAGACATTAGTATATCATTTCATACACTATGGATGAATAAAGTACTTGCAGGAATCACATAACCGCCATTGACATCCATCATGCGAACATTATCCTTGGTATGCACCATCTCGCTGTCACACTTATCACCCGCACAGACCACCTTGCCATCTTGCACATAGACATTGACAGGACCGGTAATGAAATCTTTTCCAACCATGGCACCACCCACATTGGTCAACATGAATGAGTCTTCATCCTTGATATCAGCCGTCATTGCTTGAACAGAAATCTCCTTGTTTGATTCAGCGGTAGTATCATACTTGGCGTTGGCAGGTTCAATAGGCGTTTCATCAAAGAGAGGAATACCATCGACAAACACTTGAAGAGGTGTAGCACCAAGCGTAAGAGGCTCACGATCCCAAATGACCACATCCGCATCATATCCAGGCTTGAGTGATCCAACGCGATGATCCAATCCGATGGCTTTGGCAGGTACAGAGGTCACAGCTTTGAAGGCTTCTTGTAATGGGAGACCATAATGATTGGCCTTTGCAGCTTCAAACACCAAATGTTGAGAGTTGAGGACTGGATGATCGGATTTGAGAGCCACAGGGATACCAGCATCATGAAGAATCTTGGGGCCATAGGGCGAGGCTTGGAATGCTTCTTTTTTGTATCCCCAATGATCAGCAAAGGTGGCAATCACAATCTCATTCTTGGCTCGCTTGATGATATCAGGTACAAGGTACGCATCAAGGGCATGGTGGAATGCAGTGATGTTAAAGTTGAATTCATGCGAATGGCGAATCATAGCTTCCAAGTCATGTGTCTCATAACAATGGATGTTCAATCGGACATCACCACGCAAGAGTGCAACGAGAGATTCATATGCAAGATCTTCTGGGAATCGGGATTCGAGACGAGTATCAGGAGCATTGATATCCAAATCTTGTGCGGCAAGACACCAATCATTTTGAGCTTCCAATAATTGACGTGCTTCATCCAATCGTTGTCGGAACATGTACGCTTCACCCATACCTAAATGTAATACCTTAGTACACATATTGCTATCCCTTTCCTCAGTCCAAAATACATACGAGTTCTTGGCATACGTCCATGAGTCCCATAAAATCTCTACGAATGCAAATATTAGTAAGAGCTTACTCTTGAATCCTTTGTTAAATCCGATTACTTTTGGGTTCTCGCCGCACGCATTTTTCATCCAACGCCATTTTGTTTCAATAGATTCATCGATGCCAGCTTGAACAAGCATGTCGGCATTACTTGTAGTGGGTACTGGACGTAGTTTGAACACAAAGGCTTCACCACCCATGATGTTGGCTGATCCAGGAAGGACGAGAGCGGTCGTGACACCACCCGATGCAACGATGCGGATAGCATTATCTGAAGGGCTGAAAGCATCAAGGGAGCGTACAAATGGAGTCAATGGATTCGAAGCCTCGTTTGTTTCTTGAGAACCATCCAATTCAGGCCATGAGTCTAATCCCAGGTGACTATAATAGCCATTTTTAGCCATTTTTGGAATACTTTATGCCACTCCTCCGATCCATCGGTCTCCTCTCTTATCACTTACCTATGCATGTCAACTAATCCAGGACTCACAATATGACCTCGAACATCAATGATCTTGGTACCATCCGGCGTCTCGGTGATATCAGCTTGCACTTTTTTGATCACGCCATCTTGCATCAAGATATCAACATCTTCCAACACATTGCCTTGTCCATCCCAAACATTGGCATTCTTGAGTAAAATAGGTTGACTATCATTGGATGCACGTGGATTCGATCGATGTGGATTGGGCTCATTGGGAATACGTCGTTTGTTCTGAATAGCCTCGCATTTGTCAAGTCCTTGTTGCATGGCAACCTTGGAGATACCCGCTTTGACAGGTGCTTGCAAGTGTGATCGATGCCATGGATTATTGCCATCACTGCCGTTTTCAGGAAGAAGAAGTGCCACAAATAAAGCTGCTCCCAACGCCAAAAGAATGAGGATCGCGAGAATGTAGCCAATGCGGTAACGTGAAAAGAAGCCGCGATAGTCATAGTTCTTGACACGACCAAGCAAGCTGCTGTCGCTGTCATTCACTCCATGGGGCTGTTGTTCAGTGTCTCCCTCTTCATTGGTTGGAATGGCCGCGTAACCTTGTCTCCTCGTCGCCATGAAAGAATAAAGAAAGGTGGGAAAATATCAAGAAGATAAGGCGTTCTGAAAATGTATAACAGCTTCTGTGTAACTCGATACAAAAGATCTTGTGGCTATATAAGCGGTACATTGTTTTCCCCGTCTTGAGTCACGTGAGTCGACACATCCCCTCTTGAAGATTGGATCTCTCAAGTTTTCATCCTCACAAAGTAATCTTTTACATGTGTTTTATATTTTATCACAAGCAATATGCTGTCCAAGGAAAGAAAGATACACGAATGTGAAAACGAGATATGTATGATGGGGTGACTATGCGGGAAGAATGATATTGATTTAAACAGAGTCCAAAACAGGAGGCTCAACAAAGTCCTTGGAGACCTTGGTGCCAACATCACCAGCAGCAGCAGCACCACCGTGAAGAGCAAGCAAGGCAGAGACATCGAACTTGGGTGCCTTGAGGATCTTGACCTTGCGAATGTAGGTGTTTTGCAAGGGGTAGATACCTTGGCAAGCCTTCTCAATGCGAACAGCCATAGCATCTTGGGCAGAGTTGGAAGCAGAAGCGGTAAGCTTGGCAACAAGTTCCTTCAAGTCACAGCCGACAGTCTCCTCAGTCATGATGTCAAACATCTTCTTGCGGATTTGACGGATTTGGGAGCTTTGAGCATAGGTGGTCTTCTTGAGCTGGTTGCGACGACGAGCAGTGAAGGAGATGCAGAAGAGACGAACAAGGTAGCCATCGGTGGTCTTGACATCAACGAAGGCTTCAATCAAAGTCTATAATCCAATGCATCAATAAACCTCTATTTTCCTCTCTCTTCATCATGTAATGTATTATGTATATTACCTGCCACTTCTTGACCATGGAGCGAAGCTTATCCGAAGTCATATCCATACCATAAAAGTTGGTGAGGCAGTTCTTGCCCTGGATTTCATCAACCTTGAGTTGGATCTTGCGGAAAGCACGAGCCTCATCCTTGTTCAAGTCACCAAGAGAAACTTCAACAACACGACCGTTGAGAGAGTCGTTGGCGTTACGGAGACCCTGAGTACGGTTCACCAAAGTCTTGCCGACTTGACGCACCTCGAACATGGAGGGAGCCTTGATATCATACCAGTCCTTGCGGGTGAAGGGGTCAACGCTATTATATACGCAAATGCATATGAGCATCTTGGATCTACTGTTGTCGCTTTCGATCGTCCCCTTGTATTCGTCCCAATCGATGAAACTACTTACACCTTTTTCTTAAGACCCTTCTTTCCTTTGCTAAGGCGTCTATGATACAGCGATGATACGTGTCAGTGGATCTTTTTTCTAATGTCGCATAGTTGTGTCGCTGCTGTTGTATGTTGTCATGTTGATAAAACTCACTTGTTCTTGCCGACAGCTGAATGAAATTGAATCAAATGACATGGATTAGTGAGATGATCAAGTAGATGGATTGATGTGTGGATGGATGGATGGCTCACTCACCCATATTGGACGATTAAAAGGAGGTTCAATAGAGTGCACAGCTACCTCGTCGAGATGGCTCTCCCATTTCCAATTTTGGAACTCAGTGAATCATTTTCGTTGCCATGCAACCACGACGCCCATTGTACATATGCAATTTGTTTCATTGTCACACTATGCAGTCATCAGCTTCCTTATAATCAGCATCCATCATGTAGAAATTTTATTGTTGCAACCAGTGCTAGCAAATGAAGGTACTATATACCCAATAGAATGATGCAATTAAAGCTGTCCTTTGATATCCACTTTGCTGTACTTTTTCCCTTGATCAATTAACTGTGGCATAGCCGCCTTCGTATCCAATGATTCATCATCGTCACGTACATGCACACCATGTTGTCTGAAAAACTCCACCATCTCCTCCCTCGAATAGAATGCAAGCTCCTTAAGAATAAACGACAACTCAAGTCCCAATCGGTATCTAGATACAGCGAGTATAACCATTAGTTTCGCATGTGATCAATAACGTCTCCCATATACACTTACGCCTTGCATAACATTTTTAATGCTTGTATCCTTGTACGATTCACAAACTTGTCCATCAAAAAGCCTCCCCGATCTGGTACTTGCCGGTAGAGCATAAAGAACTTGTGGTATTCATCCCTGGCAAGAGCTTCACGTACATTCAATGCATGCTTCACGTTCGTCGTATCCAATCCCATCTTGCGACCTTTCTCTTCCAACTCCTTGATTTGTTGCACAAACGTGTTCAGCTCTATTGAAAAAGGTTTGAATGATCCATTTTGAACCACAACGACCCATCCATTGTCAAATTTACCTCCTGGACTTCCAGCATAAATCAGATATAGAATTCGGTATGCCACAAACTCTCCCACTGATCCCTTGACACCTTCCATGTAAAGATACATAAGCTGTGTTTGGCATTGATGATACTCGCTTAGGTCCGCCTGATATCAAAATCATGTAAGTATTTGGCTGTGATACTGAGGGCGCGTTTTCTTACCATTTCTAATGCAACCCGTGCATTATGCTCGTATGCCTTTGCTGTAAACTTGTTGCGAATATGTTGTACCTGGTGATATACACATCCCATGAAAATCCACTCTACAAATGCGCCACATCCATCCATGCCAACCTACCATAAGATCTTGCCGTAACGACTTGTACTGCTCACATATATAGGTATAATTATGACTGCCCTCTTGCCATGCCTCCGTTAGCATCTTGAGTGTCTTCTTCAACGTGGCTAACGTGCGCACCGTAGATGGATCAGGTGCCTAAAAAAGAATATCAGCACAAGTTTATACCTCATGTCAACGACTTACCGAAGTCAAACGAAAGTATGGCTTCTCAAGATCCGTGCAAGTGCCAACAATCTTTCGATCCATGTCCCATTCCTATTGCCAATATAAGAGACAAACATCCTCAATCACCTTGGCTTTCTCTTTTACCTTTTCCTCCTTTTCCTTAGTGGATTGTCGTTTGATGGGTTGATCATTTTGAAATCGTCGAGCTCGAAGTTCCCTCTTGCGCAATTCCTCCTCGCTTTCCTCAATAGCTCCCATCCCTCTGATACTTGATGATGTGTAATCCCTAACATAGAGTGAGTGATCGATCATCCCTTCCAATCATTCTTCAACCTTACCTTGAACCGCTAAATGCTTTGTTGGAGGCTAACGGTGGTGGTATAAAGGAAGGCTTATACTTTTGCGACTTGGCGACACCTCTTGGACTATGTTCCCGTGACGACGAAGCATTAGTGTTATGTTGAGATCTGCTGTGGTCAGAGCTACCACTGTTACTTTTGGGTGAACGCCTATGCAAACAACGACTAAGTACACAATACCAAAGTACCACTTCCCATGTGCTACCTTGCGTCCTCTACATTCCAACGATCTGCATTCTGGATACGGTCCTTTTTGTTTCTCTGTTGCTTGTAGGAGGGTCTGATTGACATTGACGAGCCCTTGGGACGATTGCTTTAAAGAGAAGGCGGAGGAGGAGGAGGAGGAAGAAGGCGTTATTGACAAGCAGCTCGAGAACGCTAATCAAGCTTACCCTAGATCCGTTGGCCATGCTAGCTCTTCTCGATTCGTGTCGGTCATTGCAAAGTGGGTCCTCTTTTGTTTCTTCTTGACGGGCTTGATGGCAAACTGGACGCTCATCGATCGCAAAAAGAGATAAGGGAGAAGAGGTAAGCTGCTGAGAATTCCTACATGAACAGCCTGAGTTATAAACCACGCTCTACTGCAACGCCGTTTTGACAACATGACATTGCTTCTTGCGCACAACTAGCAAGGTGGCGATGGTATCCCACAGGATGATGATACAACAAGATTAGAGCAGTGAACAAGAACCAATTGATGTCTCTTTTGTATAATAATGAACATTGAATTATAATAAAAGCATGAAGTTATTTACAAAGGCTAATAAGAATAGCACCAGTACTTGAGCATGGGTGAATCAGGTATACAATTTGTCATTGGTAGCTTGTTGGAGCATACAAAACGAGGATCCATCAATGCGGATGATGAGGAGGTATCTTTGTTGGTGGTAGTAGTAGCATGAGCACGGCTGTAGTAGGTGCGTCGCCCATGGGTTATGAGAGACCAAACGCTTTGCCATTCCTTTGGATGATCACCTCTAACGTAGTTGTCCGTTACATTGCCCACTTCTATGACTTGGATATTGTTGCATCGCTCTAGAAGCATCATTAAATACTTTGTAAAGTCGAGAGCCAATGGGGTATCTGCAATATTCAGGTAGTATAGCTTAGGTGCACGGTCAATGACATGCGTTAATAAACCATAAAGGGTGATGGATGGCGAGCTTGCAAGCGAGAGTCGCGCAAGGCGATAAAGTGTGGATGATTGTAAATGTGAAAGGACGCCGTCGTCAAGATGAATATGGCCACCCAGATGCAAAGTATGTAAGAACGGCATGTTGGATCCAATAGCTTGTAGAATGCGCACCAGACAAAAGGAACAGAATTGAGACGTTGGCATACCATTAAAAGCCATTGTCAAGTTAAGCTCCACAAGGGCAGTGGCACGATGCAAGAAAGGAACCAAGGGAGTATTGCAACAGGTGATGCCATGGCAACCTTGCAAACTGAGATGGGTGAGTGCTGTAGGATCAATGTGGGTAAACAAATCACTGGTGATCCGTGAATGTGACAAGTCGAGCCGAACAAGTCTTGTGGTCTTCTTGAAGAAGGGTATAAAGAACGAGGATTGTTTTAACGACATGCACATATAAAAAGACGCCGAATGAAGCGAATCGATCCTCTTTTTTGGCTCTTCTTCAATGACTTTGGTCATTGCACCAGCAAATTTGGCATCGCAGCATCCACAAAAATCGAGTACTTGTAGCCGAGAGCATTGAAGAAAGACGACCCGTAATACATCTGGATCAACAAAGGCCGACATCACCTGCTCGCCCACATAGAGCTCACGCACTCGTGTACATCCACCAAGAAGTTTTCCCATCCTCTTTGGACATATCAGCTCGTTTGCTTGTGCTTCGGTCCATCCAGATCCCCTTGCTGTAAAACTAGATAGGTCAAGCTGATGCACATAGGAAAGCCATCCTCGCTTGTAAAAGTCATCAAGGTGCCTGAAAAATGCTGCACACTGGCGAGGGCTATGAATCACCACCCTTTGAAACAACGAACGTACACATGCTGCATGCCATTTCCTATTGAGCGTTGCAAGCCTAGCCCTATCTTGAATGGAATCACAGCTTTGAGCAACAAGCTCAATCAACTCTGTAGATAACAGCATTGGTATTATATGGAAACGGGATAATGACGGAAGAATAAAGTGGAACGGGAAAGAATGGGAGAAAAAATTCGCGTGCGTGTGTTCCCAGGAATGGAACGCTTTATATGTGTAAGGTGGTGGTACGCTTTATCCAACATGGTGGTGGTGGGCGAAACAGCAGCACGTCATGGTACCACGTTACCCGATCTCAGTTCCCACGATAACAAGAAGGATTGATTGGCCAAGAGATGTGGTTTAGATCAACAATCCATCTGATTGGTCTTTGAAATCAAAACACTCTCGCGTGAAAATGCCTGCTTTCTTGATGCCTTTTGGAGAAACCCCGTTTTGGGAAACGTCATGCAAAAGAAAAAACATCCACCATAGCGTGTGTATGTGATTTGTCTCTTATGCACATTTCAGACGCATTAACAATGCTATCTGCAAAAAGCCTTTTGAAGCACCACCACCACATGTATGCATGATATCAATCCAGACCACTTTTACTATAATTAACCAGCACCCCGTGCCTCCTGGAATACCATGCTTTTTTTTTCAACGTCTATGCAGAAACAAAGTACACACGCGCACGATTGATTGTGATCGATTAAAAACGCTATCCGCATTTGGATGCAGAACCCTTGCTGTTCTAAGCTCACATCGACCCTGATGTTGCTCCACAATTTTGGATCATGTCAACTAAACATGTCAATGAAGAGGAGGCTTGTGTTTGAGAGGCGGGTTAAAAATGACCCCCTTTTCCCTCAACCATCTATGTATTTCACACATCCACGGCACATCTATGGGTATTCTCTATTCTCAAAAAGGTTATCATCAACCCTATGTCATTATGCATCTCGCCTGCATTTGGTAAGAACAAGGGTTCACTGCAGCCTTTATGCGATGATGTAAATCCAATGTATGGGTCAATGATCCGTATCACCGTAATAAGAATCACTGTATCAATGAGATAACGTTGTCGAAGCTTTACAGCCACGCGTGATGTAACATTATTTCATGCTTTACAAATAGTAGTACAAGGTGCATGGTATTTCACTGCTGATATCACAAATTGAGTCTTGCATTGTTCAAAGAAGATTGACATGTGATGGTGGAATGCATATGCAGGGAAGAAGAGCATGACTTTTTCAGCAAACTGATAATGTGCATAAAATGAAGGATGTCGTTCGTGATGATGTGTAATCGTTAAACGCTAAGAGGAAGAGTGTATGTAGTAGTATGCCATAATGGTTAGGTATGGGCTGCATAAAAAAGTAATAAACAACGTGTAAAAAAGGGCTATGAATGTGTTCCAGAAGGCTGCATACAAGCGTAGTAGTATGCAAATTCAACATTCTAACCTCGAATGTAAAGCGAATCTTCCTAAAAACGGCATGTGTCTCCACAAAGTAGAAGGATACGGATGATACTATACATAAAGGCTTCGTAAAAAGAAAAGAGGAAAAAAAAGAGTACTGCAGCGTCGTGTATCACGATGAATAATAGTGGGCTTGTTGTTGATTCAAAGAGAAGAGGAGGAGAGCGAAACTCAATCTTCATCATAGTTGACGGAAGAAGGACCATTGCCTGATAGCATCATCCCATGATGATGATTTGTAGGTGGATGGTGGGTGTTGCTATTGTTGGGTGCTGTGGCAGTCGTCGAATGCGATAATGGGTAAATAGGGTAATCCGTACGATGATCAACAACAGCTGAGAACGTCCGACACGATAGTTGATCTAATCGATACCCACGCTTTAAAACAAACATTGCTAGAGCTGCCACGTGGTAAATGTATACTTACCCATCATACTGGGCATTTCTGTTTTGGTGCGAGAATATTGATTGTCGTCTTGTTGGGCATTAAAGTTACCCACAGATGGGTCATGATTTGGCGCCACTGCTACTGCTGCAGCTGTTGCAGAACCAGGAGGAGGGGGTTGAGCAGCAGCAGCAGGAGTACTAGGAGGGCGTACTATTGGATCAGCAGCATGTTGTTGTTGATGATGGTTGGGTGACCAATGCGTAGAGACGATCAACGACGGACAACTGGTTTGTTTTGAAAGATGGCTCTTGATATACCCTTCTATGTTTGAAAACCAAAAAGAATAACATGCTACCACTCAGCTGATGTTTACATTTACATTTACACATATTGTTGCCATTACCCATATTGTATCTATTGGCCGTGGTGGTGTTAGTTGTGCCGCCAACAGCAGCAGCAGGGAATGCCCGAGCCGATTGATATGTCAAAGAAGTCATGTGAGTGGTGGTTGATTGTGCTGGTGATGTTGTTGAAGCCGTGTTAGCCCATGATGGTGATGATGCTGTAGGTGATGGTGTGGCTTCTTGTAGCTGAAACCCTGTAGAAGTGGTGGTGGTTGTTGTTGTCGATGGCTTATTTGATGATGATGATGCCTTGCACAAGTCATTGTTGGTTTGTGATATGGCGAGTGATGACTTTTTTCTCCTTGTTGCGCGATGAACACACTCGATCCTGTTGGCTGAACAAAAAGCACATGGGTTTCCACCATCGCATTTCGTCTTGCGTCTACGACAAACTTCGCATGCTGATCCTGAGCTAAGTCGACGTGGAGGAACACTACTAGAAAAAGATCCTGTACTTTTGGATCTGCTGAGTGAGGGTGGTGGTATTGTTGTTCCATTGGCATCTTGGATGTTTTTATGCATCACAGCATAGTGCAAACGACTCTCTTCACCAAGGATACATTGCAAATTGGTGGCGTGATGAGACGAGCTAGGTGATGAAAAAGACATGGAACGTAGATAGAGAAGAAGGCGAGAAAAGGAAAGAAATGGTCTTGTTGTTGTTTTTATAAATCGATGATTGCGTAGTAATAGTAGTAGAGTGAAAAGAAAAGAAAGGAAAGGTTATAAATACAGAGAAACCCTCTTGCTCCAAAAGAAGAATAACACCAATTGAGGAAGGGAAAGATGCTTATCGAAATATATATACATCATTTGTGTGAGCACCTTTTGCTTTGGATTAGGGAGTTGAGCACATGGGCGGGAGGACGATCCAGCTTAATTGCAGGCCATGCAACCAAAAGCGGTGGTTGCCCGTGGCAACTTGGGTAAGATCCATGGCAACGGCAAGCGATAATGGAAAGTTTGGGGGGTGAGGAGATTGGGTAACACAACACACTTCATTATCCTTGAGACCTCCTTTGTTGACGGATCAAATCGATTCATGTGTCCATTGTGATTGCCACTAAAGAAAAAGCCGCCCAAGCAGGTGGTATCCAATATTAAATTACCCATTTTCAAAGGGGGGTTGGTGTACAAGATATATACTACAGCATCAGATGCTGCATTATTCCATGGATTCTCATTTTCTTTAACGCACAGCCTAAACTTTTCAAGATTACCGGAGTGCTCGGAACAGCGCTCCGGTAAATGTCGTCCCTGAATTGGCACCAGGTAAACATGCAGTCAATTCCTTGATGAAAAACAATGCTATCACCCGATATCACACTATGTTTTGTGCAATAGCATGCATATAAAGAGATAGGCGTTGAGCGTGTGAAGATGACGCTGTTCGATGGGATGAGACCTCAAAAAGAGAAAGGCGGGAAAGCAGCATACAAAGGGTAAAGTATCCTCAAGTTAGTTCCGCAAAGCATTGCAGGTTTATTTGTATTTAGAGTCGCCTATGTTTACTGTACTTCATTTTCAGTGGTCCATTATCAAATCGAGGATATGAGAAAAACAAATTGCGTATGGTACTTTGTACTCGTGCTTATATGTAGTTGTGGTGTATGTGGTGAAGGATCATATATATAAGATCAGCAAGTGATGATTCATAAGGGGGGGGAGAGTGGGGAAAAAGAGAAGAGCCAAAACGCATCCTAGGAGTAGTGAAAAGGTGAAAACCAGCAAGGGGTTGTTGGAGGGAGAAAGTAAGAACGAGAACATTCACCCACGCACACTTGGCCACTCACTTGTGTGAGACGATCATTTATTTGTTCGGGTAGTATTTTGAGCACCTTATCTTGACAGTGTGTCCTTTTTGAGTAGGCCTGTTATTAAAGTTTTCTTGAGTATAGCAATCCAGTGTGAGGGGGGAAAAGATAGTATCGGCTCGGCTATCGGATCGCACAAACGCTATCAAAACCTGGGGCAACGAACCTTTCTTGACATCAACATCCGATAGTAGTACCTCGAATCATTCATTAAGCTACTATCAAGCTATCCAAAAACATCATTATTATGGTTCATAGTAGGTGTTGAATTTAGCTCTTCTTTAATCTTTTCTTTGCTCTCAGGTTCTTACATACCAAAATGTACGACTCTTGCCATCGCCAAAAGACGCTCCTTGTCTCCTATTTCGAGCCAAGTCCGAATAAATGTGGGGTGGGTGACACATTCCTGATCCAGATGAAAGTTGGCACACGATGTTACACTGGTAAAGAGATCGAGAATATGCGAATCCGCCAAAGAACGTGGGGTTGGTGATCATCGCACATAGGTTGTGCTGTGTGCTCATTGTGCTACACTCCACGGCACAAGTGACAGAATCCAAAAGATAATGAATAAAAGGACATTGAATAGTAACTCTTGGGTTTATGTACTACAACAACGCTGATTACGTACCATACTACTCTATAACAACAATCGACATTTAGCAAGAGAGAGGGTATTTTGGTTTGGCCTGGTTGGTCTATCCTCCTTGTGCAGCAATGGGTATCAATTCCCAAGGGTAGATCCATTTCATTATTACACTATGCATATAGGATACTTGCATAAGGTATGCAACAGCACAGCTGATAGTAGCATAGACATACAGCTTACCTTGTTTATACAATCAGGGTCCCTTTGCATAGATGAATGGATCCAATGATGTCTTTGTGTATGTATGTATGTGTGGGTGGATGTGTGGGTGTACGTATAGGCACAGGAACGCTGTCATTTTCTTTTCACACGTGTTTTCACTAGTCGCTATGTCCTCTTCTTTGTATGCAACCACCAAAGCCAGCATCGCAAAAGCACAAGCACTGTTCCCTCACCGATAGAGAACGAAAGCGAGGCAGGGTACGCATATCGTTGCATCTCGTTCCATTCGAGCACTTTATTTATTCTTCCTTTCTTTGAGAACACAAGATTTCCACTGTCTTCCATCCACAACAACAACAACAACAACAACCAGCAGCTGCCATTTCCACAATTGTAGTTCCATCCAAGGAATCAGTCAAGCCCACTCGTATACCAGTTCCTATTTCAAAAGCAACCATCAACAAGGCACATGAGACCATTCCAACGGCTGCCGCTTCGAAACCGTCACCACCAGCGACAAGGATACCAACGACACAAGCGTCTCGGCGTGACCTCATGGATGCTTGCAGCACCAAAAGTACATCTTCCTATACCAAGAGAACGAGTCAGCATGGCATGATACAGCAACCCATTCAGTATGGCAACAACAACAACAACAGCAGTAGCAGTGGTGGTGATCCATGTACCAGTACTAGCACCAGCACCACAGCAAGTGCTAGAGAAGGGATGGCTGGCTTGGTGGTTGCAGGTCGAGATGATGAAGAACAAGATGATCATGCCACCTATATTCGTGAAAAGGAACAAGGCATTCGTGTAGCAATGAGCCACCAAGGTAATTTGATGGGAAACGTCGATCAAGGAAACGTTATTCATTCCAATGTATAGCTGCACTTAAACTCCATCATGCAAAATTGACCAGCTACGAACGCAAGGAGATCCTCGAATATCCTCAGGTGTTTTTCGTTGGCCATCATGCTCGCAAACATAAAGCAGCGCCACGACAGCCTAATCACAACTATGGTTTCGATGACGATCAAGGCAACTATCGATTGACAATGCGAGATCATTTGGCGTATCGCTATGAGGTCTTGGATGTATTGGGATCAGGTGCTTTCGGTCAAGTTGTACGGTGCTTTGACCACAAGATTGGACATATGGTGGCTGTCAAGATCATTCGCAATGATAAGAGGGTGCACACACAAGCAGTGGTAGAGATCAATGTGCTGGCAGATATCGTGCGATGGGTGAGTGGACACATAGAACAACGCTGCTATGTAGGGTGACCAGGTTGCTCATTTTTGTTTTAGGATCCACAAGATAAACACCACAATGTACGCATGCTCGATCACTTTTATTTCCGGAAACATCTTTGTATCACATTCGAATGCCTCAGCATCAATCTTTATGATCTTCTCAAGGATAATCAATTCCGTGGTTTGAAGATGGGCTTGATACGCAGGTAGGTCATCATTGGCCCTTTGTTGGCATTTTTGCTGATATGCCATTTCAGATTTGCTTCTCAGGTGTTGGATTCATTGGTCTTATTGCATGAGCATGGTTTGATCCATTGTGATTTGAAGCCCGAGGTAAGGACATTATCAGGTCATCAAGGCGAGAAGGAGAGCTGACCATCTTTTTTCTCATGATTAGAATGTGCTCTTGCTTGATCCTACGAGGAGTGCCGTCAAGGTGATTGACTTTGGAGGTTCTTGTTTCGAGAATAAGAGAGGTAAAGTAGAATTGAATATGAATCTCATCGACTCTTACTCACCAAACTCTCTGCAACAGTTTACACCTATATCCAAAGTCGGTTTTACCGGGCACCCGAGGTGATGCTGGGAATCGCCTATACGACAGCCATTGACATGTGGAGCTTGGGATGCATTCTAGCCGAGTTGCATACAGGTAACTATCTCGTGGATTGAATGATGGACACGCTATCTTACGATGTGTGGCGCTTTCATTGTACAGGAAACCCACTCTTTTCTGGAAACACTGAACAAGAGCAGATTGCGTATATCATGGAGATCCAAGGGATACCCGACAAGTGCTTATTAGAAGGAGCATCACGTCGTCAACATTTCTTCGGTATGGGATGGACCATATTGGCTAAAGCCAATGATGCTTACTTGTCTATTACTAGATGTCCATGGTAACCCAAAGATACCAGCCAGCAACAATGGCAAACGATACCAACGACCGGGCTCAAAGACCTTAGCACAAGTATTGGGCTCTTCGGATAAGCAATTCAACGACTTTATTGATCGATGCATACAATGGGATCCTGCCAAGCGGCTGACAGCCAAAGATGCTCTTCAACATGCGTGGATAATGCAGGGATAATGATAATGATAATGATAGTGGAGTGTGTGGGTTGTTTATTATGAATTTGTTTATGCAGGGTACCAATCTTAATTAAAAGCATCTTAATGCAGGGGACAAAATGTTATTTCTTGCCATACTTTTTATCCATGATGTTCTTGACCATTTGGTATTCACGATTCAGCTTTTGTTTTTCGGACATGCCACGGCGTTGTTCACGATTTCGTTTCCTGCCATCGCCTAATTTCACACCAAATTGAGACACGCTCTTGGGTTGAATCTCGACTGAATCCTTGTATTTTTGCCATTGTTCCTCATCATCAAAGTCCCATCGTGTGAGCTGCGCCTTTTTGTTCCTGTGAGTGCCTTGATCGATCAATGATGTGGCAGCAGCATCACCCTCCTCTTCACCCGACTCGTAGGCAACCGTACGTCGACGTTCCTCAAACGATGTCGGTAGTGCTTCTGAACCCAATCCATACATGTCAATATCAGCTGCATCCACATCCATTTGCTCGTGTGCGAATTTAGGTCGCTTGACACCATCACGCTCTGTGCTGGAAGAAGATGCGGCAGAGGAAGACTCGCGTTTTGTTGCCTGAGATAGTAAATTGGATACTTCTTTCATATCAACATCAGCTGTAGTAGTGTCTTCTTCTTCCTCTTGTTCATGCATCAATCCAGTAAAGTAATTGCTCTTGTTGTTGGTAGTGGTTTCTGCTGCTGGCGGTGGTGGTGATGACGATGGTGATGATGATGATTGTGCTTTCTGTAACGAGGATTCATCCAACTCATAATCACGACCGACATCAGCAAAAATATCGCCATCGAATGTAACTACTGGTGCCTCCTTTTTCTTTTCAGTTGCTTTGGTGGTTGATTTTGGTGTCTCTTTGGTCTCTGATGTGCTATTATTGTTGTTCTCCTTGCGCATGATTGCTGATATCTTGCGTATAACGAGCTCCGTCTCAGCCTGAAGATCGCTCTGTCGTCGTACAGTATCTGCTTTGCTGCGTGTGATGGATGTTGGTTGTTCAAAGGCATCATTGTAATGACCCACTGGATCCGCCATCTCAAAGACATACGCCATACGCCCGGGCATAAACAAGTCCGTCGATCGCTTAACTTGACTCTGCTTGAAAAAGTGGGCAATGTTCTTGGCCAAAAGAGTGTGCACCTTGACTTGCTCTTGCTTTCCAATCTTGCTCAAAGCTTCATCGATTTCTTGATTCTTTTCCACTGTTGGATCATCCTCTTCTTCTTCCTCCTCTTCTTCCTCCTCTTCTTCTTGTTGTTGCTCCAAAAGTGCTTCTGCTTGTGCTGCTTTGTTGTTCAAATCGGTGCGAACACGTTCCAATAAACTGTAATCGAGACCCTTTACAAGATGCGTATGCTCCACATCTCCTCCAAGATATTTCGATTGTTCATATACTTCTTTGGCATCCAATGTCTCATCCTGCTCACGTGGCTGTAACAAATCTTCTGTTGATCCCTCATCCTGCGTCTCGTTGGCACGTCGTTCAGCTGCTCGATCACGATAATTCGATGGTGTTGCTGGTGGTGCTGTTGGTTTGGGTCGTTTCTTACGCACTGAATGAGGCTGTGCAAACACTGCACCCGTATTCCTTCTATGTATACGAACCAGATCGTAAGTTGATCCACCTTGACATGCTGATAAATGGTCACTTACGGCGTCTTTGGAGGAGGTGCTTTGAATTGAGGTGTCTCGTTGTTGGTGGATGCTCCTGGTCGAGGCGTTTGCAGCAATTTACGAAAGTCGTCTTGAGTCAATCTGTGAGAGTATGTTATTAGCCTTGAATGGTTGGAGTCACTATTGAGTTGAAGAGATAGAGACATTACCCATTGTCGCCCATGGTAACGATTTGCAAGAAAAGGAAAGGCTGTCGTCCCAACTCCCTCCCACACAACCTAAATTGCGCATTCCGATCAATGCACCGTACTATTATGGAGATACCCTGTAATACTTTCCTAAGCATGAAACACAATAATACATTGATTTGGATCGTTGCCATGATACCGTTGTTATTTGCCTCTTGCCTTTTACGAGGTTGTCCTTGTGCTGTAGATGATTGACTACTGCTTTGGGACACCTATCATCAATGCCTTGACATGCCTTTAAGCAAGCTTGCTTTGGCCCACACAATGCATTGTATTCAATTTCCACTCTTCAGCATAGAGCTGAACATGGCTATGTATGGATCATTTCTTGTGGCCATTAGGCATCGAAGGAAGGATACGCAAGATACCTTGGATGAAGGTTGTTGTTGAAAATAACTTTATCATACTTGTGGATCAGTTAAGGTTTATGAATCTAAATACACGTTGTGGCAGTTTATTAGATCTTCGTTGTTCCATTACATGAGAGAAATGGTTGGCTGGGAAGTAATCATCATTCACTTGTAGACCACGTGATTGCATCATTGTTGATGTCATTTGATATTCTTTACTATTCCTCCCCGACGCGAAAAGGAGCATCATATGAGATGAGGGGTGTTACAATGGTTGGAGAGATTAGTCTAAACAAGTATTCCGAAAGAGCTCATGAGAACGGCAATGGTATCAGAACAATAATGGCCATGATGATGAAATATGGAAGATAGTAGACAACAACAACAAGGTATTTATGACCACGTTTGGCATGGATAGTGTGAGGGAAGATTATGATCGCCTGTTCCTGAATAATGCTGTTGTTATGATATACACAAATCTCGTTGACTTGTTATACAAATAAAGGATCGTACGCGTTATCGTGGGCTTTTTTTTCTACGGCTGGCTTATGTTTGTGTGTGATGACCCGGCAGCAGGAGGTACCACTGCGACAATTGAACAAGGTCACTAGATCAGCAACCAAGAGCAAAAGAAAAGCGGCGCTGTGGGATGCGGAGAGGGCTCCGACGTTGAAATAAAAAAATGTACCTTGTCATAGGAACAAAGCCAGAGTGCATGTTCAATTGTATGAGCAAATTAGAGCTGTAAACATATTCACACGGGTATGCCATCATCATCATTTTGTTTACAGGATACAAGCTGTCATGTGCAAAGTGGTATCCCTTCCTTTTGTAGGTTGGGTAAAGGTAGGTGCCGCTGCTGCTGCTGGTTCTCGTATATAGACGCAGCATCATCCTCCACAGCACACCTTTCTCTTTTTTTACTATTCATCAACGTACACTTTATCTTCTTCAAGTCGACCACCAAAATGTACCCATCATTTCCACCGGGTTGTCCACCACCTATGCCACCTCCTCCACCACCGGCAGCAATCCCCACTCCACCCATGAGTACTATGACTCCATACAGTATATCATCCATGGATCCTTTAATACAAGCTCATATGGGTCCACCACCACCTCCTCCACCTCTCCCAAAACCGCCGCCAGGTTCAAAACCTATTCCATCAGTTACAGGTAAACCTCCACCAGCAGCACCACCTCATGCACCCTTTGCTGCAAATCCATCCACTTGTTGGGGTGACAGTATAGCCTGGTATGTGTTTGAACGTATCCATAATTCTTCATACATGATGCTCACATACATCGCTATTATAGCCTAACAATCGCATTTTGCTGGTGTTTTATCTGTGAGGAGTATAACGGGCCTGAAGAGTATTATTAAACCATCCATCACCACCACCATAATAGACATAATAATGTAATCCACGTGTGATACCCATGCACGCAGTGATATGTAGATAACAATGAAACATGCGGTATTGTGAATAAGTGTATTAAATGATATAGGGTTGTACGTCTATGATGATGATATGCTGTTATCGTGTTCATGGTATTGATAAAGTATCTCGAATATAGTCGACCATGAATCGTCGCCATTGATACCAGGTCATGGCTTGTAAAAGACAATCACTCAAGTCATCCTTTTTCCCTTGTTGAAAGAATCCATCCTTGATTTGCGTATCACGACATGTCACAACCTGATTCTCTCGCAACCAATGCTCCACAAGACGTGAACAAGCTTGTTTCTTTTGATACGTTTTTGATCTCTTTGACATTGCCAATGATAGTGTAATGAATTTTTCCCACTCAGGTGCCCATACACGATCCACCGCTTGTCGTTGAATGGCCACCAAAGGGATTGTTTGTAACGAATCATGCCGATCGACCATGTCGTACAGAGCGTACCACAACATTGCTTCCACACAATTGACACGGATTGTCGTTTCCAACACCGCAGCAGCACCAGCTTCACGATAGCGTTGTTGTTCCACCAATACAGCACCCACATCATCTTTCTTGCAAAACAATAACGGCTCCAGACTTGATTGAATGTATCGACGGACAAAGGGTGCGCTGACTGAAGGATGAAATGAAGAAGCCTCTTCGGGTATATCAAGGTCGATTCGATCCCATGCAAGGATAGTGTTATCATGCCGTAGATGTACATGAGCAAGGTTGCGGTATCCAAGGTCCAGAGATACAACCGATGTTGGCACCAATTGATCGGCTTCAAAGGTGTCATGTCGTGCAATGCTGTTCATGGCCGATGCAAAGCGGTGCCTGATGCGATCGCACACCTCATTCTTCCTTCCACTCGTTGATATACCACACTGAATAGCCACATCCTTGAGTTCATACGCCTTGAGATTGGATAGTCTTTGAAATGATACACGACAACAAATAAATCTTCATTTGAGAACCTTGTAATGGAAAAAGGGTGCATCATGGATGGACGTGTGTTACCTTGCATCAATAGCGGAAAGAGCTTCACCGGTATGGATCCCTCGTGTGAATGGTGATGATATTGACTGTGCTCTGCCTCGTAAGGGACATAACAGCAGCCTTGACATGAAGGAAGAATGGAAAAGATACGAGCAAATGAAGAAGAAGCTTGGATGAGTCTGAGTCACAAAAGCTGTGGTATTTGAGGACACGTCTTTCTTTCATTTTATTCCCCCCCCCTCTCTTTCTCCACTCTACCTTCCTCCTGCTATTGCTTTTCATTCATCCTTTATTTCAGCCACGTATATGCGTCCTCCAATGACATCAAGGCCACCATCTATTGTGTGAAAGCAACATGTGTGTGTCGTATCAGCGTTATCAGGGGAGGAACAAGTCCCATGCATGCATGTCGTACGTATATCCAAAGACAATGAAATTGGCATCACACCCCCCCCCTTTTTTTACCCTTTACCTTGATGCATAAAAGGCAAATGACAGATCCATCTCACACATCTACTTTCACTTTTCTTTATTCTTTGACATGAAAACGCCTGCAGAGCTCAACCCCAACATTGGTGAACCGGCTCCTTCTCCCTTTGGTTTTGCCAACGTCCCTGCTTTCGAGAAACCTATTGAGATCAAGATCCAAGGCATAATTCCTTCCTGGGTCAATGGTGTACTTTATCGTTCAGGTATGTTTTATTCACTACTGCCAATGGAACATGTCACTAAAACATTTGAAACAAAAAAGGATCCGGAAGGTACAATGTATTGATGGATAATGGCGACACGCACCACATCGGTCATCCATTTGATGGTCTTGCCATGTTGCATCGTTTCGAGGTGTCAGGTGAAACACAAAAGGTCCATTACACATCCAGGCACACATCACATGGGCTCGAAGACCGTATCCGTAACGACGACAAGACACTACTCACCTTTGGCCCTGATCCTTGCAAAACGATTTTTGGTCGTATGCAAACATTCTTTCACCATATCATGGAATTCAATGACACCATGCGCAAGCACGAGGAGGATCCAGAATATGACTTGGTCAATGTCACCATCACACCCAATTTTCCTATTGGCCCACGACTCGAAAGGGAGACTGGTGTTAAGCGTGGTGATGCCGTGGTTGTCAAGCGGGATGCAAACACATTACAATTGGTGGATAAGGATACATTGAGTAAGTAGCGTCTTTGAAAAAAAAAAGAAGGATGACAATGGGCTAATCATCAAAGCGATTGAATAGAACCACTCAAGCTGTTTACGTATGCTCATATGGACAAGAAGCTTTGGGGAATGCTATGTGCCTCGCATCATCAATATGATAAGGATACGAATGAATACGTCAACTTTATGGTGCGCCTTGGTCCTATCCCTAGTTTCCAGACATTTACTGTCAAGCCATTCTCACCCGACTCGGATGAAATGCCACCACCTACAACAACGGTGCATGAGCCCATATGGAGGCATTTAGGTGCATGGAAGACAATGGAGGTGCTAAAGCCATCATACATTCATTCATTCAACATGACCAAGAACTACATCATTGTTCCCAACTTCCCCTACTACTATGGATTTGGCGGGATGGCAGCCATTTATTACTCGAATGCATATCAAACATTTCATTGGGAAGAAAATCGACGCACACTATTCCACGTGATTGATCGGCACACGGGTCGACATGTAGCAACATACGAAGCGGATCCATGCTTTGGATTTCATGCAGCCAATGCATGGGATGAAGAGGTGTTACTTCCAGGTGGAGAAAAGGAGCGAGTCATCTATTTGGATTATTGCATGTATGAGAATACCGATATTGTGGATGCCAGCTTTGAGCTTGGAAAAGCAGCACCTGGTGGCAAGGTCAATGAGAGCAAGGTCAAACCTGTACGATTTGTGGTCAAAAAGAAGGCACAAGGCAAACCTGGAAACAAGATTGCACCAGCTCAAGTGCGTAGATATCGACTTGGACAAGTGCCTCGCAGCGATGAGAATCAGAATGCATGGTCACCGGGAAATTTGACAGGCGGATATTTGTTTTCAGGGATGCTCGAGTACAATAAGCGTCGTGTTGCTTCTTACACCGTTTTGGCCCATGACGTCGAATTACCTCGATTCAACGAACAATACAACCTCTCAAAGTATCGCTTCCTTTATGGTGTTTGTGAGTCACGCTATGCTCCTTCTTATGCTGCAGGTGCCGTTGTGAATGGCCTCATCAAAGTTGATCTTGATCACCCGTTTCTTGGCTCCAACACGCACCCCGATAGCACAGCAATGATGTGGGATCAACCTGGATGTTCTTGCTCAGAGCCCGTATTTGTGCCTAAACCAGATGCAACCCGTGAAGACGATGGTGTTATTTTATCCGTGGTCAACAAGACAACCGAGGATGGCAGTGAATCATGCTTTTTGTTGGTGTTGGATGCACAATCGATGCAAGAAATGGGTCGTGCCACTCTTGGAGACTTTAATGCCTTGACGTTGCATGGATCGTTTGTGGATGCTAATGGTGTAGCTGTTGCCATTAATTAGTAGTGTATTACAAAGCATTGAATACGTTGAAACAAAAAAGCAAAAGATAAAGATAGCTATGCTCTTATCATGACAGCCCTTTAATGTTGCATCTCAATCCTTTGGACGCTTTATTGCGTATATGAATACAGCAAGTGATAGAATGGATGATTGGTTTGCCTTTTGCTGCCTTAATTTGGTCGAACCTGCTGCATGGATAAGCATTGCCAAACATTCCCAACATGATGTTGTCGGCTTGCCGCTCATCACATCTTACAACTTTACATGTCGTTGATTTCTTATATCTGAGAAGCCGAATTTATGTATGTATCACGGAGGATGATCTTTGTAAACTTGTTGACTTGAGCTGGTACACGTGCTGATTGTTGTTGTGGTCATTTTCTTTGTTCTTTTGGACCACTGCATGATGGCACAAAGACACCACAGGGTCCCTGATGCAAAAAGACAATCGTCACGGAGTTATCAGTTATTGATGTTCCAATCCTTCTCTTGCCAGTAATTCAATTTTTGGATGTTTGGCCCATATTTATCAGGTAGTGCAATCAATCATGGTGTTCCCACGCCCGCATACATAAAGGCAAAGGCTGTTGTCACCAACATTATCATCGTCTCTTTCATCTACATGTATCATTCAACCACGCCCCCATACATAAAAACAAGGCTGTTGTCACCAACACTATCATCCTCCCTTTCATCTACATATATCATCCAAAGAAGCCGTTGATGTGTTTTTGGGAGTGAATCACCACCCAAAGATGGCACGTTACTTTGCGCCTCTTGAAGCCGAAGGTGGTCTCGTTCTATAGAAAAGTTGAGGACGTTGTTGGGGACATGAGTCTATCGCTGAAGACGCGAGCTAGCAAGTCGAAGAAAAATGTTTGCTCGAACAACAACGCAAGCATGCTCTTACAAGCCATGAGTCTTATTTCAATTTCTATGCTGCCCATTTGTAAGTATCATCATCATCTCCTCTTATACATCTCACGTTAACATTAAGGCTTCGTCTTTTATATAGTGAAACCTGGTTTTTTCAACAGCATGTGTATGTCTGGAAGTGTGGAAAGACCCAAGGTGGGAAACATACCAGGATACGATTGACGTGTACATGACAGCGGATGGTGTCGTCGAACCTTACTGAGGTGGCAAAAATTTCGGGACCACTGCTGTACTCTTCCAAAAGCCAAGTTACAAATTGATTGTATTGGTTTTGGGACCCGTTATCCCGAAGCAGTCTCAGAGAAGCAATCTTCATACATATTATAAGATGGTAAGTAGCTTGATGTATCATGTGTATTAGCTTGTGTGCTGACGTACGATTTTTTAGGGGTGAAACAGCTTCGCCCGCTTCAGCAGAAGCACGTAAAGATGGCAACGGTGACAATGAAGATAACCTCATGGGCGACAAGGTCGATATGAGGGTGCTCGCCAGTTACGATGGCAGCGAGTGCGACATGTTGAATGGGGAATACGCCAATTGCAGTCAAGGCGATATGAAGTTTTATCAAGACCATCGGAAAGTGCTTCGGGGAAGCCAAAGTGATTTTCGACATCATTAGCATCAAGAGTGACATTCACCGTAAAGAGCTCAAACGATTGCTGGTGCCTACATTCCAAGCAACTGGACTTGAAGGCGAGATGATGATTGACAAGATCACTGCAGCTGGCCTTTATACTTCGCAACGAATTGGCTCGCTTCCCATCCCACATTCTCACCAAACGTTGCATGATCTTCGCAAATGCATTGAAAAGATCATCTTTATAAAGGTAAACCCTGAACAACCAATAAATTTGACATGCCGTCACTAACCAAAACAGCTCATTTACTTGTGGATGGTCTGAAGAAAGGCTCAAGGTCCAAGTGAAGGGTCAAGGTGGTTCAGTGCTCAGGACCCTTTCGCATTCATCGAATAACGGTGATCAAGATGAATCTTCGTAGCTTCGTTCTACATACTTGGTTTCCATCCCTAGAAAAGAAAGCACGCACATTACCTCTTCTTTATTTTCCTAATACTGCTGTATCCCATCTACTATGCCATATGCCCAAACAATGCGATGTTTCTTTATTATGAACCATGATGAAGGTCTCAATGATAATATTGTAGTAGTAGCTAGCGGTGGTAAAGGGTGAATACAGGCTTCATAACCTATATCCTCAAGATGCCTTTTATAAAAGCAAAGACCACAGCTTGTCACCCAGGTGTTGGTGTTTGTACACAAAGAAAGATGGTGGTCAACAAGAGCAACCAAATTCGGAATTGCTGGTAACCTCATGCTTGTAGCTCTTTATCGATGATTGCTGGGAGATGGTATGGATGTCTCTGATAGCAATGGTTTACATGAAATGAGGATATGAGAGGGTGGTGATGGAATGGGGATGATGCAGGTGACATGTGATATGGATTGACGTTTATTCATACGAGGAACGCTTGTTTGATTAGGAGACACTATGCGGACCTAAAGGATATGGTGTTACTTTATATGCATCCACCAACAGTCAAGTCCCTCTTTGTTTTTCACGACTTGCTCCTTTCTTTTGTCCCATGGCTGAAGGTACGTGTATGATTCATCTCTCTCATGCACACCACATAACAAGCGACTCACTCCCCATACCACAACAGACAAGTATAAGACAAAGTACAAAGAACTCAAACGACGGATCAGACAAATCGAAGACGTACGTTTATGCCACGCTAATCTTAGACCTCATCCCAATTCACCCCATCATGACTACTTCTAGGAGAACGATGCACTGCATATAAGGATCTACAAGGCACGAAAGAGCATCAACAGGCTACGACTTGAACGAACGTAGGTGGTCGCTACCCTTTTTTGCTTTGTACACGTACCACTTTATGCTGATAGATATGAGATAGCTTTCTCTTGGAGCGTATGGATAAGACACAGCATGGTCGTGATAGTGAACATTCTGATGGCGTATCGGATATGCTTTCGCATGATGGAGACGTGGTAAGTAATGATACAATGACATGGTACAAGGGTGTATGTTGCTTATAAAAGTCGCCATGTAGAATTTCCGCTACCAGCACCATCCTCATCATCATCATCATCATCGTGGCAGACGTGGCCGAATACCAGGAGAAAAGACGCCCAGAAAGAAGAAGGATCCCAATGCACCCAAAGGACCTGGCAATGTCTTTTTCTTATTTTGTCGTTTGGAGCGTGACAAGGTGAAGGATGCTTTTCCTCAAGAAAGCTTGGGCGATGTCACCAAACTATTGGGTCAAAAATGGAAAGGCTTGACACGAGAAGAAAAGCAGGTACATATTAGGGAGGGGTGAGGGAGGTAGGATCATGTGGTGTGTGTGTGTGTGCAAATGGATTGACTGGTTGGCGTCCTTTGTGTGTGATGATAGAAATACTACGACATGTACAAAAAGGAGATGGATGAATATGAAGTGGCTATGAAATCATACAATGAGGCAACATCATCAAGCAACATCAACGCCAATGCAACATCCTCTGAACCTGTTGACAATGAAGCTGAAGCTGTAGCTGCTGCTGCTGAAGATGCTGCCGCTGCTGCATTAGCCGGCGCAGAGAACTACTCCACAGTGTCTTCTCCTATGCAATCATCAGCGATGCCATCCCCAGAACTTCAAAGTGATCCATTGATGCCCCCTGAAGATCATGATATGGATGAAGAGGATGAGCCTGTACAACCACAACCACCTGCTGGAGGTCTTGCATCAGTGGATTCTTCATTATCACCACAACAACAGCAACAACAACAACAACAGCCTGCTACCTCCTCGAATCATACCAACAACAACAGCACCTCCATGACTACAACAACACCTTCTACTGAATCACAAGATCCATCAACGAAGCAATCGCATGAACCATCCCCCATGCAACAAGACGCAGGGTCTATGTAGAAATTATACATCTCCTTCTTTGTTTAGTATCTCTATTATATTCAGCAGCACCAAAAAAAAACATACAACGCAATCACTTGTCATTCTTATTGGTGATCGGATGCGGAGGGAATTTGACAGCGGTGTGAAGGACTCATCTTAATGATGGCGGGATACCAATCATTGGGAATCGTGGAGAAGGATACAAGTGTGAATATAGCTATCGGTGTACATATACGTGCGTGTGTGCGCGCGAAAGTATGTAAATGATCTCATGATCTTGTCTATAGTTCCACACAAACACAATTCAATAAAGTAAATCAAAGAACCTTCGGTCCATCAATGAGTTTTAGGGATTGGTAACAGCTTTTTGATGATGCTTTCGTGGTAGCAAGCAGGATTACTTACTCCGTAAGACCCTTCCATGTTTCAAAATCATGCATTGATTTCGTGTGTGTGTGAGGGTGGGTACCAAGTAGTGGGTGAATCAAATCAAATGCCAAGGAGTGTACAACTTGTTGCTATATGCATAGCATGGGAAAAATATGACCAAGTAGGGCAAGTGCGATGACGAATACATTTGGTCTGGATACATTGACCGACCTTGCCTCTCCTCTCTTGCTCCGGCTTATCGGACGTCCCATTTATTTGACATGTCTCTTTCTCGGGCACCTCTTCCGGCATCATCCCTGCAATGACTATTGATAATTCAAACCCAATGCATCATTCATCTATTACTAGCATCAAGGAATTGGGGACCCCAACCTTTTAAATGCTCTATATGGGATAAAAAGATAATGTGGTCTGAGTATTGAAACCAAACTTTAACTGATAAAAAAGAGAGATAGCGTCTCATATATATCCCAGATATACGTTTTCGAGTTGCACAGAGATAATCTTTGGGCAGGGTATTCCTTTGTTCCTCCGCAAAACATTCATGGATATAAAAAGGTAGAATCTTTTCGCTTCTTTTGACACTATACACACACACACACACACACAACTTTTTTATTCACAAAATGTCGACTCCAAGCCACGATGAAATGATCAAGCATTTGCGTATCACCATTGATATCGCAGCTCGCGGTAGATCCATGGGTCACCATCCTTTCGGCTCCACTCTTGTTAGCCCCGAGGGTGAAATTCTCTTGCAACAATGCAACTTTGGCCCTGTCTTCCATGCCGAGAGTGAATTGGCTCGTGTTGCTGGTATGTTTTCATTGTACGTGTATCAAAGATAAACATGCTTATGCGTCTTTTTTTTTGGGATCTATAGCTACCAACTTCAGCCCCGAGTACCTCTCAAAGTGTGTCTTGTACACTAGCGTTGAGCCTTGCGCTATGTGCACTGGTACTTGCTATTGGGCAAACATAGGCACGCTCGCGTTTGGCCTTCCTGGTTCAAAGCTTGCCGAGTTGACTGATGCCGCTGGTAGCAAGGAAAACCCCACCTTGAAGTTGACCACCCGCGAAATTTTGGCTACCGGTTCTCGTGACATCAAGGTCTTTGGTCCATTCCCCGAATTGGAAGAAGAGATCGTCAAGGACCACAAGGGCTTCTGGGAGACCCACTAAGTGATAGTAGAATCAGGTGTGTCATTGATCCACACATTTTGTTGACTCACACATATCGAAACAATTCTTTTTATGAGCATGCAGTGTTATGGGGATTTATATGAAAGCACGTGATACGTAGATGCGGTGGGATGGGTTGGGCTATCGTTTACTGCTGGGTAGTGGGATGGGTTTATACATACATAGGGTATCATAGATGATATGCACCTTACACTTTAACTAGTAAACGATGAACAGCGATAACTTTTGCCCTTTTAAATGCTTTGGGATCATGTCAACGGTGTATAGGGATGATGATGGTGATGATGGTGATCATTGCGTATTGCATGTACGAGTATTGAGGAGCTCTGTGGGTGGGTGTATGAGGTGTTTGTCGTACAAGACTCATTCTCATACATGAAAGAAGCACCCCTATCGCAAGCAATACCGGCGATGGTACTTTGCAGCAGCTTATTTCAAACATACAGGCATTGATATTCTTTGCAAAAAGTGATGCAACAACACGCGAGGAGCTGTCGTCTTTGGTGTTCCCCTTGTTCTCCCCTCCTTTCTTTTCTCCTTCCGGCTTTTTCAATCCAACAACATTGAGCGGGAGGACTCTTCGTTTGTTCCTCTCCCTTCTCTCTCTCTCTCTCTCTCTCTCTCTCTTTATTCTTCTTTCTTTGCTACGCTCCAAGTCATATACACTAGCAGATCAACATGGCACACGTAAGACGATCATCCATGTACGCATACGCTGTAAAACAAAGGTGCTGATAATGCCAGTATCTCTCTCTTAGAGATTAGGCGGTCGTAGAAAAAATGTCAAGAAAGGATTTCAATTCACTTTGATGGTTGTTGGTATGTTGTAGGATCAACTACAATAGGCGACCCAATGTTTAACCCATGATTGCTTTTATAGGTGCTTCTGGTACAGGCCGCACAACATTTGTCAACACGTTGTGCAACTCGGGCGTACTTGCCAAAAAGGTGTGCGATAATCCAGAAGAAGCCCATAACGAAGAAGGCATCACCATCAAGCCTGTATCTGTTGGTGAGTCTTAGAATCGCAATCTCGCATGTGTTGGTTTACTAAACCCTTACTCTTTTTCTCTTTAGAGCTGGATGAGGACGGTGTTAGGTAAAAAAGGAGGGATGAAAAAAAGGGGGATGGGACTAAGCGATATCTTTGGGAAATGACAAGGAGAGCACGTGTGCTTGTATGTATACTCAAACGTCTCTTTCAATTAAGGATCTCACTCACCATCGTTGATACGCCTGGATTTGGAGACAATATTGACAACGAGCGATGGTAACACAGGAGCATTGATTTGGATTTTTCCTTTGTCTTGCTCATACCTTGCATTTTAGTTTCCAAGAAATTGTGGGATACCTTGAGCGTCAATATGATGATATCCTTGCCGAAGAATCGCGTATCAAGCGTAATCCTCGTTTCCGAGACAACCGTGTACATGCGTTGTTATACTTTATTTCACCCACAGGCCATGCGTAAGCTTTAAAAGCCTTTTTAATGTTTCGAGTTGCCATGTTTATGCAAACTCACAATATAGGTTACGCGAGATTGATATTGAATTGATGCGTCGATTGAGTCCTAGAGTGAACGTAATCCCTGTTGTGGGACGTGCTGACTCGTTGACACCGCAAGAACTCAAGGATTTCAAACGCAGGGTAAGTTGTTGTAAACATGAAATGATGTTGTTGGAGCATGATGAGCTAACATTAGTATGTAGATCATGGAGGATATTGAGCACTACAACATTCCCATCTACAACTTTCCATATGATGTGGAGGAGGATGACGAGGATACGGTTGAAGAAAACAGCGAACTAAGGGCCCTACTTCCATTTGCTATCATTGGCAGTGATGAAGAAATCAATGTGGGTGGGCGTACAGTGCGTGGTCGCCAATACCCTTGGGGAGCTGTTGAAGGTAAATAAACTCAATACACGGGGGGTCCAACATTAGGGGAGAGATAGAGAGGCTTACGTTTTGGCCATGTTTCTGCTTATAGTGGACAATCCTCAGCACTCGGATTTTGCCAGATTGCGATCGGCGCTATTGAGGTATGTCGATAAACGCCCTATGCTATTGAGGACGACTATCCTTTACCCCCAAGCAATGATATCAATTCTTCAAGTTCTGGTAGTTCCCATTTACAAGACCTAAAGGAGATTACACACGACTTCTTGTATGAGAACTATCGTACCGAGAAACTCAGCCGTACCGTCAGTGGTGGTGAACAAGAGTAAGTACTCTTTTTTTTCTCTTTGCTTGCCCCTTGTTCAACTAACCCCTTTACATCCTTGATGGCCCCCCTTAACTAAAATCATTTTGTAGGGATGCTGCTTTGAATGCTGAAGATATGAGTAGCCAAAGCGTACGCCTGAAGGAAGAGCAGCTACGAAAAGAAGAAGAAAAGGTAAAAATAGTGCCTGCTTGTGGAATGTGCGTAAGCTTACATGCAGTGTCTTGGTTCAGCTCCGCGACATTGAACTCAAGGTGCAGCGTGAAATTCAAGAAAAGCGAGCCGAGCTGTTGAGCAAGGAGGAAGCCCTACGTAGTCTGGAGTCGAGATTGGCACAGGCTCAGATAGCAGATGCCTAGTTTTTTAGGCTGATTATCATCCATACGTAGTGCGTGTGTGTGTGTGTATGTGTGTGTCTAGGCCTTTTACCTAGTAACCACCACCACGACCACTATTTACAACTCACACCCTTTTTTACCGATGTCCATCTATATCCTCATTTCGTATTTCCTTTCCCTTTTTTCTTTTTCTCCATCGTTTCATAGTAATCAAACTCTTATTAATAATATGATGATTCATTTATGTTGATCCGCATTCGATATGTGCTTCTCTCTCCTTTTTTCTTTTCCATGTGCGGAACCGGCCCGAAGGCTGTAGCACTCATAATTGCAGCTCAGAAGCACACCCGGTACCTCGACAAGGTTTCTTTGCTTTCCAGTTTTCTTTCTTCCCTTTCTCTCTACTCTATCACTCTATCACATCGCCTCATACCCTTTCCCATACCATGGCAAGTCCCGAATTCAGCAATCCCCTACGAAAGTTCAAGCTCGTGTTCTTGGGTGAACAAAGCGGTACGTTTCGCTTGTCATTTTCTTTCTTTACAATGGTCCTCATGCTTGGCATTGACCACCCCACCATCTCTGTAGTTGGCAAGACCTCACTCATTACACGTTTCATGTATGACACCTTTGACAATACGTATCAGGTAAGCATATCCTTTATTCTATCAAACGGGGGGATGGATCATGCATCTGACATTTTGGGCTGGTAACTTTCAGGCAACGATCGGTATCGATTTTCTTTCAAAGACCATGTACCTTGAAGATCGTACAGTGCGCCTTCAATTGTGGGATACGGCAGGACAGGTACTTGGATGATTGGATTGGGCGCGCGCGTGTATAAGGAGCCACTTGCATGTTAACCCTGCATTTTGTGTGCTCTTTTATCCAATACACCCCCGTATTAATGCTCCATCTCTTTTTAGGAACGCTTCCGCTCTTTGATCCCATCCTACATTCGGTAACTATCACACGTCCTTCTATATGATGAAACTCTTCTAATTCTTATATTACATAGTGATTCTTCAGTGGCGGTGGTGGTTTATGACATTAGCAGTAAGTATAATGCATTACCTATTCCATCAGAGTCAAACTCAACTGGTTTTGGTTGCACATTTTACTAGGTCGGAACTCGTTTTCGAACACAGAAAAGTGGATTGCCGATGTACGCGCTGAACGTGGCAACGAAGTCATCATCGTCCTTGTTGGCAACAAGACCGATCTCAATGACAAGAGGTATCCCTATCAATGATAAGCAAATGGAATTGGATTGAATAGCTCACTTTTGGATCGATAGAACGGTGACATTGGAAGAAGGAGAGAAGAAAGCCAAGGAGCTCAACGTCATGTTTATCGAGACCAGCGCCAAAGCTGGCCATAATGTAAGTACAGCAACAGGCAACATGCATTATACAACAAGTTTTTAACATGATGTGTTTTGTTTAGGTGAAAACACTCTTTCGACGGATCGCACAAGCCTTACCTGGTATGGAATCGCAATCGGCGGATGGCAAGGAACAAAGTAAGTGTGTGCTGCAAATCGTGCTTTCACGATATGGCGATCATTTGCGCTTATTTGCCACATGGTGTGTGCTTACATCTCATCCCGATATAGTGCAAAAGGTCGATCTCAACAACTCTGATGCATCCGAATCCAGCTCTTGTGCCTGTTAGAACAATAGCAACAACACCATCTCATCATCCTATACTCGACTCTATTCCTCTTGTTTTACATTACATATACACTACCCTTACTTGTTCTGCTTTAGTTCCATTTTATCCTTTTGGCTACAATATCATCTACTATTCCAGCATACTTTATACCATTGCATTTGCTCCCTTTGATGCCTTTATGATAATGATGAACCTGTACGGCCACTCGTGGATGAGCTATTGTAGTTTCATGATCGTAGATCGAGATTCATGTCCATAAACAAACAAAAGTGATGGCTGTATATGACGTGTTTCACCATTACATCGAGACATGTGGATGCAACAAGCCAAGGCGATCCCCAAGTATCATTTGGGTCCGTGATTACGCCAACTTGAAGATTATGAATACACAATGGATAGCCGTCATCGCATTGGGTTTTATCAGCATGTTTCAATGCGATACCGATTATCTCCTGGTTGGCATGGCAACCCCAAGTAAAGGGATACGCTGGATTCAATACCATGATTCACTAAGGGTGATGTATGGCGGACCGAATACACTGCCTTGACGTTGTGCGTTACATGTACGGCAACCGATTCGCATGCTACCAAATCAAGCTGCAATATAAATAAACAGCCCACGTGGCACATTTGAAAGAGACAATGAACCCCAACATTGTGAGTATGACATAATGTAAATTGCTTTATATGATTTTGGAGGAGATATAGAAAGGGATTATGTATGTACAAGTCTAAGTGTAATATCGAATTAAGATCCAAGTTCTGCTGCTGCTGCATCTGGATAGTAATAAAAGCAAATGGCCAAAATGATGTATAGCGTAAAAAGCATGAAACCTTCAAGCCAGTTGCTCTTGCCATCCTATTGTAACACGCATTGTTAGCTGTGTGGTTCTTCCAGCATCCAGTTTTCTCATATTTACCATCATCAAGTAATTGACCATGACAACCGAGATGAGCATCACCGCGGTCTCAAAGACATTAAAGAGCAAGCTCATTTGGATTTGCATACCCCAGCCAATGATGACCATGAGAGGTGTCACCAACAAAGCAATTTGCATGCTGCTTCCGACAGCCACACCCAATGCCAGATCCATCTATGGATGAATGCACAATGAGCATCATCGATGTCTTTTTGTTGTTGTCATTGTTCATGCTTACCTTGTTCTTCATGGCAACAGTGACGGCAGTAACGTGCTCGGCAGCTAATCATCCAAGGTTAATTAGCCTCTATTGGTACATACATGAAGATTGTGTATGGTACTTACCATTACCAACAATGGGTAGTAGAATCAAACCGACAAAGGTCTCACTGATATGCCACTGCTCCACCACATCTTCAATGGCCGACACGAGGAATTCGGCACATACGGCTACCAATGCAGTGATGACAAGAAGGCTTTGGCCAAAGTGAGTAAATCTGCACATGCGTTTTCCTTGTCATACTTACAGGACAATAGCCATCCAAAATGGCATTTGTGGTTCCTCTTCTTCCTCATCATCATCTTCAGCTCGGGCAGGTTGTTCAAGTCCTTGTTCTCGTGCGATCAACATGGATTCCATGGTTCGGCTTGTACCTGATCGTTGCTGGTATGATGCACGGCGAGCTTCACGAGGAGGTGCCAAGAACTGTTTCATGATTAATATAAATGACTCATTTCCTTCTCATGGATGATTTATGTATACATACCAAATCCTTGTGCGTTCTAAGCTATATAGGTAGATGATGTGTGAGTACTTTTGATGAAGATGTTGTTTCCATGATGTATGTGATTTTACCTGAAAGAATAAGAATGCAAAGTAAATAACGAGTAGAATGATAGATGTGGCTCTTGAAATGTTGAGGATATCGGATGTGAGTTGTTCAGCGGACTCTGTAGATCCAACGGAAGCATAAAATGCTGCTGGAAGGAGCAAGGAGGTCGTTGCGATAAAAAGTAATGATGCGGACGTTTGAGCGACGATAGGATTAAAGGATTGTTCCTTGAAACGAATACCGCCAAGCCAGAAACACATGCCAAGGACGAGGAGTAAATTGGAAAGAATTGATCCCAACATGGAAGCCTGGACCACCACCACCAGGTTCTGGCTCAGAGAAATGATTGAAATGATCAACTCGACGGCATTACCGAAAGAGGCGTTGAGTAACCCACCGATGATCTATATGATGTGACCCGAGAAAATAACGTGAGCTGTGGCACTCGTGTGTATGTGCGTGTACAACATTGTTTGAAATAAAACATGATGTACTACGTTTTGGTATTGGTTGGGTTTCATTTGGTTAAATTTACCTCGCCCGTACGCAGAGCAATATCCTCAGTGGCAAAGCCTAATAACTTGGCCAGAGGCACGATGGCAATAAAGTTGAGAATAAATGTCACAGTGGGACTCCATACAAAATGACTAGCAATGCCAAAAGGGATAAAGACCACCAATGGGTTGATCCATGATGATTTAACGATGCTGATAAGACCTTGCTTGATGGTAGGTTCTGGTTTTGATTCATCATCATTTGAAGTTTGATCTGACGTTGAAGCTGACGACGACGGCAAGTTGCTGGTGGATGCGTGTGTAGTCGTTTCGCTTTGGATTGGCTTTGGTAAGTCACCCATAATGGCTACTTCAGATTCACCATCACGAGGATCGATTTGCTGCTTTTCCATGATGGCGAGTAAAAGTTTCAAAAAGAGGCAAAAAAGTTGATGAAAGAGATGCGAGGCGGAGAAGAGGTACACGCTTTATATATAAAAGCAGGCATTTTAACCCGAAAAGGCATCACCTTTTGCTGCCAAAAAGACAGCCGCCACTTTGAGAGGGATAATCGTGGCTTGATCATAACTCAGTTGATGTGACACCAAGGCTCTTGAAAAGAAGGCCGGAAACTTCTTTTTTGCCAAGCTATAAATGTCGACATACAAAAGTGGGTGATTGTGTGTGTGTCTTTGTTGCACCTAGTTGCGTATGTATTACCGATTTCATGGTCAAGGTGTGAGATAATGAATTTTCATGTCCTCGTGGTGGCTGGTTGTTTGTTTCCGTAACCTGGGGACATACATGCAACCTGATGCACATCCATGACAAAATGACATCGTTGCATGCAGAGAACCCGGGTTGTGTATCCCGAGAAAGATAAACATACATTGACGTTACGCAATAAATATAACATAGGGAAAGGGACATCCCAAAGTGGTGGTGATCCAGCCCACTTTATTAATGGCCGCTCATGTGTGGTGCATCATCATCATTGATGAGGGTGTATCACACAGGCAAAGCATTCACTATAGCAACAACAACAACATACACCAAATCAAGGCACTTGTCCGATTGTGGATGTGTCATGTGCAAAGACCACACACACACTCACACACGTACATACATGATGCATCTCATCGACTAAATCCCTGCAGGTATTTCACTTGGCATCTCGTTGCTGCTGTCAATGTCAAAATCCGACCACGTAAAAGTAATATTACTGCATGAATGGAAACCCAGCCATAGCAAGCATGTGTTTATTCATCATTGACATCTCATCCATCCATCCCATCCCTTTTGGGTAGCTAAAGAATAAATAATGCATTTTGTATGGGCAAATTACAACTTCCAAGTAGTGGTAGAGTGGGGTAAATCTAATAGCAAAAGCTCAACACAAGGATAGCGCCAAAGTCACGTGAATTGGTGGTGGGGGAGGGGGAGAACCAAGGTCGCGTTTATTCACGCGTCTGACTTTACGCGCTTCTTCTTGTTCAACCATGGTCGAAACGGCATTCCTTCAAGCACTACGAGATTCCGGTTGTGTCCTTGCTGTTGACGACAATGACGCCCCAGCAGTATTTGGTACGCACGACATCCGATTTATTATCCACCATTGTGCTGAATGGGGTTGCCAATTCAATAATAGCTTGTGAGCCTGTGCTCTTTCGTCGCGACCTGTCAATCAAGATTCGCTCCGATGCCCAATACCCCAACAACTTGACGACCTTCTTTGAGAGCATGAACGACACGTTATTAGACTTGGATACGTTTAGAAGGTTCCTCTTACCAGCAACGTTATCCGAAGAAGCACGTCGATCGACACGGTAAGCATGATTATCGCAAGCGCAGCAGCAGCAGTAGATGATCAGGCCCTGATACATGCATCCCCCCACCTCTTTTTACCAGGAGCACCTCATTCGATAGCGTTGCAAAGACATTACTACAAGTGGATATTCTTCAAAAGGATCTTATCGGTTACTTATTGGAAAGATTGCCCGAGTTTTATGACGAGCTGGAAAACGAGTGAGTGACAACAATGATGCATGTTACACGACCAAATCAAATGCATGGATTTACTCACAGCATTACGCATTCATGTATACAGCCAATCGAGCACATGTACTGCACGCCTTATCCTACACCAATTAAGATGGTCCGAATACATCGTTGATCCACAAGCCCTTAGTGGAAAGCTGATCGAGGTAAATGCTGATGACGCTTATCCTGCCTTCTGATATTGACAATCTTTTCTCTTGTAAAGATCATTCACATTACGCCTCCTGTTATCCAACATGAAATCATCACTTCACTACCAGACATTATCAATGATACCGAACACAAGGTAATTATACATTTGCTGGCCAACGACAAGATGCTGACAAAGGATCATTGAATAGGCTATGGTGGTGTATTTGAAAGAGCTTATGAACGAGAATTCCGAGTTGACTGTACCCATCCTTGACGCATTATCGAATCTCACATCGCATTCGGAAAGCTTGGTAAGACTTGTAGGATGGTGTTTGGTATTACGCATACACATGGCTAATGCCAATCTATAGGAAGATGTGCGAGATACAGTGTTGGACCGATTGGAACAAGCTGAACAAGACGACCTTGCTGTTATCCTCAAGTTTCTTTTACAAACTGTATCACCGAATACAATCGACTTGGTATGTCAACGTGGGATCCTGTAGCGATGATGATTAACCCTTTGGATAGGTCATTTATGGTATCAGAGAGAAGCTCGATTTCCGATCTCTTAAAAGGCCTCAGAATGCTCGGCAACGCACAGCCAACGCTGCACAAGGATTGATTTTGGGTGAGTGAGAGTGAAAAGTGTGCAAGGATAATGGGATGTTTACAAAGATGTCTACATAGAATCCATCAAGCATGGCCTTCAATTCCACAAATATGTCTGTGATTCTTGGTTCAAGTCTATAGCCGCATTGGAGACCAAAGTAAGAACCTCACAAATGATGGCGGGTGAAAACAGGCACTAAATGATCATGTCATGCAGGATGCACACAAGGCTATTGACGTGCTCGTGCTGGTTATCCTTTATTCCATGACATCCACCAAAAAGAAGGCAGAAGTTCTCTTTCGGAAAAAGATCACTGGTGGTTTGATCACTGCACGATTGCTACAGGATGTCATCCTTCATCATGCTGATGGCTTGACTGGGTAAGCTGGATGGAAAAAAGACATCAGCGGATGAGTGAGCCAACATGTGGATTTATTAGTTATTGGAACGCAATTTTATCGCTGGCCGAGAGTCTTTTGCGATCCGCACAGCAAACCAATGTCATCGCTCCTTGTTCAAACGCCCTTTATATCAATGCCTTCAAATCCAGTGACGCTTATCATCGCCAGGTATGTTGGTTGTGCTACTCATCCACGTTTTATATTGACACAGACTATAGGAAATTGTTGGCTCCCTTGTCACCCACATTGGCAGTGGTTCAATATCCTTTTTCCTCTTTACCATGAACAGCTACCACAACATCCATATTGAGATATCACCTTAACCCAGTTTTTACGTAGCAGAAATGGACGCTGCTCTCGATGTTCTCCTCCATCTTGCCGAAACCGATGTCAACAATATGGCAGTATACGACGTTTTCATCAAAGGCATTCTCGATTACTTGGACAACCTATCGCTATCGCAAATCAGGACGCTTTTTAATATCTTCAGCTTGCTTGCATTAACGGTGAGTGCGCAAAGCTTATTCCCATATGATATCCGTGCTCTTACAATCATCATAAATAGTCATCAGATAAAGACAATGACGGCAGCCATTCCAGTCTTTGGTCCGAGATTCAGATTGTGATTCGCAAGCAGCTGTCAAATCCACGTGAAAAGTACAAAAAGATTGGCGTGGTGGGGTGCCTAGCCGTTATCAAGGTTCTTGGATCGGATGCCCTTTGCAATGCCAGCTCAGCTGCAGAATCAAGTACTCAAAGTAAGTTCTACTATGGAAGAAAAAGCTCAAATTGATAATGGTGGTTACTAGGCAGGCTATCCATTGAGCAACCCAATCGACATCCTTTGTTACGTCAATCCATTGAAATGCTCCAAATGATCATGCGTAATTGTGCCGAATACCCGGTAAGTTCAAATCACACGTTGGATGGACCAATGATTAACATGCATGGATAGGTTTGTCTGGCACTCATGTATGATGAACTTGCATATATGGTCGAATACGATGATTTGGACAAGCGATTGCAGTTATGGATCAAGGAGAATTTTACAACTTGCTTCACCGAAGATTACGTTGTGGACGCTGACTCAGGGGAACAAGTGATCAAGGACAAGAGCAAACGATCGGACCTATGCCTCAAACCGCAAAATCAAATCAACTTGAATGGCGAGGTACGTTGTAATTGATACGTTTGAGAGAATGGTCAGCTAAGCATGATGATTATCATAGGATGAGGATGAGGAAGGTTCTATTCTTATTGGCCTTTATCCAATCGTGTGCTCTTCAGATGAACGGCAAAAACGGAGGCTGATGCTCACGCTATGTCCCATCTTCAACTTGATACAAACCTACGAGAGAGTGAACAACAACAATGATTTGAGCGAGATCGATGCGTTACTAGGATGCGGTGTTATCTTATTCAAATGGGATGAAGATGATGTACAGGTATGTGGTGCCTATGGATTAGGTAATGAGGTGCTGATTTTTGTCCAAAGGAGTTGATCCAAGATTTGCCGCCCGATGAGATGCAAAATGCGTGCGACATGCTGTTTTACACAATCAATTGGTGAGTCGTGTCCATTCCATATTTTGAGCCAGTCATCCTGATGGACATTATCCTAGGCTACGAGAGCTATTGAACGCCTTTTGCCGGAGCGAGGATGAAGATGACCACAGCAAGCTGATTATGCGCATCAAGAATGTCTTGTCATTTGAAGCCTTGCTGGAAGAATTCATCAAAGCGATGGGCACTTACACGCCTTTGGAGTTCCATTCAATGTCCAATATGGAAGGAAAAGATAGCATGCGATCATTGCACAGCATTAGCTCGGTAAGCAACAGCAAATTTAAGCATTGGGTATGGTAACTTATACCTTGTAAAGTCTAGCACGCCTCGTTCTCCAGTACCTGATGCATCCGATGTTGATTCAAAACCAGCTTTGAAGAAGACAAGCACGAATACCCCATCTTTTGACTCTGTCAACTCTTTGAGACCTTTCATGCGAGCTCTTAATGTGAGTCGGCCTTCCACCTTTTGAGAGCATCTTATTAATTGACATCAATACTTAGGTGGACGTGATTGCTATCCTCGAGCAGAATGACAATGATCAGGAAAATCTCGAGGTAAGATGATTCAAGGGTACAAGGGAAAAATGGCAATCCTAGCTAACATGTTGCGTAATGTAGTACGACGAGGTCAATTACATCCTCAAGGATCTGTACAACAAGCTTGAAAAGAAAATTGTGCCAGCGCCTACCAATCCATTCGGCAAAAAGAAGGCCACCGATGATAAGCAACGCTACCAGAATCAAGCATCATATTTGCTCAGGCTCAATTCACATGATCTGTTGAAGCAAGTCGTCGTACACCTTCCAACCATCCTACAACGACTCGAGAACTTGTATGAAGATATTCAATTACAGGTACGCTACCATTGCCATTTGATACAGCGCAAGGATAGCTGACTGATCGTTTCATTGTGTGCTTAGGATACTCAATCGGGGAGATTCAATTCTGTAAGTCAAATGACCATAGTTTCTTTTATGCCGATGATCTAATATCATTGTACAGGGTGCTGAGCCTATTGTCCAATGTGCAGCGAATATCTTCAATATCATCTACAAGCTATTTTCTTGGCCTGACATTGGTAACCCTGAAAATCAAAACATCTTGGAGGTGAGTTGGATGGATGGTTCGGATGATACAATCAGCTAATGCCATTTGGTTTCAATTACAGGCCGTTTTTGGCGCACTCGCCGATCGACTTGCTGTTGAGAACACACAATCACAATCCTTCACGACAAAGGCACAAGAAGCTTTCAAGTACCTTGCACGCTTTTCGGATAATATGCCAGAGGCAACTACGGCAGTGATACTCTTCAAAACACTCATGCGCATCAAGGAGCTTTCTGGAGCTGGTGATGCATTAAGATCGAATGCACACGGCGTTGTCACAGGCATTTTGAAGGAAGATTGGTTTGATTGGCGTAATATCAAGGTAAAAAAGGGGGATAGGAAAAAAGGCAAGTTGTTGTTGCTAGGTTACTAAGATACCCAAAATAGAAAGAGATCCCGTACCTATTGGAACAGGCCATTGAATTGGATCAGGACCCATTGTCTACGTTGCACGATTATGTGAACAATGTATTGGAATCCTTTGAGGAGAACGGAAGCCTTGAAGAGCATCCATTGCTTCGAACAGACACCGTGCTTTCTTATTATCAGGTATGATGGTGACTAGTTAACATGTGTGGATGTGCGCTGAAACCGATACCATCTCCTTTATAGGCCATGATCAACCAAACTGTCAAAGCATTGCACCTTCTTCAAGAAACGGATCAGGATGCATCGGTGATACTTGTCCAAAATTCGCAGATTGTCAAAATCTTTGGCCACATCACAAGCTATACCAAGACAAAGGATCAGCGAGCTCTTTTTGGAATGATACTCAAGACAGGTCGCTCGTTTGTCGATCAATTTGCCAAGCACTCGATTCCTTTCTTTACCAATGTATTCCGATTCCACAAGAATGAGATTGTTGATATCCTCAAAGACTTCCAAAAGAGCACACGTGCGCTGCAGGTACGTTGTATAAGAGAGAGAGGATGAGTGTGAATGGAAAGGTGATTTATGCTAATGATGACTTGTGTGCTACGTAGATTATTTGTTCACATGTCAAGGTGATCAAGGATGTACAACTATCGACGTATGTGCCGCCGTTGAAGAGGTCACTGGAGATCGTTATCTTCCAAGTCAAGATGCTATTGACAGAGAATAATGCGCCATCCGACGCCTTTTTCATGGGTTCATTGAAGCACAGAGATCTTCGAGGCGAGGAAGTACAATCACAGGTATATTGGATGGGTATAGATTGAATGCGCATGGCAATTAATGATACTTTTATGGATATTTTAGCTTCCTCGAGAAGAATCGGATGATGAAGGGGATGAATTGAATAGCGATCGGATGAACAGCGATGACATGGACACTGACAATGAAGATGAGGACAATGAAGAAGGTCATTCGGTGACTTCACATCGACCATCTCAGGCACCAAAAGTGATACCACCAACGAACAATGAATCAAACAACAATGAAGTTACCATGGAGATCGATTTCGATAGCGAAACGGATGATGAGAAAAACGATGTGGAACCAAATCCTCCTGTGATTTCAATATGTGACGATGATGACGACGACGATGACGATGATGATGATGACGATGATGTGAAGATGATTGAGCAGCAAGATGAAGGATCAAAAGAAGAATCTGCCGAAGGGAAACCACCTCGCAAGAAACAGCGGCTTGGTTTAGGGCGCCCTTCTTTTCCCCAGGGTAAAGTTTTTTCATTGACTCGAGACGAATAAAGTCGACATTCATTGACACATTGTTCAAAAAAGTATGATGAGCGGCACCATCCAAGCTCGTGCTTGATAAGTAGCTAACTCAGAAGATCAAAATTGGTTAATGCAACTGTGGCGAAATCAACCTAATAAAGAGAATTTAAAAACGCACATCCCTTTTTGACGTTTCACCAGTTTTCGTTTTCGGCCCATATTCAAATGCACATGTCGTTTTCGTCCCACCTCTTCAGTCTTGGCAGATGTTTCACGACAAGTAGCATCACATTAACGTCATTAACTTTGGAATAACAAGAGGGCGTATGCATACACACACATGCATAATAAAGATGTAATACCGCATACACAAAGGGCCTACAACAAGGTGGTATGAAAAGCGTTTAATAGGCGATATGAAATTTCGGAAGCGAAGGAGCGGGTAAAAGTAAGGTTTTTTTTTCTATCTCCATGCAAGATAGCTGTGTGCAGTGAATAAACGCTGACAGATGTATGATGGGTGTGTTGGGGGGCGGTGATGATGATGATGACTAGTAGCTTTTGCCAAGATGAAATAGAAATATCAAGTCCCAAACAGTTCAGCGTAAAAAAGAAAACCCCCCTAAACTTTTTATGGTTGTGTCTAGGCGTGGCAGGTGAGTATGTAAGTCCCATCATATCATTGCGTCGATCCCTCTGTAATCCGAACTATTGGGCTAGGTCGTCGGGAGTTGAATGAGGAAAAAGCACGTATAAAGGCAAATGAAGATCGCATTCTTTAGTTTTCTTTCACCCCGAATGTCTCGAGCAATAATACCATCACCCTACCGCCCTTCAGCAGCAGGCACTGCAGGGCTGCTCTTGATAGCTGTTATGGTCATCATTCACATGTGCGTATTACGACCGTTGATGACACCTAGCAACAATAGCACAGACGATACTTGGAGAAGCTGGATGCAACATCATAATACAACGAGCAATCTTCCAAGTCGAGACCACCCATCCCACCTGAAACATGATCAACAATATGTCTCATTTCTTCCACACTCCGGTCTTCAGAACCAGCGTATTGCTCTAATCAATGCTGCTGTCATTGCCAAGGCCTTGAACCGTACCCTGTTATTACCAGAGCTTAATTTGGGCAAGGCTACTTATTGGCGACCCTCACACGATCTTGAATACCTTGTCGCCAACTGCCCTACCAACAATAGCATTTCGACCAAATGTTCAGAGTATCGCCGTTACGTCCCTATGCCAGTTGACAGCATCTTTGATCTTGCACCTTTTGAGCATCTCGGTATTGACAGCATGCAACGTGACGATATGCATACCGAAAATTTGGAAAAGCAATTTGGTATCAAGACCATTTATCGTATCCACGACCCCAGCCGATACTCATATCAAATCCTCGATCGCGATGATGTATCAGCAACACGACAATTTGACTCACGTCTTTTATTGGAAGACATTATGGATCGCCCTGAACAACTTATTCTTTTTGGTTCCCTCTTTGGAAGCAATCGTCTAGGCCTCAGCGACCCTGAGCTCAATTCTGCAAGACACTATTTACGTCATGAAATGGGCTTATCGCATCCTGATGTCTTGAAGCAAACAAACGTGATCCTTTCACAGCTTGGTGCTATACCAGAAAGAAGCGATGCTAATGTAGAACAACAAGTGAGCATCACCGATGGTTCATTTACTAGTGTACATATGCGGCAAGGTGATGGCGTATTTCGTAAACAGGCAAGCAACACACGTACAGCAATTAGACGAGCACTTGAACATCCACATGACGATGACGATAAAGATCAGCAACACGAAACGGATCGATTTATGAAAGAAACGGTGGCACGTTTGCAAGGGCTATCAAGTCGAAAAGATGTTTTGGAAGCGTGTGTGGAGCTACAATCGATGGAGCATCTTCACGCTAGGCTTAGGTTGATCTACATGGCGACGGATTCTCGGCGTCCACAGGCGCAATTGGCCGATCTCTATGCAGAGTTTGTGTGCTTATTCACGCTACACGATTTCCCAGAGGTTACACAAGCGATCGCAGACCCACTTTTGTTACCACTAGTGGATGCAGAGGTAGCATCACACGCTGATTATTTCATCCCAACACCAAAAAGCACCTTTTCTGGTTATATCAGTCAACGGAATCACAAGTTGCATTCAACTGAAACCATTTTATCATCATTACCTTCATCCACTTCCTCCTCCTTGTAGATATATTTACATTCCTTTGTTACACCTTCCCCTTTTTTTGCTTCCCTTTTATTGCATTTGTACATTAATCTACACAAAATACACTCCTCCTCTGTTCTATATTCTAGTACACGTAGCGTCATTTTTTTACTTGGCTCCCTTATTAGCACTATTTGGTGGAAAGCATTCTAGACGAAATTTAGAATAGTGTATTTTAGAAACGAAAGAAAATCCTCTCCCTTCTAGACATGCATTGTGCACCGTAGACTAGTTGCACCATGGTGGATGGTAAGAAGGGGGACCACAATAATGGTGGATTTATTAGCGCTGTGGCGTGTACATACATACACAAGGATAATTATGTGTGTACATACGTCTCATTGGTATACCTTGAGCTTACTCACATCTTGGCGTAATACATAATGTTGGTGCTTATCAAACAGGGTTCCCCAGCATGATAAACGACGACAGCATCAGATGCATCAGTGTTGTTGCTCACGTGTTGATATCATCAGCATGATGACGGGCAGCTCGCAAAAACGGTTAATGCACTTTTCCTTTCCTTCTCTTTTTATGCATCATCTTATGATTGCCTTGATGGTGGTTTCATTCTTTTTGTTTATGTATGTAATGTGGTGATAAAGATGAAGGACAATGATGATGAAGTGGGGGTGAATAAAGAAACTTTAGACTAAAAGGCCAGTGCGAAAAGGAGACAAAGAGAGCACAGCCATCTGCAAGGGGGTGATGGATGATGGGTGATATCTTCTTCTTCTTGTCATTGAAAGATACATGATGATGATGATCACGGGACTGTTCTCCTTCCCAAGTTCAGGAACCAGCAGTATTACTGTGCCCTGTTGTATGTGTTATTATACTCCACACTTACGGTAGCTGTCTCCGACCACATCTTGAACGTCGTCTTCTTCCTCCTTTTCGTTGGCCAACACGACGCCCTCTCCCCTTTTACTCTTTCTTTTTGACGTACTTGACATATGGACAACGTAATTGACCTCGTCAACAAGATTCAAGATGTATTCTCTGCCATTGGTGTAGCTAGCGACACATTGGATCTGCCACAAATCGTGACAGTAGGAGCACAAAGCGCCGGCAAATCGTCCGTCTTGGAAACCATTGTACAGCGCGACTTCCTTCCTCGTGGCAGCGGCATCGTCACTCGTCGTCCTTTGGTGTTGCAATTGGTTACGTTGCCAGCATCGAGCGAATCACAAGATTATGCCGAGTTCCTTCATGTGAGCAACAAGCAGTTTTACGACTTTGCCCAAGTGCGACAAGAGATTGAGGATGATACGGCTCGTGTGGCAGGATCCAATAAGGGTATTGCGCGTCAACCCATTCATTTGAAGATCTATTCCAAAAAGGTGCTCAACTTGACATTGGTGGACTTGCCTGGTTTGACTAAGGTATGTAAAGGTTGTACCTGCGTCATGTGTATAGATAACTCATATATGCATACAATAGATCCCTATTGGCGATCAGCCTACAGACATTGAAAAGCAGATCCGTAGCTTGGTGCTCGACTATATCTCAAAGCCCAACAGGTACAATGGAAATTAGCATTGGGGATATCAGCATTCATTTGGTTATTGACATACACAAATACAGCATCATCCTTGCAGTAAGCCCAGCCAACACCGACATTGCCAACTCGGATAGTCTTAAATTAGCACGCAAAGTGGATCCTGCAGGTAATGTATCATAGACAATTGGATTATGGATCAATGGCTAATGTTGGGGATGTAGGCAAGCGAACCATTGGTGTGGTAACCAAGCTGGATTTGATGGATGCCGGTACCAACGCTCTTGATGTATTGACGGGTCGTGCCTTTCCACTCAAGTTGGGTTTCGTCGGCATGGTGAATCGAAGCCAACAAGACATTTTGACCAACAAGCCCATGGAAGACGCCATCAAGGCTGAAAAGGAGTTCTTTCAAAGACACAATGCATACAAAAGCATCGCTTCTCGTTGTGGATCAGAATACCTTTCCAAGCAATTGAATACGGTAAATCATTTGGAATGTGGATGAGCATCGCTTGAGATATTTACATTGGTTGATATAGATCCTTGTGAATCACATTCGAGAAAAGCTGCCTGATCTACGATCCAAGTTGAGCTCGCTTATTGGTCAAACACAACATGAACTTGCACAGTATGGTGATCCTGCTTTTATTGGTAGTGCACACAAGGTAAAATCGTGTTGTTATGGTAGTAATGGATCAAGGCTAAAATCGTCATCATCAACGATAGGGATCGCTGGTTTTGAAAATGATCACCATGTACGCCACTCAATACATGGCATCCATTGACGGCACTTCCCCTGAGATTTCCACCAAGGAATTGTAAGTATCGGTGGATGGATGGATGGATGGATGGCCCAAATGCAACATGCTGATAATGCGATGATAGATCTGGTGGCGCGCGTATTTATTATATATTCAACAACATTTTCGGCCAAGCACTTGATGCTATTGTGCCATGCTCTAATATCACCAACGAAGATATCCGAACGGCCATTCGCAATTCTACCGGACCACGTTGTTCATTGTTTGTACCTGAGCTTGCTTTTGATCTCCTTGTACGCCCTCAAATTCGACTTTTGGAAGCTCCCAGTCTACGATGTGTTGAAATGGCATTCCAAGAGTTATCCAAGATATGTCATACATGCGGTACCAAGGTGAGTGTTTCTTTCTTTGGAGGAGAAAAGGGATCAACGTGCATATGATTTGACACTTTTTTTATGCAGGAACTATCCCGCTTCCCCAAACTCCAATCCAAACTGGTTGAAGTTGTATCGGACCTGCTTCACGAACGACTTGGCCCCTCAACTTCCTATGTCAAGAGTTTGATTGAGATCGAATGCGCTTATATCAATACCAATCATCCTGATTTCCCTGGTGCTACCGGTGCTATGCGAGAACTTGAGATCCGTAGTGGAAGAAAGGTTCGCAAAAACGAGCGAAAGAAGCCACATGTCAATGGTGTTATGCCGCAACAACAGCAACAGCAGAACCATCTTCATTCCTCACAAACCCAACCACAACCCATGCAGCATTTGGAACGTCCACTTTCAACAGCATCATCTACAATGTCAGCATCATCGCCTTCCAAAGACTCTTTCCTCAATTACTTTTTCGGTGGTGGATCCAAGACTGATATGGGTGGTATGGGTGCACCTGGCGGTGCTGTTCCTCCGCCTCCTTCATCTACCTCGACCATGGGTGACAAATTGAACAATGAAATTGATCAGGAGTTGGAACCACAATTTTCACAAGGCGTAAGTATGAAGCTGATTTCTTGTACAAACATTGGTTGACATGGATACATAGTTGGCTTTGGATGAAGAGCTGGTGGGTCAACCTACTGATCGCGAAGATATGGAAGTCGAATTAATTCGTAAGTTGATCTCCGCACTTTGTGGTATCCATGCTACGGTACTAATGATGGTTGCTAGGCACATTGATCATCTCTTATTTCAACATTGTACGTAAATCCATCCAAGATTTGGTGCCAAAGGCGATCATGCATCTGTTGGTGAACTTTACTCGGGAATCTGTGCAGAATAGACTTGTGTCAGAACTCTATCGGGAGGATCTATTCACCGATTTGCTGCAGGAGGATTCGGGTGTCACAGCTGAACGTGCACGGTGTAAGGCTATGCTCGACATGTACCGAAAAGCATTTTCCATCATCAGCGAAACCATCTAGACAATATACACACACAACATCCACACATTCACGAGACATGCAGAGAGACAATAAATTATTATTGCAAACAAGTGATACAAGGAAAGAAAGAATCATGTACAAAGCCGATACGTAATAACGGCAACTATTAGATAAGATGCGGTGGGAGTGAGGGGATAAAAATAGGGGAGATTATAAATTAGAAACAAGACTTTTAATAGCTTGCTTGGGTGATATGGAAGCGGATGTGACCCGATCCACCATACTTGAATCATGCACCATGGATGCAAGGTGGGAAGGTACCTGTGAAATGCGTCAACAGTTGGTGAGTGAGCCCTTTAAGGGTCCAAAGTCCCTGATTTTCTCACAAGGCACAATCATACATACCTTGCATAACTCTTGCTGGTAAAGAATAAGCATCTCGACAACTTTGATTTCGTTTCGAGCCATTTGTTGGCGTTCACTGGTTAGTGATTGGGACATGCAAGTGGAATTATTATTGCTCGTAGCAGCGGCGATGGATGAAGGAGCATAAAAAACGGTGGGTGCAATGACTCGAGCAAGGTTCTTGACATCCATGCGATTAGTATCATGCAAGGAGGCAACCCAGCGAAGGAAAAGAAAGAGCAATTGCATCGTATCACGGTGTGCCTTTGGTAGCATGCAACATGTCAAATGCAACGCGGCTTTGCATTTTGTCTCACTCTCCATACCTAAAAACAAGAGTAACCCTATTTAGATATTCGCATGCACATTCACATAGGACATCTCCAAAAGTTGTAAAAGAAAAAAAGGGTATCCGGATATAGATGTAAAAAAGATGCAAGGGATCTTCAGGAGGAGTGCTTTGAATACTTACGAGTACAAGTAATCCATAAATCATACAACTTGAACGTTAACAATGGCTCTGGTAAATCGTGTAAATACCGCTTCAGCAATGCACATAACTGGATAGGCGATGAATAACGGCTAAAGTCCACTGGATCACCACGATCGACTGCTTGACGAGTGATGTTAAGGTCACGGATGTTGCCGTTCTTCCGAAACACGCCTTCGACCGACATATCTGCACGATGCATCAGCGGTGATGTTTTCTCTTGGCGCAAGTATTAAGATCTTACCCATGCCGAGTAACGTGAAAATGCAAGTTTGCACAAATTCGGGAACACATGTGTTCGGCGTCAAGTAGCGTGCCATCATTGGCGGGATACGTTCTCCTTCAAATTGAGCTTGTCGAGTTGTCCTTGTTCTTTCTACCAATGTGATTAATGGCACACCAAAAATCTTGTTATTACATGGTGGGCCATTGAATGATGCTTGTTGATGCTTGCTGGTAGCAACCGTAACTCGTCCTTTTAATTTCCTCCAAAGGGATTGTCGAGGTGTATCGGATAGGATGAGTGATACCAGATCATTCAACCGATAATGCTCATTCAATAGCTGGTGAAGATGTACCACTGCAAGATACCTCATCAAGACATCTTGTCCTTCGTTCAAGTCAACAAGGAAAGCAACGTTGATTTCCTCTTGAGCATGATGGTATTGTTGTTGCTCATCACATGTAGTATCGGAGACAATCACTGCATCCGCCGTTGCAGCCCGTTTTCGTCGATCAAAAATCAAGTTGCTATAAGGTGATCGATGTTGTTGTTGCTGATCCTTGTACTCTGTGCTTAAAGCTCGCCTTATGTTGTTTCCAAAACGACGATGGAAAGGTGTTTTATCGAATAATGTGATAGATCGCTTCATGGTGGGGGAGGATGCCACTCGGTGTCGATCAATCAGGTGCAAAAAAGAGGACGTGCGTTTGCTTTTTTTTGCGTCTACATTTATTTCGTCATGGTGATGCGCTCCAACTTGGCTGGTAACTTTAGCTGCTGCTGCTGCTGCTGATACTCTTGTAATACCGCCACCACCTCCACCTCCTACCGCTCCTGGCACCCTGCCTATGATTGTAGTAGAGTTGTTAGAGGAAGATGATGACGATCCATAAATTTTCAAGTTGAGTGCATTGTTACCTGCAATCATGTAAAAGTATTGTGTCAGCGAAGATCGTACCAAATCAAGATGTTGTTCAAGCCGACTCGTATGAATAAATAAATGTGCTTGGTTTGTTGGTGCAACCGGTATAGTGTTGGCTTTGGGATGACCAGCATCCATTACTTTATCATCTAGTTGATGTTGTTGTTTTTCCTCATGCTGCTGCTGCTGTTGTTGTTGTTGCTGCTGCTTTGTATAACACTCATTGCACACAAGAATGGTAGACATGGTTTTGTCGTCTTGGGTGGATTGTACAAGGCATGCATTGGATAGCTTAGAAGCGAGTGATGTATCGCATATAGTGCATGTAAAGCATGAAAGGTGCCATTTGAGTGGTCCTCGTCTCAAGCATTCATCTTCAATGATTGATTTGCAATATTGGCATTGATCGACTGCTGTGATGGTTTGTTCAGAAGCAAGTGGAATAGGCTCATCCTTGAACCAGTAACGCCCTGCCATCCACACTCGTTTCTTCTCAAGCGGAAGCAAAGCCTGCAGAAATCGGAATACTGTGCCCGAATGATGACTTTCCTATATAATAATGCATAATGGTATGAATGGTAGAGCTCATTTTTTGGGTGACACGTGCCATACCAGCTGTAATGACTCCACTAAGCCGATGCGAATGAGTGCTTTAAGACTCTGGGCCATACCAGTGACAAGGGTAAGCACCTCTTGTGCTACCATCACGTTGTTGTTATTGCCACCATGTTGTTGCTGTTTCGATTCCTTCGTGTTGTATGGTACTGCCCCAGAAGCCAATAATTGAAGTAGCTGGATAATGTATGTTGAAATGGATTTCGATTCGCTTGCGCAAGAAATACTGCTGCTATTATGGATTTCAATATCGAGTGAGGTGGTATCAAGGGCATCCAAGGCGGCAAATAAAACTTGTACGTGGGATACGAATTGGCTGACCATGCGCAAAGATTCCACCGTAGCACCTGCTGCAAAATTGAGTAGCATGTCCGAAATACATGCAGCTGCCGATTCTTCAAAAGCTGAAAGATCAGTCCAAATGCGATCTAACATTCTTTCAAGTGATAGTTGTTGTTCTTTAAGCTCATGAGGCGCCACTAATTGATAATCTGTAAAGGGAGGAGCGTCAATGACATCATGTAAATGATAAGCGTGATGGTATTTACCACAACTAGCCACTGTAAAGTCTGCTAATCGGACATCCCATGACTATGTATGTATCATGCATAAGTTATACAATGGCAAGCAGACGTCTTTTGATACAAACGTACCTTTTGTATCATGTAACATGTCAAATGCCATCGTTTTCTCGGCTCATTTTGTTGCTCGACGAATTGCTTGAGGATAGCCATGTTGCATCCAGCACAATGGGTATCATCATTAAGGGAAAAATGGTATCGGCAATAGACTTGGCCATTGTATTCAAAGGATGATGCAGCGTCATGGGTGATACAATCTGGGCACTGCAAGCATTGAGGATGATACATAAATCTTGGGTCAACGGGCTCGAGAATGGGCTCATGACACTGCCTGCATATCAATCCGAGATGTGTGTAATAATGCTGTTCACAAAGGATCATCACGTGCTGCTGATAGATGCCGTTGTCATTGCGCTTGATAGTTAATGCATAAACATTGGATCCCACTGGTATCAAACAATCCTAGAGATAGAGTATGTTAGGTATACCTTATCATCGCTGCTTGTTGTTTGGACCGCTATTCACTCCTTATCCCCTCCTTGGTAACCAACCAGCTTGGTCAACCCATCTCCGCTGCTATGGCAACTCCCATCACCATGACCCCACATCCTGGTTGCTTTCAAAGGAAATGATTCATATCACGCAGCTTACGGCGCCACTTTTTTTGAAATGGGATATTGTTTGTTGCATATTTAATGTATAAAGCGACGCCCGAATGCATATGAATGATCATTTCCTTTTCTCCTTTTTATCCACACTTGTACTCTTCCTGGGATACTCGATTGGTGTATCCCTGCTCATATCCACGCACAATGGGTCCCTTGTCGGAAGCCAGTGTTGATGCTGACACACTCCTCTCATAGGGGATTGAAAGAAGAAAAAGGCACTCACCTCGCAAACAAGGCATGTTGGATGATACGGCTCACCACGAATACGAATTGGGTCAATTCCAATACATGGTTGATGACATGCTTGGCAACACGTTTGTTGCTGTTGTTGTTGGGTTGACTCTACACCATCATCCATCATCATGATTTTGACGATGATATGCTGTTGTTGTTGCTGCTGCTGCTGCTAATGCTGCCTCCTGTGAATGTGCGAGCAAGTTGGAAAGTAAAAGAGTGGTAGAAGAGAAGGAAAAGGAGAACAAGATGTTTGGATTGAATGAAAAGATCTTGTTTGCTGTACACTTTGAAAGGAGGAAAAAATCAGAATGAGCGTTGAATACTGCGTGCGGCGTGAAATTGGGTAGAAGAAGGGAAAAAAAGAAAAAGGAAGAGACAAGGGAGAGAGTATATGGGGGAGATGGATGAATAAGAAGAGAGGGGAGGATAAAGCGCTAGGTCTGTGATCCATCACGACGCTCACCCACCAACCAACATTACAATCAACAACCTAAACATCTAATACAGCCGCCCTTTTCCACCTCCTCTATACCCATCCATGTGTGTACCATTCTCCTAATAGCCAATCGATCATTTGATGTTGTCAGCATGTGCTGACAGCAAATTTTCTCAACCTACTACGCCGCACACATCGGCCCCAATGTCGGTTGTTCAGCTGCTACTACTATAAAGCCAACCACATTCCTTATCAGTGTTAGTTGTTTTTTCTTCTTCTCTGATTCAAGATGGGAATATGCTGGAAACTTTAAGCTAGATTACATCCTCAAATGGGTATTGCGTGTAGGTGCATGCTTGTTGCACTTGTCAATTATAAGATTGGGCAACTGCAGAAAGTTCAGATCAAAAGGAGAACGAGGAGGCCCGTTGTTAGTTGGTGCATAATACACATTTTGTAGCAGAGAAAATACATCCAAATGCAAACAACGATGCTATATATAGTGATGCGTTGCTGGAGAAAGAAAAAGGGATTGACTGCAGAATCGTACATGGAATCATACTCTATTTTTGCCGCAAGTGACTCTATATGTGTGGTGTTATGCATGAATGGTGGTGGAAAACACAACATTAAGTGCAGCTTAGTGAGCCGTGATTGGTATCATTTCATTCGTTTACAGCGTATGGGTATCATCCTAAAGGAGAAAACGATCGAGAGAGGAGCAGTAAATATAACTGCATGTTCGGTGATGATAGCGATGATGATACATACAAATGGTGTGATAACGATTTCGGATCTATTATCCATAAACGTTACGTAACCATCTCGAATTCGCCTTTGTGGATGGGCAAATTAGGTCTAACAACAACTCGATCGAAAATGGGTCTGCATACTTGACGCATGATGAAAAGGCTTTATTGACATTGGGTATTGCCACACAATGTCGCTCTATCGAACCATGACATGGATGTTGTGCTGTGTTCATACGACATTCGAAGCTATCCGATTCAATTGGTGGATGTAGCAAGTATTAATAAGAGTGCGTAGGGGCAAATAGTAGGTCGGCAGCTTAGTATACAGGAAAGCGCATCCATCGTTGCGATGGTGGTTGTGGCAACTCCTTGTCTTGCATCTATTTGCGTGTGTGGCCATTCGTGCTATTACAGCATACTCGGAACGCTTGTATTGCTTACATTTTGCATGTACCACAAGATGGCGGCAAACTGGTTGTGGCAAAAAAGAGGGGGAGAGGAGGAGGAGAGGTATCCTGTATATGTAAGATGACTGTATGATATGTGTGAAATGTGTGGGCATGGGTGGGGAATAAGGGGTATCGGTACAGGCATCTACAATTCGGTTGGGGATCCTGCAAACTAGTTATGTAATCTTGAAAGTGGAGAGGCCAACTCTTGATTTCACGATGATTGGTATTGTTGATGATGCTATGTATGAAAGAGCGAAATCTTCGAAGGCCAATGCTGGATGCAATAAGAACTTCCATATTCAACGAATGAACAACCTTTCGTAAGAGTCTAATAGGAGGGCTATGTACAATGAAATGATTGTTTCCCCATGAGCAAACCATTAGCTATTTTTAAGTTAAGAAGAATGATCCCTTGGTGCCATTGTTTAATAACCAAGGAGTGAGCTTCATTAGCAAATGCTTGTTTCTACAAGGTTGGCACATCAAGCATCATCATCCACCCGATCCAAGAATTGATCTTGTGACACTTGAGGATTGAAGGATGCCTTTAGGTGATGAAGTATCCAGTATCAAACTCGAGAGTATACGTGTGATTAGCAGCTTATAGTTGAATGATGATGATTTATTCTAGGATATCCACAATGCAATAATAACAACTTCTATATGTATGTGCGCGTTATCAATAAGCTGGGTGGAGGGAATAGCACGACCAACACACGACCATTTAGAATCCAGTGGAGGGGAGAGAGAACATTTGGCTGATGAAAAATACGTGCATTAGCGCGCCGCGTTTCCTTTTCCCTTCACTCTCTCTCTCTCTCTTTACTCACTCTAACATACAACCTACGTCTCGATCAACCAATGTCTGAACGACGATACGTTGAATTCGAATCGATCCATAGTGGTATCCAATCTGACGTTGGCCGATTCCGCCTTGCTCCCAACGGCATTGGATGGAAATCCACAGGCAACAAGACCACCGTCATTGCTGCGGACGATGTCAAAAAGGTCTCTTGGTCTCGAGCTGCTCGTGGTCATCAGGTCCGCATTGTAGTCAAGGACAACACTGTTTACAAGTTTGATGGCTTTCGATCTGAAGTAGGTGGCATTGTAAAAGGCATAGGATTCGGGCTGTTGATCTAACCCCAACACGGCTTCTCTAGGACTTTGACGATTTGAAGGACGCCGTCAAGCTATATTACAAGGTGCAACTGGAAGCAAAAGAATTGAGCGTACGTGGTTGGAACTGGGGGAACACCAGCTTTCAAGGTAAGATAAGATAAGCAATGCGTGGATGGGATGGATACTGATGGTATCCATGTTAGGTTCCAATCTTATTTTCGATGTATCCAACAAGCCCATGTTTGAATTGCCACTTGCACAGGCCATTGGTACCAACAAGCCCGGCAAGAATGAAGTATCAGTCAACTTTGTCGATCCTGGTCAGCCTGCACCTGAAGGCATCAACCCCAAGGAGGTGGATGAATTGATGGATGTCACATTCTATGTACCTGGTACCGTTGCCAAGGAATCAGAGAACAAGGACAATGAAAATGAGGAGGAGGATGAGGAAGTTGCTGCTGATATGGTAGGTTTTTTGTTATTGTGATCTGGTAGCCATGATACTCATCCGTGGGGCGTATAGGTGTTTTATGAAACAATCAAATCCAAGCTTGAGTTCAGCCAGATGACTACCGAGAACATTGTTCAATTCCAAGAAGTCCTATGCTTGACCCCTCGGTGAGTATCTCATTCATTCTTTTGTTGGAAAGTGGCATGATTGTAACTCTCTTTGTAGTGGTCGTTACAACATCGACATGTACCAAGATTTCCTTCGTCTTCGTGGCAAGACCTACGATTACAAGATCTTGTATTCCAACATCATCAAGCTGTTTTTGCTGTTGAAGCCCGATGAGATGCATGTCATGTTTGTGGTAAGTGCGAGTTGTTTGAATGGCATATGAGTTATCAACATGCTGAGGTGGACATGTTTGGTAGATTGGTTTGGATCCTCCTCTTCGACAAGGTCAAACGAAGTATCCCTTCCTTGTGTTCCAATTTGTGCGTGATGAAGAAATTGACATTGAATTGAATCTCGATGAGTAAGTGTCGAATCAGAGTTGTTGCTTTGGAGTCGATCGTTGACTAGGATTTACACTATGCAGTGAAGCAATCAATGACAAGTATGAAAACAAGCTCCAAAAGCGCTATGATGCTCCTACATACGAGGTGGTCAGCACCGTATTCCGTGCCCTTACCAATAGAAAGGTGACAGTGCCAGGCACTTATAGAAGGTACGTGTGTGTGTTTTTGGTAAACATTAAGGAATACGATATTAACTTTTTTTCACTTAGTCACCATGGTGCCAATGCTCTCAAGTGCTCGATGAAGGCGAATGAAGGTTATCTGTATCCATTGGAAAAGAGCTTCCTCTTTATACCAAAGCCCACCACATTCATCCCACACAGCGAGATTGGTGTTGTCAGCTTTTCTCGTCTTGGTACAACTTCTGGCGGTAGCTCACGTACATTTGATATCAAGTTCCACATGAAGAATGGCACGGATATCCAATTCTCCAGCATCAATCGAGAAGAATATGCCAATCTCGAGGACTTTTTGAGATCCAAGCGTATCAAGGTCAAGTCCGTGAACAATGAGGAAACACTTGTAAGCTATGCAGAGTTGGATGAAGATGAAGAAGAGGATGAAGAAGAATACAGTGGACGCAAGAAACGACGAACAGAAAAGGAAATGGATGTTGATGAAGAAGAAGAAAGCCGTAAGTATGATGATTTATCAATCTCGTTCTCCTTTATTAACATGATATCTATGTAGCTGATGAGGATTTTGCACCTGATGAGAGTGGTAGTGAAGTTGCAGAAGAGTTTGATTCCGAAGCAGCCTCCGAGAATGAATCAGAGTAGAGAGAAGAAAAGTTGTATAGCATTGCTATGTGCGTGTGTGTATATAAATTATCATTTATGATCCCTTTGTACGTTGCGTGATGAGAGAGTGGGAGAGAGAGAATGAGTGAGGGAAAAAATAAAGTCCGCGGTGTGCGTGGGGGAGAGTACGATGCAGTTTACAGTATCGCCGATACAGGAGCGGCTCTGAAGTGCGCAAAATAACAGCCAAGGGAAAAAAAAGACTCATCTCCAACAAGTCAAAGAGAGCAAGACACAACAAACCACCGTGATTGCTTCCTTGGGTCCTGGTCCATAAAAAAGTCTTCTCATCTGCTACGTCCTTGGATCATTGCCCCATCTTGTATTGTCGACTGGTGAAGCTCTCGTTTTAGTCATGACGAACCAGATGGCGTCCCGCTTCCGAGTGAAAAAACTCTCTCCCAAACACCCACTTCCTGTCTTCAAAGAGAAGCAACTACCTGACTTGGATGAAGCCAACCTTCAACGTGCCGTACCTCAAATTGAGACTGGTGTAGAGAAGGATGAAGAGGAGGAGGTAACGTATAGCAACATGGTCTCTTGGTGGTGTGTGGTGTGTGGTGTGTGGGTGGGTGGGTGGTTGCCCATGGGGTACTATTTACCGCTGTGCCGCTAGCAACGATGTGTGTGTGTGTGGGAAGGAGGATGATTAAGGAGAGATTTGGGGGGTCTTTGTGTACCCATTAACCAACTATTTTCTTACATTTTAGCATGATCTTCAAGCTGCCATCTCTGCTGCTCGTGCTGCTGTTACAACAGGTCAAGATGTCGCTCGCTATATCCCAACACCAGATGCATCTCGACAAATTGATGACAAGGAGTACTCTCGCGTCTACAATGTTCAATACAAACAACCCAACAGCTTGATTCGATATTCCATGACAGTCGATGAATTGATATCATGTCGCTATGTGATGGATGAAGAAGACGTATCATTTTTGGAACAACACAACATGAAAAAGAAGGATCACAAGCTATCCGATGATGCTTTTGAACACATGATGGACCTTATGGAATCAGGTGTAAGCTCTCAAATGCCACATCTCAACTTGGTACGTAAAAAAATGTCGTATTTTCCTCATTGCATTCATAGCTGACAACATGTATCTTAGGATCCATCACAAACACCCGATTATGCAGAGCTACTCAAAATGATTCCAGACCTTGCACGCACATACAACTCGATTGATATTGAACCGGTAGCTGCTCATTGGCGTGCACGACGTGTAGCTGCTGGTGGAAAGCCAATTATACCCGAGCTCATGTTTGAAGATTTCACCAAAGGCGATATTGATCCCTATGTATGCTTTCGACGACGTGAGACAAAGTCTGTTCGCAAAACACGACGCACAGATCAACAATCATTGGAGAGACTACGCAAGCTGCGCACTGAAATGGAAAAGGCACGCAATCTTTTGGAGATGGTATTGCGACGTGAAAAGATTCGCAAGGAAGGTTTAGTTCAAGAGCATGCCGTCTTTGACAAACGATGTGAGATTCGCGAGTATCAACGTCAACTGGGCATTCGAGACGAGGAAGCCCTTATGCCGGTTCCCAAAAAGAAACGCAAAATACCACCCTCTGACACTGGCTCAAGGTAAACTTAATCCTCCCCCTTCCTTTGTTACATTGATACTTATACATCTTGAATCTAGCACCACTATCAAGATACCACTCAATCGCCGTAAACGAGATGATGCCAACACTGAAAAATCACCCATGCAACTTGCCATCGAATCGGAGCTTGCTCGTAAAAGAGAAGAGGATGCCGATTATGAAGATGTTACCAACGTAAGTCTTTGGACGAGTTATAATGATGAATGTACTCACACGCTCTTTTGAATAGTGCTCGTATCAACCATTCCCATTGCCATTACCGCTTCATTTTTTCCAATCACTTGTACCTGAAGAAAAGACTCAAGCACCACGCTTTAGGAAGCGGATTGGTCGTGGAGGTCGTGTTCTTATTGATCGTATTGGCTACAGGACACCAGATAATGTGGATGATCGTTATCGTTTTGACCCTGATGTTGTTTGTTTGGATGAAGAGATTGAGGAAGTTGACGAAAATGATGACCGGTAAGGATACGGAGTTCATTTAAAGAGATACAAGCTGATTATTAATGAGCATCCCATTAGCTTTGTGCCCTATCATACCAGCCTGTCAAATGCCCAACTTGCTATTTTGGATAAAAACGTACCAGCAGCCATGTCGGAGGTACCCAATATGCTAAAGAATGATGCGATGAGTCGAGGGATGGTGCCCAACAATGGTAGTGGAATGGCTACTGCTGCTACTTCTTCTTCTACAACAACTCCTACAGTGCCTATTAAACGACAAAATAGCCGATCAAGGATGACACCAAGAGAAGCAGCTATAGCTATGACCAATGGTATGATTGCAACACATTTATCAGCAGCGATGAATGGCGTCTCTGTTCAAATGACACGCACTGGCAACAATAGCAGTAAGCGCTCTTTCATCCAGCCCCAAAGGCACCAATGATCCTAAATCCTTTTTTCTTTTTCAGGTACAACTCCCCTGCAACAACCAACACCTCCTCCGCACAAATCATCGGCATCGCCATCACCACAACTCACCACCTTACAAACCTATACGGCTCGTATATCCTGAATTTTCCTTCCCTCATCCACCCACACCCCTTTCGCTCACCCTCTCTCTTCCGTATACCTGCATGCAGTTTTACAAAAGAAACCAACACCCCCTTCATATTTGCATCTGTATGATTTCACCACAAAGCATGTTTATACGTTTCCCACAACACCCCATGTGAATAAAAAGAAAAAAAGCTACATAGGCATAAAATGGCTGTGGTACATGTAAAATACACAAGAGAGATTTTTATTGATGATCATCATCTAGGTCATAAACTTGATGCTGTTGGCAGAAGGAGCGCTAAAGACACTGCCTTGATCGACTGAGCCAGCAATCGTAAAGACAAGTGACATGCTTTTCTTTTTGGTATTCTTGAGTTGGATCTTGACGTTGCGTCCCTTTTGTTGCACCTTGCCATTATCCACTGATGTAACCTTGATGTTGGGAGGCATGGTCATTTGTACGACAACGGTGCTACCAAATGGCTTGGAATCCTTGCGACGAGCATTGACAACAGCCTTGAATGAGTCTTCATCCGATTCCTTGACTGACAACTGGGATGTGACACGTGCAGCATTGTAAGCCTTGGGAGCAGGACCAGAGACATCAGCAATGGAAGTTAAGCTTTGCTTGTTGCTGCAAGTATCCTTGTTAACGGATCCGCTGGTTTGAGTACAATAAATGGAAGAGCCATCGGTGGTGCTCATGCATGAAAGACCTGCAGCACATTGTTGAACAACCCATTTGCCATGGTTGCACACAGCAAAGCCCGATCCAACACACTTGTATTGGCCATCGGTGGAACACTCATCACCATCTTGTATACAAGTACCATTCTCTTGACCAGAATCCTCATTGTCATCATTGTTGTCAGTGTTGCTAGGTGAAGGTGCAGAGGTCGTAGAAGTCGTTGTTGTGCTGCTTTCAGCACCGCCATCACTAGTGCTGCTGCTGGAAGTGGGATCAGGGGTCGTACCAGTGGTCGATGGCTGTTCAACAGTCTTATCATTGCCAGCGTCACTTGTTGAGTCGTCGTCGTTGCCCTTGTCGTCACCACCAGAGGAAGATGATCCATCATGAACAATATCAGCCAAAGCGACAGCAAAGTTAGGAGAAGCATCCTTGTTGTTGTACGATTGTGATGCATCTGCAAAAGACAATCAGCCAAAAATGAATCACACAATGACAATGTATGTGTAACATACCCCAAACAGTGACACCACCATAGCTCGAGTACTTTGACAAATCCTTGATGATAGGCTTCAAGTCCTCAATCTTGGCATAGCCGGATCCAGCAGCTGTTGAAGAACCAGGGATACCAAGGAACACCTTGACATCCTTGTTGGGGGACTTGTTCTTGGCCCAATCATCCCATTGGTCAAAGTTAAAGCTTGATCCAGTCGTCGAGCAATAGTTGTTGTAAAACTGCACATTGACAGCATCCACGCCAGCTTCACTAATGACATCACCCAACATGGCATCAGGGAATGGACACTACAATAAATACATGTATAAGTATCTTTATACGCCTTTGACATCATCACATAATGAGATTACCTGGGGTGCAGCCGTAATGAAATAATCCTTGGAAGAGTCTTTTTTGAATAAGGTACGAAGTTCATTGATCATTGCCTATAGACCAAATTAGCAATGTTGAGTATACATGTATGTGCTGCTTGGTATCCATGGCAACGGTTGCTTACCACGTAACCCGTTGATCCACCACCTTCGATATCCAGATCGAAGCCATCTATAATGGAATCACCAAAAGGACGAGTCTTGCTATCACCACCGCCAAAAAGATCCCACAAGGTCTTTGCAAATGTCTTTCCTTCATCATCGCTCTTGAAGCCATAAGCACCACTGGCACCACCTAAAGACAAAAGCACCTTTTTGCCTTTCTTTTGGCACGTTTGGATATCTAAATTTCATGGTGTCAGTGGTGGTGTGTCATTGTTTATGAGGTGTAAACAACTTGCCTTTTCCAACTTGATCACATTTGAGCAAATTGGTGCCATCAAAAAACGTTCCAGTGCATGCGTTGGCCAAGTTGAGAGTAGGAAGATCCCCAACGTTGTAATTGGTGATAAAGCCGGCGATCAATACATCCGAGCTGTCATCACAGTATTCGGCAAGACCTTTTTGAGCGCTTTCCGAGTTTGCAGAATTCTATTGTAAAGAGGGTGTAAGTCATGTCTCAACACCATCACATGGTAGGCACGATACATACTTGTCCCCAGTAGGTGACAACGCCGCTTGGAAAGGATGCAGCTACAGCTTGGTGAACAAAACCAAAGAGAATGGAACCAGCCACGATAGTAGAACTCTTGCCAAAGATCATCTTTACGAGAATAGGCAAAGGAAGGAATGGAATGGGAGGGGAAAAAGAAATGTGATTTGTGTGTGTTGAAGAATAATGGGACATGGCCAGCATGCGGTCCTCTTTTATATTCGTAAAGGACAATGATCCTCCCCCGTTGTCATCCGCATATCCAAGTGCGCGCTGATTCATTCAATGATGCGTTCTTTCTCATTCATCACCTTACTGTATTTTCTGTACACCCATCGATGGCTAATGTAATGTAATCAATAATCTCAGGGATATTGAAGGACCCCGCCGCTCGGTATGTGAAAGTGTGTGCGTGTCCCAAATCACCTCTTTTTTTTGTTGCTCCAATCCCGGTACACCACAAGTATGTATAAACTTGATCGTCTCGCATGTTGTCTCCGTGTTGATGCCATTGTGATACATAAATGTGCCCTTCCCCTTGTTGGTTCATTCATCCATGAACCTTCCCTTCACGTTGATAAGGGTGAGCATCATAAAACTTTTTCTGCAATTGCATTGCAGAGAGCCACAAGTATAGGCTATACTCAGTTTGAAACCAATACCATCATCACTAAGGAGTATAATCGTTGTAGGCTTTGCCGATCATGCATGTAAATGGCACGCTGGGGAGAAAATGTCTATGAACCTTTAATTGACGTCGTGTGTAACATCAAACTCTATCATGCAGGGTAAATGCAGCCTGTATTGCTGCGATATGACATTACAAGTGAATCATTACATTTACTGCTGCAACAAGGAAACCACATGGTCCTTTTCCATTTTCCATGGATCGCCTATGATGGATCGTCAAAAAGAAATGGTTGTAGCAGCAACTTTTGAATAATGGCGCCTCACAATGAAGCACTTTCCAGGTACATTTGGTTCGGAGAAAACGTGCGTAATGAGAAAGAGAGGTTGGTAGGACAACAGGGTTCTCTGTTTTCCCGTCTCCGCCTTACAGCATCATGTTGCACTACTTACCCAAAGCATCCCATCTCCCTCAATAGGTTTAAACCTATGGAGAGCATGTCGCTTACCCCACAAACCACTTTTACCTCGTATTTAGGTTTCTCACGCACATCAACAGTCATACAATATCAGTGTTCTCATATACCGCATTATAACAAATCGGGTGCTTTTGCTTGCTTGACTTGTTCACAGCTTAGTAAAAAGTCATTTTGGAATTAAATGATCATGTAATTGGGCTTTGCCAAGGGTCGTCAGCCATGTACAGCACCTTTGTTCATTATGGGACATTGCCGTGTTGTACCATGTGTTGCGTAACATGAGCTTTGGATGCAATCCTGTATATAGGTAACCTTCAAGGATAGCAGAGCAATGGTTAAATCCTCAAGGATCATTCCCATTCCAGAGTAAAAGCCAACCAGTCGCGGTATTACAATGGCTCAAAGCGTCCCAATCTGATCAATGTGACAGGAACAAGACCTTTGTGTCACATTGGACAATATTGATACCAGAGTTTAGGAATCTTTCGTATCGTACCCATGGTCTCATTTTTTGGAGGCGGAAGCAGCACGCTGTATCACGCATAATGACTTTGAATCTCCATTCACTTTCCCATGTACTATGGACATGATCCAGAACGATAATATACATCCATAATTGTAATCATACATTCTAAGCAATGACTCGCACAGCAAAGAACGAAAAAAGTAAATCGGCATGTTGTTAGTGATTGTGCCGCCTAAACTTTCAATTGGTACGTATGCTTGTCTATGTACATGCGTATGTACGAACGCCATGTTTGATGCCAAAGTCTGTATAGACTTATGTATCCTGCAAAGGTGTCTATCACAGGTCTACAACAACGACCATTTAGATACTAAGATAGCACAATGATAAGGTGAATAGGAAAATGGAAGCATACATAGGAGCATCAATTGCCATCCGTGTTGCTGCTCACCTTTCAGGATACACGTTGCTAAGGAATAGCTTGTCAAGGAAGGAACCTGCTGATCATGCCATCTTGGCAACTAGCATTCTTAGAGGTAACGTGTAGGCCTCGACGTTGACTTTATCGCTTTTACTGCATCCATTCCGGCAACTGTACCGGCATGGCATGCGATTTTCATGTTCAGCAAGCTGGGGCTTGACAGCATCATCACGCAAACAACACAAGAAGCCCAATCATACACATATTGATGATTGCAGTGGCTAACGGAACGTCCCATTACATTAGCACTTTGACCAAACAAGGTTCCTTGACGAGTGTATGAAACCTCTTGTATTCAATGACAAGATAAGCAATCATACCTTTTAGGCCAACCAGTGCCATATCACATGCATCATGCGATGTCTTGCAGCAAGGGGAAAATTCCTTACGTACCAAGAACGTTATTAGCAACATTGCACGAGCATACTTTTATTCAATACCATCACACTAGACGTTGTTTGCTATTTATACTGTCATCTTTGCAATTGCTCTTTGTAACCAGCAATACTATACAACGAAGGGGAGAGCAATGGTATGCAAGGGAAAAATGTATCATTTAGAACAGGTTTAGGTGTTGCACATACTCCATGCATGCAATGTTTGATAGACCTCTTGCATGATTTACGCCACGTCTTCTATGGAAATAACATCATGAGCGTTTTCTTGCGCCAACTCCTCCTTGCCGCTAACATGACGACCCCCCTCGAAGAATCACTGATAAAAAGGTGCAGCAGCAGCAGTAACGATGCAGCTCATTCCAGACGATACCTCTACTCAGTCCCACTATGAGATTCTTGGCTATTGGTATTATCGGTGCGATCGTTTCTGCCACCAGTGTTGCTGCGCAAGGAGGGCCGGATCCATGTTCGGGGAAAAGCGAGCAAGATTGCATTAAGGATCCTGATTGCCAGGAAACCTATAAGAACCCGCAAAGAGCGGATGGTAGTGACTTCCACACTAGCAATGCACCTCTTAAATGTATGTTGAGATTTGGTGTTGGTTTATGCTAGAGTACTGAAAAATCGATTACAGGGGAATATGGTGGTTGCCACAAAAAGTTCAAGATGCGTTTCCCTGGTAGTACGACGGGGTTTCCTGAAATGGAAAATCCTTTCAAGTTGGAAGAGCTACTGGGAAAACAACAGCAAGGGAAACAGCAAGGACAAAAGTAAAGACAGCAGCAACTATCATACAATATCCAAATCACGAAGAAGGATCATGTATTACGACATCACTCACAAGATCTACTAAAATCACAATAATAAAAGGGAGGGTTGGGTTATATCATCGAATACGGCCTTTGTTCAAGGTACAATGAGTCGATCAGCCTCTTTCTCTTCCTCTCTTTTTTGCTTTATCACAGCATTTACTGGTGGATAAACTTTTAAGATCTTGCATAAACATTTCTATAATACAATCCATCATCAAGTGCCCACTCATAACGAGGTCCAACTTTGGAAGAAGGAAACCTCTTACATAATGATATGGTTGGCAAACGCAATCCCGTATGTATCCGCTGGAATAATCCTTTAATCCAATCTCATTCAAACAGATAGACTAGACACGGAGATTGAGAAGTACAATGCATTGCTCAATGAGAGATCCATCGATATGGGGCAATGTGAATGGATGAACGGGAGGTGGCACCTGATGCTTGGTGGTATACATATGGATGGCGTGTCAAAACATGGAGTTGGATGATGATGATGATGATGATGATGATCATTGTACATGGCACACGGCTGACAGGTTGCACAAAAGATGATGATAGTAACTGCCAGGGTGATGGCATCATGCATACTGGTGAAGTTGAAGTTGACAATAGACACACATAACAAGGATCCTTTCCCACCCGTTGCATGCACCAAATCATTCCATCCCATATACCAAACCAATTCAGATCCATATCCATATCCATATCCATATCCATATCCATAAAGGTATGTATTGAAGCAAAAAACTACACGTAAATAAAGCTGCTTGTATATAATGACGATCTGTTGTCCACGTGACAAGGCCGTAAAGCAAGTTGCTGCAAGTAGGTGAGATAATGGAGTAAAGACCTTGCTAAAAGAAGCTCCTGCAATGAATTCTGTTACGATTGGTCGTCGCGGCAACGGAGTGTGCTAGAGAGTGTGTTGTGTCAAGAGACTCGTGTGTTGTAGAAGAGTGACAAGAAGGCTGTCTACGGCATGGACTTGCCATTCAGTCAAAGAGAATCGGATCAAGAGAGTTGTAGGATTGACATGATGTGTTGAAGCAGGACAATCGTTCGCAGGTGGTAGTTGTATACTTGAATGGACCCAACAGTTGAGAATGGGAGGAAGAGGAAGGAGTGGAAATTAAACAGATTGAGCTAATGAATGCTACTTCTTTGCTTGAGCGTTGCACAATCAAATCATCTTGGGTCGAGGAAGTTGAATGATGAAGATGATGGGCTGGAGCAGGACAATCGTTTGCATGCATTGGATTGGGCAACAAAGGCGAGGGGATGAAAAGGCTATTAGCTGGCAGTTTATGAAGTAACAATCATTTTGATTTTTTTGATGCCTCGATGATATTCTTCTGTTTGAGCGTTACTTGAAACTTGGATGATGGAAATGAATGTCTGGAGCAGGAGTACTCTTTACATGTCATAGATTGGGCAACAATAGGGAATGGGAGGAATGGGATGCTAGCTGGCAATATATGGACTCATAGTAGAAAGTAGCATGCATTGATCCTTCCAATCCTGCAAAATGAGTTGCTTACCCAAACACTACCCTCTGCGTCTTTGGCTCTATCAGAGTCTAGCTACTTGACAATGAACAAAGACCATCTTTCATATCGCATTGTGCTTGTCCCATATACTATGAACATGATCCAGAACGATAATATACATCCATAATTGTAATCATCCATTCAAATCAACAACTCGCACTGCAAAGAACGAAAAAAGTAAATGGGCATGTTGTTAGCGATTGTGCCGCCTAAACTTTCAATTGGTATGCTTGTCTATGTACATGCATACGAACGCCATGTTTGATGCCAACGTTTGTATAGGCATATGTATCCTGCAAAGGTGTCTATCACAGGTCTACAACAACGACTATTTAGATGCTAAGATAGCACAATGATACGATGAATAGGAAGACGGAAGCATACATAGGAGCATCAATTGCACGACTATGCCCATCCTTGTTGCTGTCACCTTCCAGGATACACGTTGCTAAGGAACACCTTGTCATGAATCAGGAAGAATCCTGCTGATCATGTCACCTTGGCAACTAGCATTCTTCAAGGCAACGTGTAGGCATGGACGTTGGCTTTATCGTTTTTACTGCATCCATCCTGGCAACTGTACCGGTATGGCATGCGATTTTCATGTTTAGCAAGCTGTGTGACTTGACAGCATCATCATGCAAACAACACAAGAAGCACAAGTATGCACCTATTGATGATTTCAGTGGCTAACGGAACGTGCCATACATTAGAACTTTGATCAAACAAGGTTCCTTGACGAGAGTATGAAACCTGTTGTATTTAGCCAGGTAAGCAATCATGCATACCTTTTCGACCAACTAGTGCCATATCACGCGGACGAAAACATGCATCATGTGATCTCTTGCAGCAAGGAGAGAACTCCTTACGACGTATCAAGAACGTTATTAACATTGCACAAGCATACTTTTATTCAATGCCATCACACTAGTCGTTGCTTTGTTCTTTGTGTCGGATTTGCAATTGCTCTTTGCAACCAGCAATACTCTACAACGAAGGGGAAGGCAAGGGTATGTAAGGGAAAAATGTATCATTTAAGGCAGGTTTGGGTGTTGCACATACTCAATGCATGGAATGTTTGATTAACTTCTTGCATGATTTACGCCACATCTACTATGGTAATAACATAGGAGCGTTCTCTTGCGCCAACTCTTCCTTGCCCCTAACATGACGACTCCTGGAAGAGTTGCTGATAAAAAGGTGCTGCAGCAGTAATGATGCAGCTCATTCCAGACAAGAACTCTTCTCAATCCCCCTTATGAAATTTTTAGCCATTGCTATTATCGGTGCGATCGTTTCTGCTACCAGTGTTACTGCGCAAGGGGATCGATGTTCGGGAAAAAGCGAGCAAGATTGCATCAAGGATCCTGGTTGCCAGGAAACCTATGGGAACCCACGAAGGTCGGATGGTAGTGACTTCCACACTAGCAATGCACCTCTTATATGTATGTTGAGATTTGGTGTTGGTTTATGCTAGAGTACTGAAAAATCAATTACAGGGGATTATACCGGTTGCTACGAACCCAAGATGATGAACTTAGACCATTCCTGGGGCTTCCCTGGAATGGAAGATCCTTTCAACGAGGGGAAACAACAGCAAGGACAACAGCAAGAAAACAATCAATCATGTTCGGGAAAAAGTGAGCAAGAATGCAAGGATACCCTTAACTGTGAGGCAATGTATGGGAACCCACAAAGGTCGGATGGTAGTAACTTCCACACTAGCAATGCAGATCTTAAATGTATGTCGGGTTGGGTATCGATTTTATGCTAGAGTACTAACAATCGATTACAGGGCAGTATACGGGTTGCTACAACCCAAACGCAGACGATTAGTAAAGCTCGTTTCCCTGGAAATGCACCCAACAAGATGTCAAGCAAACAGCATTTTGACGTATCAATCATCTGATTACATCTCCCGCCGTATATTATTAATAAAGCAACTATCATACAATATCCAAATCACGAAGAAGGATCATGTATTACGCCATTACTCACAAGATTTACTTAAATCACAATAATAAAAGGGAGGGTTGAGTTATATAATCGAATACGGCCTTTGTTCAAGGTACAATGAGTCGATCAGCCTCTTTCTCTTCCTCTCTTTTTTGCTTTATCGCAGCATTTACTGGTGGATAGACTTTTACGATCTTGCATAAACCTTTCTTAATACAATCCATCAAGTGCCCACTCATAACGAGGTCCAACTTTGGAAGAAGGAAACCTCTTATATGATGATATGGTTGGCAAACGCAATCCCGTATCCGCTAGAATAATCCTTTAATCCAATCTCATTTAAAACAAATAGACTAGACACGAAATTGAGAAGTACAATGCATTGCTCAATGAGAGATCCATCGATATGGGACAATGTGAATGGATGAACGGGAGGTGGCACCTGATGCTTGGTGGTGAATCATATGGATGGCGTGTCAAAACATGGAGTTGGATGGTGATGATGATGATAATTGTACATGGCTGACAGGTTGCACAAAGGATGATGATAGTAACTGCTAGGCTGATGGCATCATGCATACTGGCAAAGTTGAAGTTGACAATAGAGACACAAACACAAGGAACCTTTCCCACCCGTTGCATGTACCAAATCCTTCCATCCCATATACCAAACCATTCAAACCCATATCCATATCCATATCCATAAGAACTTGTATGTATTGAACAAAGTTGTTCCACGTAAATAAAGATGCTTCTATATAATGGTTGTCTGCTGTTCACATAAACAAGGCTGTAAGACAAGTTGCTGCAAGCAAGGAACGCTGTTGGAGACAATGGAGTAATGCCCTTGCTAATAGCAATTGCTGGATTGAATGCTGTTACGATTGGTCGTCGTGGCAACGGAGTGTGCTAGAGAGTGTGTGGTGTCAAGAGACTCGTGTGTTGTAGTAGAGTGACAAGAAGGCTGTCTAGGGCATGGACTTGCCATTCAGTCAAAGACAATCGGATCAAGGCAATTGTAGGATCGACATGATGGGTTGAAGCAGGACAATCGTTCACATGGTGATACTTGTACTTGAATGGGGCAACAGTTGGGAAAGGTACGATGCAAGAAGCTGGGAGTGGAAGAAGTGGAAATTCATTAGATTTTTCTTACTGTACGTTGGATGATGTTCTTTTGTTTGAACATTGTTGATTCAAGTCCCCTCGGATCATGAAAGTTGAAGGATGGAGATGATGGGCTTGAGCAGGGCAATCGTTCACATGCATTGGGTTTGATAAAAAAGGTGAATTGGAGGGATGGTGTATCAAGTGGCAGTTTACAAAATACTTTGCAAAATGATTTTGGTGATTTTGGTGATACTTCTGTGTTTGTGCGTTGTTCAGTCAAATCCACTCGGTTCAAGGAAGTTGAAGGATAGAGGTGATGGGTTGGAGCAGCGGAATCGTTCACATGCATTGGGTTCGGTAAAAAAGGGTGAATGGGAGGAAATGGCTGTTAGCTCGCAATATATGGACTATCATAGATAGTAGAAAGTAGCATGCATTGATGCTTCCAATCCTGCAAAATGAGTTGCCTACACAAACACGTCCCTCTGCGTCTTTGGCTCTATCAGAGTCTAGCTACTTGACAATGATCAAAGACCACCTTTCATATCGCATTGCGCTTGTCCCATGTACTATGGACATGATTCAGAACGATAATATACATCCATAATTGTAATCATCCATTCAAATCAACGACTTGCACTGCAAAGAGTGAAAAGGGTAAATCGGTATGTTGTTAGCGATTGCACCGCCTAAACTTTCAATTGGTATGCTTGTCTATGTACATGCATACGAACGCCATTTTTGATGCCAACGTTTGTATAGTCATATGTATCCTGCAAAGGTGTCTATCACAGGTCTACAACAACGACCATTTAGATGCTAAGATAGCACAATGATAAGGTGAATAGGAAGACGGAAGCATACATAGGAGCATCAATTGCGCGACCATACCCATCAGTGTTGCTGTTCACCTTTCAAGATACATGTTGCTAAGGAATATCATATCATGAATCAGGAGGAAACCTGCTCCTCATGCCATCTTGGCAACTAGCATTCTTCAATGCAACGTGCGGGCCTTGATGTTGGTTTACATATCGCTTTTACTGCATCCATCCGACAACTGCACCAGTAGGGCATACCATTATCATGTTCAGTAAGCGGGGTCTTACAGCATCATCATGCAAACAACACAAGAAGCCCAAACATGCACCTATTGATGATTGCAGTGGCTAACGGAACGTGCCATACATTAGCGTTCTGATCAAACAAAGTTCCTTGACGAGAGTATGGTCATCTCATATTCAATGACAAGGTGAGCAATCATACACTTTCTACCAATCAGCGCCATATCACCTCGGCTAAAAACATGCATCATGCGAGTTTTTGCAGCAAGGAGAGAGCTCTTTACATATCGAGAACATTCTTATTAACATTGCATAAGAGCACTTTTATTCGGTGCCATCACACTAGCGTAGGTTTGCTACTGTTGTAATCTTTGCTATTGCTCTTTGTAACCAGCGATGCTGTACGAATGGAAGGGCAATGGTAAAGGGGAAACTGAATAGTATGAAGCAGGTTTGGGCGGTTCTATGTACATACCCATGTAATGGTCGATCAGCTTCTTGCATAATCTACGCCACATCTTCTATGGAAACAGAATCAGAAGCGTTTTTCTTGCGCCAACTCCTCCTTTCTGCTAACATGACGTCCTGAATAGCCACTGATATAAAGGTGCTGCAAAAGTCGTGATGCTCCTCATTCCAGAAAATAACTCTTCTCAATCCAACTATGAAATTCTTGGCCATTGCTATTATCGGTGCGATCGTTTCTGCTACCAGTGTTACTGCGCAAGGGGATCGATGTTCGGGAAAAAGCGAGCAAGATTGCATCAAGGACCCTGGTTGCCAGGAAACCTATAGGAACCCACAAAGGGTGGATGGTAGTGACTTCCACACTAGCAATGCACCTCTTAAATGTATGTTGAGATTTGGTGTTGGTTTGTGCTAGAGTACTGAAAAATCAATTACAGGGGATTATGCCGGTTGCCATGAGATTGTCGATGACGACGGTGGTTGGTGAAGGCTGTTTCCCTGGAAATGCAACCCAACAAGGTGTCAAGCAAACAGCATTTGATGTTATCAATTATGTGACCACATCTCTCGCCGTATAGTATAAATAAAATAGCTATCTTACAATATCCAAATCACGAAGAAGGATCATGTATTACGCCACTACTCACAAGATCTACTTAAATCACAATAATAAAAGGGAGGTTTGAGTCATATCATCGAATACGGCCTTTGTTCAAGGTACAATGAGTCGATCAGCCTCTTTCTCTTCCTCTCTTTTTTGCTTTATCACAGCATTTACTGGTGGATAAACTTTTACGATCTTGCATAAACCTTTCTTAATACAATCCATCAAGTGCCCACTCATAACGAAGTCCAACTTTGGAAGAAGGAAACCTCTTATATGATGATATGGTTGGCAAACGCAATCCCGTATCCGCTAGAATAATCCTTTAATCCAATCTCATTCAAAACAAATAGACTAGACACGATATTGAGAAGTACAATGCATTGCTCCAATGAGAGATACATCGATATGGGACAATGTGAATGGCTGAGCGTGAGGTGGCACCTGATGCTTGGTGGTGAATCATATGGATGGCGTGTCAAAACATGGAGTTGGATGATGATGATGATGGTAATTGTACATGGCTGACAGGTTGCACAAAGGATGATGTAGTAGCTGCACCAATCGTTCAGGTTGATGGCATCATGCATACTGGTGAAGTTGAAGTTGACAATAGACACACAAAAACAAGGATCTTTTCCCACCCGTTGCATGCACCAAATCATTCCATCCCATATACCAAACCAATTCAGATCCATATTCATATCCATATCCATATCCATAAACGTATGTATTGAAGCAAGCTGCTACACGTAAATAAAGCTGCTTGTATATAATGACTATCTGCTGTCCACGTGACAAGGCCGTAAGACAAGTTGCTGCAAGGGAAGAACGTTGCTTGAGACAATGAAGTAAAGACTTTGCTAATAGCAATTGCTGGAACGAATGCTGTTACGTATGATTGTGACCGAGGAGAGTGCAAGAGAGTGTGCTGTGTCAAGAGACTCGTGTGTCGTAGAGGAGGGACAAGAAGGTTGTGTACACGCCATGCACTTGCCATTCAGTCAAAACAATCGGATCAAGACATTCGTAGGATCAACATGGTGGGTTGAAGCAGGACATTCATTCGCATGGTGGTAATTGTGCTTGAACGGGTCAACAGTTAGGGATTGGAGAAAGAGACAGATAAGCTGGGTGTGGAAGAAACGAAAATCAAAGGTTGAGCTTGAATGCTGTTTGTTTGAGAGTCGCTCAATCAAATCCTCTCGGGTCAAGAAAGTAGAATGACGGGCATGGTGGGCTGGAGCAGGACAATCGTTCACATGCATTGGGTTGGGCAACAAAGATGATTGGGAGGAAGGGGCCGTTACCTGGCACTTTACAAATAACTAATCAGCTTGATTCTTCTGATATTGGATGTTACTTCTTTGTTTGAGCGTAACTCAACCAAATTCACTCGGATCAAGAAAGTTCAATGATGGGCATGCTGGGCTGGAGCAGGAGAATCGTTCACATGCATTGGGTTGGGTAACAATGGAGAATGGGAGGAATGGGCTATTAGCTGGCAGTTTGAACTATTCCTAAATAGTGTACAAGAATCATGCATCGCCTGTGCTGAATGACTCAAGTTACACAAACACGCCCTCTGCGTCTTTTGCTCTGCCAGGGTCCAGCGACTTTACATTAAACAAAGACCACTTCCCATATAGCATCACGCTTACAAACATAAAGGTGCCTGTATCTCCGAACTTTACAATCAAACGTGGGGTTTTGAATAGAGCAATGTGCTCGGCTTGGCCAACAGCACCTTGTGTGAAAGTTTCACGTTCAATGTCGCAACTAGCCCGAAAAATATTTTTTTGGTCGTCGTCGTCGAAGAGGTCGACCCCCAGATCCAGTTTGGCTGGTAGCGACATTGCGAAATCTGGGATTGGCAAGCTTGATCCTGAAACTGGCACCCAAGGTGCTGTTGGCCAAGCCGAGCACATTGCTCTATTCAAAACCCCACGTTTCATTGTGAAATCTTGAGATATGGCTGTCTTTATGTTTTCACTATGCTGTAAGCGTGATGGTGTTGCTTTTTCCTAGTGGATGGTGTCGGCTGCATTAACTGAAAGATGAAGAGCTGAGTGAAACCGCACGTAGTGGTTACACAGACACGTCGTTGATAGGTTGCTACACAAATGGATGATGATGATGATTGCCTTTTGTGAAGGTACGTAAGTAAACAGCATCCAATAATGAAGGTGTGTCAAGGTATGCATCACATTTGCATGTAGAAGAAAGTCGAGCTGCATAAACCAATATGTATATGTAAAAAGATACATATACATATTGAATGAGTCACTCATCCTGAAACTCAATGGAGGGATCTCTTCACTTTTTCTCTTCTCAAGTTCATCCCACTTCCCACTCCTCCTTATTATATCACAAAAGCCATGTACTTCTTAACCGGACCACCTTTATTATTCCATCTTCGAAGCAATAGTATGTAATCCACAAGCTAGAACCTCCAACAAGCGTGTAATAAATAAACAATGCTTTATTTCATCTAGCTATCTTGCTATGTACTGTACATTGCCACCACCATCGTCGTAGTCGTCCTCCGTCATCATTCCTACTCGTACTCGTCACCAGTCGTCAATCTCATCCGTCACACCAACATCCAAAAATACACAAGTTGAAAAGAATGGGATCTTGCAGGCTTCCTTTTGAATCTCATTGTCGTTATCATTGTCATTGTTGTGAATGTGGTAATCATCGTAATGGTCGTCTCTACAAATAAGAAAGCTGGCAAGTTAGACCATCTGATACCGGGAATGATGACGATTTGGTATACCGTTAGGCGATCCTCTCCAAGGAAGAAAGCAAATCCGAATGAATTCACAAACCAAATCACCACCATACGAGCAACGTCGGGCGATCCCTTGTTCTTGAGAAGGCACTGCACGAATCACGCAAGGCCAGTTCGATCCATGGCAAGGAAGGACATCACTTACGTAAAGTCCAGGCTCATAGTTGTTCTCATTCATCCTCTCCAAAGAAAGAATGATCCCCAATCCTTCCAATCATTTTCCCACCTCATGAAAAGAAATCCTCAAGGGAAAGAACGAGCCTATCACGAGAAGAGCGTGTTGGTTAAACACATTCACAAGCTGTTGCAAATCCCTTTTTACCTCAACACGGTGACCATGCTCTTCCAAAAATCCATCGACCCATCAACTCAAACGCAGGCCTATAGAGCCCTGGACGCGTTCCAAGAAGCATTTCCAGCACACTTGGCTAGTGCAGAGCGACGCAGCGACCACTTGATACAGGCTGGGACTTGAACCCAAAGAGATGATGATGATGCCCCAAGTTGCATTGCCTGACCAAAGAAACCTATTCAATTCATTATTAGCACACACACAATGAACACACTTTTCATTGTTTGTTTCATTGTACTTGCCTTTTCCATATACACAAAGACCCGTTGTCGTTGGTTACTGGAAACCGAAAACCACGGTGTAGTGTTGTTGAGCCGAAACAGAACGCCAAACCAGCCAACGTCTTGAAACCAAACTTGCTCTCTATACAAGCTGACGCGTCAATGGAACCAGTTCGGCTGCAACATTGGACTCTGAATGTACCTGTTGACACCAAGCGTAGAGCGGGAATAGCAACGAACAACAGGAAGCAACGATATCGCCATGGCAACCACCAACCACCAACCACGCTCATTCCTCAGCACTTGGACACACACTCACTCCCTGACAATGCATGTTCAGAACTACATTAACACCTCACAGCCAACAAGAGCACTCTTTGATAATACATTACCTTGATCGAGATGTCGTGAATGGGATAAAAGCAGAGGAGTGAGAAAGAGAAGAGAAGCGTTGTCTCAAGTCATGGAGCTACCGGCCCCAAGTTTAAATCCCCTACTGCTATTACACTGAGGCCACTCAATTACCCTATACACACCATCCACCCATCATTATCATCACCCTCACGATAGACAATAGGTACACGTAAATAAAGTTATGATCCTCACGAAGGGTGTGTGCCATTTTACACTTTACATGATAATGATGATCCAACACAGCCATTGCCTTTACTACCAGGTTACCTCGAATCAAGAAAGTTAAATGATGGGAATGATGGGCTGGAGCAAGGCAATCGTTCGTATGCATTGGATTGGACAACAAAGGTGAATGGGAGGAATGGGCTATTAGCTGGCAGTTTACAAATAACTTTGCATGATGTTTTTGTTTGATCGTAACCCAACCAAATCCTCTCGGATCAAGAAGTTGAATGATGGAGAAGATCAGCTGGAGCAGGACAATCATTTACATACATTGGTTTGGGAAACAAAGATGATTGGGAGGAATGGGCTATCAAGGCATACTGTTGTATACGGCTGATGAAATCTTTGTTTGACCGTAGCTTAGTCAAATCAGCTCGGATCAAGGCAAATTGAATCATGGAAGTAAATGTCTGGAGCAGGGGCATCGTTCCATTGTCATAGAATGGACCAAAGGTGGGAATAGGAACAAGTGAGTGTTAGCTGGCTATACATCCACTATTACTAAAGAATGTATAGGTATCATGCATTGACACCTCCAGTCCTACACAAACACGCCCCTCTGCATCTTTGGCTCCAGTGGGGTATACCTACTTGGCAATCAACAAAGACTATCTTCCATATAGCATCATGCTTACACCATACGGAAAACATAGAGAAGGCCATACCTCAAAACTTTGTAATCCACCGTGGGGGTTGTCATTAGAACAAAGTTGCTCAGCCTGCACGAAGCGTATTTACCACACAACATCGTCAAGCTCTGTTCACAATGAATAATTGGCTCACGCCATTGACGAAGATTTACCACGTTGAAAGGCTTATAAATGATGTTGAACGTTATAAGATTATGTTACTGTCGTTTATTTTCTGGATTTACAAACAAAACAAAATGATGTTGAAGGAAAGGGAAGAAAAAAGAAAAAGGAAAAAAACACAAACTCCCAAAGAAGATTACTTTTTGTCGTCTGGATTACTTATACAAGCTGTCATTGTCCAAGAAAGAGAGTCAAGACAAGCGTGCATGCTATCTGAATGTGTGTGTGCGTGTGTGTGCGTTTACGTGAGTTGCTGCAAATGTGTATAACGTGCGTGTGTGTGTTGTGGGAATGAATGTGTGTGTGCATGGAATGTAAATACGTCATCTGGATGGGATCTCTTGAGGATTGGGTATAGTTGTTACTGACTATGGTGATCGCTATTGTTGTTGTTCATGTTGTTCTCGAGCTCATCCAATAATTTCTTATGTCCTGGACCTTGTAACTTGCCAAGAAGAGGACACACTTGGTCAACGAGTTGCTCCTGTTGTTCCTCCGAAATATAAGAGCTCGCAATTATCTTTTGGATTAAGGGCGAACCACGCACTGAATCGGAAACAATCTCTTGTAACGCGTCCTTGTCGGTGATAGCTTCTAAGACGACTCTTCGTGCCTCATCTTCATTATCTTGATTAACAAGCTTGAGCAATGTCTGTGATCCGAGCTTGTGTGTGGCCACTTGTACTAAATGTGGTTTGAGGCGCTTGGCAAGCAGTAAATGTCGCTTTTCAAGATTGGATGATTCCATCAACCACGATAGCAGCAAGGCACCATTAGGATTGGTTGAAAGTGACAAAGCATTCTGAGTCAAAGCGGCTGCAACAAAGATCTAAAATAATACAAGTCAATACCTTGGAGGAATGACAAGACCAATCCATCATGCTTACCTTTTGATTCAATGTGACGTGTTGATTATCCAAAGTGCCACGCATGGCTCGAGCACCAAATCGACCTTGTGCGACATTGAGAAGCTTCTCGACCATTGCGTCAAAGATGAATTGGTTGTTGCCATCACCCAACCGAAGACAGCATTGCACAGCATAGTTGCCAAATTGATCCAATAGCAATGGAGGTACATAGGGACGTAAATGAGTGCACACGAGATGAATCTAAGATAGGCATGTTAGCATCGTGTGTATTGAAATGCAAATGTGTGGGAGGAGACATTACCTGTTCAGGTGTCTTGATTGTGTCTATAATCTTTTGTGCTGCCCAGGTTCCATTCTTGTGTACGCTGATGGCTGCCATGTGAGGTCCAATGCGTTTGAGCATAGCAGCTTTGGTATCCTCTGTGCACTTTTCGAAAAGTCGTTGGACAACCGTATTGCCAATGTAATCTATACCAAGATAATCAGTACCCTGCATGGTAAATAGATTCATACAACTTACCGCTGCTTAGCTCAGCAATTTCATCCATACAATCGTATGCAATGGTCTCCACTTCCTTGGTGCCATGACCTGCATTATCCAACTTTTTACGGATCTCACGCAAACGAGCGGCATCAAATTTCCTTGTAGCACCAAATTCAGGGACAGGTGGGATTGATTCGAAATAGCCAGATGATGTTTCAAGTGCTACGCAACCCCATTGAATGTCAGCTTTAGGCAAAAAGTGGTGTGTATGTGGGAGTGAGAGATTTACCTTTTACCAAGTTCAAAGCCTTGTCTTCAGCACCGTATTCTTTCATGATACTCCAAAGGTCAGTGAGCCACGAATTGCCATCTTCCATGGTCGCACGATCATTATCGCCATGTAATTTGGTGACACCATTGCTGCTGTTGGCGTTTACAACTCCAGAAGTAGTAGTGGTAATACCATCATTAGCTGCACCTGTCTTGGCTGGAGGGACTTTGGCAAATCCAACACGCACACCAGCAAAACCTTGAACACCAATCTCATTCTGGAGCAATGCTTCACGAGCCTTGGATGCACTATCGACTTGCTCAAAGTTGACAAAGCCGCAATTCTTGTGTGAAAGTACACGCACAGACTCGATGGCACCAAAGGAAGAAAAAATGTGCTGCAAAGTGGACGGAGCCATGCCCGAAGGGATATTGCCAAGCCCTAAAAAAGGCAGGTCACATTAATTACGGGATACTACCATCATCCACCAAAGTAATAATAGTACTTACATAGAGCACGTGTAGGTTGTAGTGCTGTGGTATCAGGGATAGCAGCATCAGCTCTTCCATAACCAATACGTACGATACAGTTGCCGACACGACCACCTAATCTTCCAAGCACCTCTTCCTTGGCACGCACAGCATCCTCGACATGGAAGAAATTGACAAATGCACATTCCTTCTCCAATAGCAAACGCACGCTCTCAATAGGACCAAAGGATGAGAAGAGCTGAGTCAAGTTTTCAATGGTGACGGTTGAATCGATATTGCCAATCCACAAGGAGCGAGTAGCTGTTTGAGTGGGTGAGCTAGTGGAAGGCATCATCTGAGCTTGGTGATTACGGAACGTGGGCGTCGATTGGCTATAATGGAGATATGGCTATAATGCATAAAATAAAATTAGTATCAAATGGTCTCCTCATAATATACCCATCCTCTCCTTTTCTCCTTGTTTGATATGACGCGCTTCTCTTTTTCCGATCCCTTACCTCAGGCACCCCATTGCCATTCATATACACGGTATCTTGATGTTGCTCAGATGGAATAGTGTCATTGTAAACTTGTTGCGTGTGAAGCATGTTGGCCAATAATTCTGAATCACCCAATGACAATGAAGACTCTGGTTGCTTGGTAGCAAATTCACGATCAACATAAGATGATTCATCATCTGTGACTGAATCAAGAGTGGGAAGTTGCATTTGCCAAAGAGAAGAAGGAGGATTCATGCCACGATCATAATCCATACGTCCCATGCTGGAAGCTCTAGGTCGATTGCGTTGAACTGTCAAACTATCGAGTGGGTTGGCAAAAGTACTAGCACGTGCACGAGTAGTACGCATGGGAGGAGAAGTGGTGGGTGGTTGTGGTGCTGCTGGTGTTGTAGTGGGTGGTTGGGTTGCAGCTTGAGGAGCCAATGGTGGAGCAATGTGTGCAGGTATTGTACGATCCTGATAACGACTCGCTGCATTGACTGAATAAGAGCGACTACGATTGCCGGATAAAAGTGAACGACCTTGGGTTCCTGGGACTAGGATGTCTGTAGCAGGTGCAGGTGGTTGCTCTTGACGATGATGATGATGCTGAGAATAAGGAGTATGGTGATGGTGATGATGATGATACAATCCATTATTGGTAGCTGTAGTAGCAGGGGCAGCACCAGCACCAGCACCAGTGGGGACATTGCTTTCATCTTCCAATCCAAGAGAACGTAAAGTACGCGCAATGCTGAAATCTCTATCACCACGTAACAATTGCTCAGTGGCAGGGGATGGCAACGAAGAACGCACTTGTTGCTGTTGTTGCTGTTGATTCTGTTCTTGTTGTTGTTGGTTAACATCCATACCAGAAGACCATGAGGAGCCAAAGATAGTCAATGGAGGGGGCACAGGGAGATTAAGTGATCCTGAACGATGACGAGTATCGGCTGCTGCTACTGCTGCTGCTGCTGAAGGTCGAAGTAAAGGAGATCGATGGGCACGTTCCTCTGGTAAATGCACCATGGATGGCATAGTTCCAGCACGTGCACGTCGCATTGGAAGAGTAGAACGAGTCGTATCCATGGAAGAGGTAGTGGGGATATCGTGGTATGCTGAACTAGACGTGGTTGTCGTCTTCGTATGTGCACCTCTCAAGAAGCTAAGCGAGTTGGACATTGTTGGGTCTAGAACTTGATCCAAGTAGCTCATGCCTCCTTGTGACATTGAAACGCCAGCTTCATTCTCTTCAAGTACGACATCTAGGTCCCTTTATGAATAAAGAGAGATGATGAGCAAAAGGTTCCATTGACAGGGGGAGATTGTAATACTTGCCTTGATGTGGCGTACGCTTGTCGCATAGAGCCAGGTTCCTTCATCATTATGCGTCCAGCGTCCAAAAGAATAGTACAAGAAAAGGTGTTTTCGTGGAACCGTGAAAGAAAAAGAAAGAGAGTGTAGTAATATAGGAAAACGGGAAAGGGGCAAGGAAAAGAGAAAAAAGGGGGGAAAGTGGAACGACCAAGAGTGATGAAAAATGGCCCCTTGCGCGCGGATGATTAACTCTCTACAAAGTGTCACACACAGCAAAAATCACTCGAAAGAGAGAGAGACAAGTGAGAGGCTTTCTATCAAATGCAGGAGTTATCAATGACTAGGATGGTAATGAACAACAACAACAAATACGTACCTATACATACATACATCTTGAACTCCTTTCTACTCAACCATACCCATCTCCACTGTAGCATGAATCAATTGTCCCGTGCTGCTGCTGTGTTTTCTCTTTCTCTCATCATTTACATCGGCGATACAAGCTGAGCATCATACTTAAGGTACGTGCATCTGACACTTTGGACCCCTCATCCTCCTACTCCTCTCAATTATATATATATAGTGCATCACGGACCTTTTCTTTATTGTTCCCGTTATTGACTATGTAACAAAGCCAATGATACCCTCTCCCCTCCCGTCTAATTACCCAACATTGAAGGAATGGATGGATTTTCATGCAAAAAGGACATCACAAGAAGGGCTTGCTGCATATTCTTTTCCCAGCAGTTTATTAAACGACAATACCCTGCATCTATTCCAATACAGTACCTTTCTTACCTTTAGCTCCTCAACACATCACGTCAACATGGTTACATAGCCATTTTGTACTTGAAAGTCAAGGAGAAGACACAGAAAATAAAGAGCAATGGGATGATGCATGTATATTGCTTGGGTTACCTTCTCCTTCAAAAATCAACAACCCCCCCCTTACCGCGTGCGGTCCTGATTTTCTACTATTCCTTTTGGTCACGCAATAGCCTTCCTGGGAACCGGTTTCATTGGTATCTATCTCCCATGTGGTAGTCGTAGTAAATAATGAGCACAATCATTACCACCCACCCCCTAGGTCATGGGTAACCTACCTCGATGGTTGCCTAGAGAAAATCCATGGTTACCACTCTTCCGATGTACATGATGTAGGATACAGTACCTCTCATTTTGGATATCCAACGTCCCATTACCTCACCGCCACCATCTATCATGTTCATTGTTCTGTTGGTGTCATTGTACAACGTTTTCAGGTTCATGATTTGATGAAAAGCAATAAAAATGACAATGAAGCTTCATTGATGGAAGAATCATTGACATCATCATCCACATGTCCTCTTTGGCTCATTATTCGCCATTGCACGTGCTGAGAAGTCTATCTCATCTCATTACTACCACTACCAATCACCCCTTAAACGAACCAAAATCAACAAACTTAGCCTAATGTAATGTATTCCACGATACTGATATAGCAAATCAACTACTATCTAGGTCATTTCAATAATTCTCTAATCTATTCTCGATATGACTGACAACTTTTTGGATGTAGAAATAGGTGGTATCCATGGCAGCCTTCCTTGGTTACACCATGTCCCAATCACGGATAGGCCGATTTGCCAGCTGAATCCTGCTCGTGTCCTCATTTTGCATACCGTCTTTGCAGCAAGGCTTTGCTTCTAGATCCAAAACGAGGTTTGTCTTTCAAGACATGCCGGCTGCCAAAGTCTTTTGTTGTGTTCCTGTTCGCATTGGTGCCATTGCCATCTCGGCCATCCTCTTGGTAAGCTCTTGTTTCACCCTGACGGTTTCTGATGCGTCGCTCATTCATTCATGTATAACCTTAGGCCGTGTACTTGGCAGGCACTATCGCTATATTTGTTCAACGACAAGGTAAGCGTGTTTTGTTTCCAAGGGATACCGTAGCATGGTTAACAAAAGATACGTGGTTGTATAGGCATGAGAGATTGGGCTACCTTGGTTCAAGCTGTGGATGTACCTCTCACGAATGAAGCATTTGATGGGGTGTTTGGTGCTATGGCGGCCGTCAGTATTGCATATACCCTGACACATGTTTATGGCTTGATCTCTATTATCTTGGTAAAGCAGTAATGGCATGTGATTTGACATGATGATGATACTAATCTCCCCACCTTTATAGCAAAAACGCAAGCTTGTCAAGGTGTATCATATCATCAATTGGTTCTTTGTCTTGCTGATTTTGACCATCTCGCTATCATACTGGTTTTACTTCAAAGTCAAGCGTGATGTATACATCAATGATTGTCAGGATCTACGGAACAATGGTGCTATGCCTTTCAATGATACCTATACCCCAGTTGTCGTTCCTGGCAAGAATATCCTAGCAGGAGGTAGTGACAAGAGCCATTGCATCTCTCTCGTCAATAAGCTTGTGATTGCTTCTGGTGTGGTTACCTTTTTAGCCAACATGATTCAGGTACAAGTCCTTTTTCGCGCTCCCATTGTATCCAAATTGCTCATTCTTTGATATAGTTGTACTTTGCAAGCTGTATCGGAACGTACGCATTCAGTCTCAATTGGCAATACCTTCATCAACGCCTGCAAACACAAGATGTGGATGAACTAGCTATGGGCAAAATTGCAGTGGATCGTGATTAGTTGTAGTAGTATCTCTCTCTTTGTACATGGTTTAATAGTACTTTTTATTCTCTATGTTGTGTATGATACAATTTTGGAGGGGGGAATGGATAAAATCTAGTTACCGGAAGCAGCCTTTTGTACTTCACTAGCAAAGTCATTTTCCTTCTTTTCAATGCCTTCACCCACTTGCCATCGCAAGAATCCAGTCACGATAGCACCATCCTCAACACCAGCTTCCTTGGCAGCCTTGTCTACGTGCTCGGCAACAGTGAGATCAGGGTTCAACATGAAGGGTTGCTTGGTCAAGACGATTTCGGAGACATCAGCGGATTCACCAGCAGGCACATCTTCTTGGTTAAGATATTGTGGATTGTAACCAACGACTTGACGAGCCACTTGACGAGCGACCTTGGTTAATGCATCAGCATTCGCTTCCACCTTGCGAGGCTCAAGGACAGCGAAACCACCCATCTTGCCGGTAGCGGTATCACCACCATGAATGTATTGACCAACAGCACCACCTGATGCAACGGCTGCACGACGTAATGTGATGTTTTCGCCCAACTTGCCAATCGTCTCAACAATGACCTCTTGAACTGATTTGGTAGCGTCTGGAGCAGCAGTAGCATCGTCGGGGTGAGGCATCAAGGGTGCTTGTAACAAGCTGTCAACTGGAATTTGTTCAACGGCCTTGGATGAATCGTGCAACAAGAGAGAGGTGGCAGCAATACGCGAAGCAAGGTTCTTGAATACATCATTACGTGAAACAAAATCAGTCTCGCAATTAAGCTACAACATTGTTATAGGTTAGATCCATATCATCATCATCATCATCATCATCCACTCTACATACCTCCACCATAGTGCTTCTACGAGGAGCACCTTCAGCAACAACGGATGCGATACTGATAAGACCTTCGCCAGCAGTTCGTCCTGCAACCTTTTGAGCCTTTTTGGCACCAGCAGCTTGTGCGTCTTGCTCTAACCACGCCATGGCCTTTGCATAGTCATTGTTGTTCTTGACAAGGGCTTCTTTGGCTTTTGTCATGGAAACCTCGGTCTCCTGGCGCAATTGCTTCAACAACTTAATGTCGGGCTTGATAGCAGCAGCAGCAGCACTGTATTGTCGGCAGAGAAGGTGTCGTGCAGGAGCAATGCGTAATCCCAAGAACATTGTAAGGTGTGATAAAGACGAGGCGAAAGAGGGTTGCTGGGTTAAGATAAATAAAAGGTGGAGCGGCTCTTTGGAGCTGTTCATCATTCCACAACATCATGCTTGAACCATCCAAGTTTGAGTCATTTGATGATGCCATCCACGATCTATTATCAACAGTAGCAAAAGATCAATTCGGTAGTAGTTAACAAGAGATCGACATGTGCATGAATAAAAGATGTGCCACCAAGTCATTATCACCGTTGCATTGTACGCTGCTTTCTCTATCTTTTTGATGTCGTAGCTATGCTCATCTTTGATGGATTTAACGTGTTCACGATGTCTGATCGTGTATTCTATTACTTGGTGTGCACTCACATATCCAGAACAATGATCAATGTGGATATGCGGGGCTTTGACAAGAGGAAAGGGGGGATTGACAGGCAGGCTAACGGCTGTGGCTTGTCTGTGAAAAATTTGTATATCTTTTCGGGAGGTGGATGAGTAGACCAACCTTCCTCTTTTTTTCTCTCTCAAACTTTTTTTACTGGTACGTCGATATCGTGCGATGGATACGGCAACATTAGAATCCCAATATTGATATACATACATCATTATAGCAATGGCCCCCGCTGTCAAGAAGTCCAAGAAGAACGTCGAGTCCATCAACTCTCGTCTCCAACTCGTCACCAAGTCTGGCAAGTACACCCTTGGTTACAAGTCTACCTTGAAGACTCTTCGTCAGGGCAAGGGTAAGTAATTCAATTTCTTTTTGATTGACTGCCACGGGGGACAGGAGCCCAAAGCCACAACAACAAAAAAAAGAAACGAGCAGTCGTCTCCTGTTGGGCAGAGATCGTCCCCCACCTCTAGTTCTAAACAAGATCCTTCTTGTTTTTTTATAGCCAAGCTTATTGTCATTGCTGGCAACTGCCCCCCTCTTCGCAAGTCCGAGCTTGAGTACTATGCTATGTTGTCCAAGACCGGTGTCCACCACTACAACGGCAGTATGTATCAATCGATTGTGGATCATGAATTGGATTACAGTATTCCCTAACGCGTATGATAATAGACAACATTGACCTTGGTACTGCTTGCGGTAAGCTCTTCCGCACCGGTGTCCTCTCCATCACCGATGCTGGTGACTCTGACATCTTGTCTGCCCAATAAATGCGTGCGAGGGATTAGCCCATGCCTGCAGTCGTACAATAAAGTTTTTTTTACTTTGTACAACACCAAAGCAATCACTCTCATTTTTACTTGTATATCTTTTGGCTGTTGCAGCACACATTATCATATGACATAGGATAAATCATCACCCAGCGACATAGGAAATCGATATGGGATCGGCTAATGATGCAAGGATACGCTTCATTGCAAGGAGCATATAATGATGAAGCTTTTGTATGATTCATGTAGCTAAGGTCATCTTACTTTTGAGGTATCGCTTTTATGTTTCAAATGCATGATTTATTGCAAGCAATGAAAAACATGAGATGGTATATATAAAGGTTATTGATTCTCTTCACGCAAAAGGGGAGTGCGCTCGTCTTGAATACGTGTACCATGCAAATCATCGATGCCCAAACGCTTGTTGCGGAAATGCCAAACAATGCACATGACCAAGAGTGTACCTTGCAGAATACCTGTTACGAGATACGTGATCCATGCTGTCCAATTGGTACCAGGCCGAACAGCGAGTGAGTACACAAAAAGGGCCGAGCCTACATGATGTATGTCATCATCGTATCAGACATTGCATGCATGTATGTTGTCATCGAATCTCGAACAGCCGTCATGGGTGCCACTTTATGGATCCATAATCCTGTTTCCCTTTGCCCGAAACTTACCAGGTGTTTGCAACAACATCATGGGGATACTCAATGCACCAACAGACTACAAAGAGGAGATGTATCAACATCAACAACACCAATCCCATGCCTTTCCTTGAATGACACTTACTTTACGTTTCCACGTCTTCCAGATTTGGGGCAAGTATTGGAAAGAAGCCAAGATCATGCTGAGAATACCAAGAATGCCAGCCCAATAGTTTGTCTCCCAATGTTGCGAAGGACTTCCAACAGCAGCAAGTAGTATGACGGTGATAAGGAACGAGATGGCAAAATGGCCCGTACAGATGGCGGCAATGACAAGGGCGGTCTTCCATTCTGTAGTCATGGTGTGCACCTTTGTGGGTAGGTCTGGCGTTGCTATGGCAGCATATTTCTCGGGAAAATAGATCAAGAACAAGATAAACCTATCTGCCAATTCTGAGATACAAAGCTCTGTGGTGGTACCATGCATGAAGTTCCCGATCCATCATCACAACAACCCAGTTGTTCAACTTACACAAGCGAGAACATGGTCCATTGAAGCATAATCTGAAACACGCCCATCAAGCTGGCAAGGCATGCACCCGTCGACTAGACAACAACATGTCAATATCCATGGAAACCCCTCAGCAATCCTCCTAATACTAACCAAGGATCCACAGCAAACAATCGCATCCCATTGCAACAAGATAATATTGAGAAAGCTGGATGTCGAGGATACCACGCCGAGCAACAAGAACCACGAACTGAAACCTTCACTTGTCTTGTTGACAATGATACGATAATGCTATATAGACATCGACATTGGTAAAGGCATTCATTCGTACTCTTTGATTGCTTACTTGGGGCATATAGGACACCACGAGGCCGATGCATAAAAATACACTGATTAGCGTTGCCAATGTGTCACTCTTGACTTGACATTGTTGGCCATTGTCGTCTTGAATGGTCCAAGGAGAAGGAGAAGGTGCCGTCAATAGCGTGCTTGTAACACCAGCAAGGGTCATGGATAAAGGAGAATAGGAGGGAAGAAAGAAGAGTGAAAGAGAGCAAGAAGCCAAAACGGTGAAAGAAGTAGCAACATCTTACTTCCAAAAACGGTGCCACACACACACTCACAATTGGGGAACCGCTTTTCTCCACCTCCTTCCTTCCTAGTAATTCCCACCCACCATCATCATCATCATCATCTACTGTGCAAATGATATTCTAGAAAGGCTATTCATGGATGCTTTTTCAACGTCGCAAATCTGATAAAGGGAGAGCTAAATGAGTAATAACCCTTACAATTCATGCATGGATGACAAACTTTGTTTGGGTATTAAAAGACCATGATGTGTGTGTGTGATATAGTTTGAACAATGATCCAATAAGGTATTGATATGGGCGGGTTACCATAATGCATCACGTTGGTCGACACAATCACCATATGAGAAATTTTAAAGCGGATCTCATGCAAATAGTGAGATAACGGAACTCGTAGATCACATATGCAGAATCTGACCAGAACGGGATGCTTTCGGGTGCAGCGACGAGGGGGGTAGGGTAACGTAGATATATATTTGAACATCGTTTTTCTTTATCCGCTTTTTCTTGTTCTCTCTTTTTCGTCGCTTGCACTCCATACACACTCACACACGCTCTCATTTTACGCATATACATATACATTCACGATCCATAAAACGTACATCATCATCATCACTTTTACATCTCCTGCATGATGTTTATCATCGACAACTCCTCCGCGCCATCCTGCCCATCCACCGTAGACGGCGACCATTACATTCGTTGGATCCATGTAATACATGACCATTGCTAGAACATGTAGATTTATCCATTGATGCTGATAATGTTTGGGAAGACACTCTTTGGGGATTGCGTATACGGATGGCAAGATTCGTGCAGCGTGTTGCTTGGTTACTTGTCTATCCTTTGTTGGCTCAATGCTCAATTGCCGTGAGTATTAGGGGTATTGCCTTTTTTTCTTTTCACCATGATGCTAAGCAATGGTATTATCATACGTAGGCAAATCATCAAAAACTACCAGCTACAAGATGCATCATCGCTTAGCTTTACGTTCCTTATGACATGGCTAATTGGTATGTACAGTACTCTATATTTCAAGGAGTAATGAGAGAAAAAGTTATAGTGCTTGCCGTTTCACACGATGACTCACCCTTATATTTTCTACAGCGGATGTTGCGAACTTTATTGGATGCATTCTAACGGGCCAACTTGATTTCCAATTGTACTTGGCGATTTATTTTACCTTGGTGGATGCCATGTTGTGTATTCAATGGGTCTACTATGTGCGGTATCCAAGGAACGGGTTGCGTTTGTGGCTCAATAACAACAATCAGCATCATATTACGTCATGTTCCCAAGAGCAAGATCCATTGTTGAATACCGGAGTACAAGACAAAGCTGATTCATCAGCATCAACCTATGGTAATAACAGCAACAATAACAACGAGGGTGGCAATTATCAGGCAATATCATCACAAGAGGACATTGGTGGTAGCAGCAGCAGTGGCAGTGGTAGCAGTAAACGTGGTGATGCAGTGAGAGCATTGTTCATGGTGGGTTATCTCGTGTCACTCAGGGGCGTGTCACCTGCTGACGCACAGTCGTCGTTTACAACAATCCCATCACACGATCTTGTGTTCTCTTCATGGGATACCGACCTTTGGATTGGCCGATTCTTTGGTTGGCTTTGCGCTTTCTTATATCTTAGTTCACGCGTGCCCCAGATGTATCGCAACTTTCGGCGTCGTTCCGCACAAGGGTTATCAATGGCTTTGTTTTTATGTGCAGCCGCTGGTAACCTTACGTATACTCTTGGCATCCTCTTGAACCCCAATCAAAACCGCCAAACTATGCTAGAAGCGATTCCATACATCCTTGGTAGCGCTGGCACTCTTGTATTCGATGTGACCATTTACATCCAACATGCCGTTTACAGCAGGCATACCGAGGAAAAGACATACCCACAACATCATCAACAGCATCACCATCAGTACGATGAGGAGTAGTAGTAGCAGTAGTAGAGGCAATCCTACTCTTATATACAATGGCATTTTTCTTTGTTTTTTACAATTTACAATCGTGTATATATACAGGCTTTGTTTTTCTTTTGTCTTCTTTCAACAAAGAGCATTTGCGTATATTTAGAGATTAAAGGGTTCCATGGGGGAAAAGTTATAGTGGGTAAAAAAAAAGGTGATTCGATTGGGATAAAGCATGATAGGGAAGGGAAAAACGAAACTGATTGAAGAAACGAAAAATCCACTCACAACATCTTGACATACTTGGAGTGTGTGTTCTTGATGATACGGCAATAGTCCTTCTTGTTGTTGTCTTTTTACCTTCTAAAAGTGCTGCGTCCTTGTTGATAATAAAGCTGCTCCAAATCATTCTCAAGTGCCTTGATTTGAGCATGTTGCTCTTCCAAATTCTTATTGAGTCGATCACGTTCTTGGATAAGCTACCAAAGCAAGATAAAAGGTGACAAGATCAGTCATGTGACATTGACACAAATTGCATGATACAGTGTTGCATCACGTGTGCACGCACCTGCTGCTCCCAATGACGGAAGCGGTTCTCTTCGGTTTTGACTTGCTCGGTAAACACCTTGCGTAATGCTTCTTCCTTTTCACGATGCTTAGGATTCTCGTATTTGGTCACCCTGCAATGATAGCGTAAGAAGCATGTTTATGGATCCACATAAATAAAACATACTTTGGTTCACCAAATTTGCGACTGGCCATTTGTTCCTGACGGTAGTTTTCATAATGGGTTTCCTCGGTGGTGGAAATAAGGTCGAGCATGTGGGTGCGGATCAACAAGTTGCGTAGCTTTTTGAAATCACTATGTTGTTCATTCTCAACCTCGGCACATCCCCAAGCATACTGACGACCCAATACTTGACGACCATCGGGCGTTTGCACCATTTGTGTTGAACCAATAACAGAAAAAGGCATGGCTGACATGATATCCTTGTTGCGTTGGGTGGTGTCCTCATCATCACTCTCAATCGGGCATGAATACACGCGGATGTTTTGAGCTTCAATCGTCTCGAGAATCTGGTATAGAATTTTCAATTATTCTCCATACGCTCCCTAATACGCACACACACACACACACACAAACACTCCTCAAGATTACCTTTTGCTTAAACACCGTCAAATCCTTTTGAGTGAGCGTATCAGCTTTGGCAATGACAGGGATAAGATTGACACGGGATCCAAGACGTTTCATGATTTCGATATCCAATGGCTTGAGACTAGACAAGATTCAGGCACACAAAAGTACCGAACCAAGGGAGGCAGCGAGCGAGAATGTAAGTATCGTTTTCTTTTCAGGAGGAGGGGGTGAAATGGAGGAGAAGTATGAGGGGAGCAGGAGATGGGATACACACACAACTGCTTCTTCTTCTTCTTCCAATAAGACACTTACCCGTGACCATTAGGTCGAATAAAGTAGAGACAAGCGTGGACGCGCATATCGATGATACCTTGACGACTGGGTTGCTGTTCCTGACGCATATAGTTTTCATGCTGATCATCAATGAATTCAATGACAGGTAGCCAACTATCGCGATTGTTGACATAATCACCAAAGCCGGGTGTATCGATAACGCTCAATTTGACCTTGAACATTTGTTCTTCGAGTTCTATTTGTTGTTGTCAGCAATGTCAGTGCGCATAAACATGTGATATGAAATGGATACTTGCCAGCTTTGGTGATTTCGATTTCAACGGTACGATCGAGTTGCTTTGCATGTCGCTTAGCGGGGTTCTTGTGATCCTTGATGGAAGCAGTAAAAAGAGTATTCACAAAGGTCGTTTTGCCAACGCCCGATTCGCCTACAAAAAATGAGTAGCTGTTGCAAAGAAAATGGGTCGATCATCTCTCAGGAATAAACAAAAAAGGTGGGGAGGAAGGGCCCTTTCTCGAGATGTAGTTTGAAATGGACGAGATCACGTACCACACACCATGACGGTGAACTTTGCACCACGCTTGGTGACAATCTTGTGTCGCTGATTAGGTAGATGAGAGACACCTATACCAGAGGAAGAGACCGAGACTGGAGCCATGTTTCAAAAGGGAACGTGAAGAGAGTGAGAGTGTGTGTGTTGTATTTGAAGCGAATGGAAGTGGGGGTATTGTAAAGAAAAAGAGAAAGAGAAAAAGAGGGGAGGAGAACAAGTAGGACAACTGTTGATGAAAAAAAGAGATGAGGAGATGCCGTATGTGTGTGTTGTTGTATGTTGCATGGATAGCTTGTACAACATGGTAACTCAGGAACACCTTCAGTTTTTATCCCAGACAACTACTCTCACTTACTCCTCCTCCTTCTCTCTCCCCTCCGCATCTCACATTATTCGATGCTCTATCGTCGAAGAACAATCCAGGCATTTCTTTATGCTTGTGTTGTTTGTACAATCTTTTCTATCCTTTATTACTCTTATCAAGCATGGCATTACACTTATGGTACAAAGGGCCCCGCTTCTACTTGGGAATGCATCGGCAATGGTCGTGATCGCCAATGTGTCGTCAAGAACTTTTGCGTTGACAAGGAAACAGGTTAGCTATAAGGCTTCTCATCACCTCATGCGTCAACCAACCTCTTCAATGTGTTAGGTGGATTTGCAATCGCCAGCTCGTATGCCCATCGACGACGACTACGCAGCGACTTGTCAGTCAACTTGATCAATGCCGATCCTGACACCGATTTCTACTACGAACCCAAAGCCAAGTGGCAGCATGATGTGGCTGACATCGCCTTCAAGAATGAAACGCTCTTTGTCTACGGTCTATATACACCAATGCACTTTTCCCACATGCTGTTCAACGGCTTAATACCTCTTTATCGGTGAGTAGTGAGTTGCTCGAATATCCACAATGCCTCATTCAACCAACCATTATCTTTGATAGCAACATTCGTAAGCATGTCGATGATACCAGCAATGTATGGACCTATCGAGCCCACGTAGCAGAGTCAGCATCTTTTATTGGATCACCCTTAATGACGACCGATTTCTTTACCACTGGACGTGACCTTGTACGAGACGAGCATGAATTGACAAGTCCACAGCAAATGTTATTGCCTGAAGAACCCATTTGTTTCCAAGAAGCTGTTATTGGGACCCGTGTATCATGTTCATTATCACTCTATTGCGAACAACCTATCGAATCGGACATATATGCGGCATTTCGAGAAGCGACATTGAATTATTATGTCAAAGAGGATCATTGGAAGCAACACAACAAAGAAAGCTCGCTTCATGGCACCGATCGTGACGATCAAGCTTGTGTGGAAACGATGCGTGAATTCAAGACAGCTGTTACATCCAACAAACCCACGCGTGTGATTGGAGTCATCAATCGTGGTGGTTCACGTCATATCACCAACTTGCAACAAGTCATGGATGCTATCATTGATTCAGCCACCGAGAGGAACTATGTACTTCGCGTGTTGGATTTCGACAAGGGATGTTCACTTGCTAGTACAGCCTACGTGATGAAGGATGTGGATCTATTGTTGACACCCCATGGATCTCAACAAGGTGGTGCTGTGTTTATGAAGAACAACTCGGTTGTGATTAGCATCAATGCACGCGGGTATTCGGAAAATTGGTTTGCTTTTCCCTTAACAGCCATGGGACGTCGCTTCTATAATTTTGAGGTATGTATTGTTTGTGTGATTGCTATATACATCATGTCATCTTACAAGCTATCCCATCAGTGTCAATCATCGATTTGTGTGGATAAGGATTTGGAAAGAGCCCAACGGACGCTTGCTATGTATGAGATCCCGATACCACCAGAAAATGTACTTGACGATTGCCTGGCTTGGGAAAACGATCGATCACCTGATGGATGTCTTGGCGCATACTTTGACAAGATGCATATCGAGCATAATTCGGATCAGCTGCAGTTTGCTATTGGCCAGTATCACAAGGACGCACCTCGTAAAATCGATGTCACTCGCTTTATGGCCTTTTTTGAAAAGACGATCAAGGAAATGGATGACTTTGAAACCATGTCTTATCGACAAATCTGTGATCTCGAGAAATGCTGCGGCTATAGCTGCGATGATGTATTGGGACCTGTGGTCTATGGATCGGCTTTGGAGGGTCGTTTGTTGGCATGGCCTCAAGATGGTATCGGCTCGCTTCATCATAGCTGGCAAGAGTAGATTATTGTATATCATTTGTTGTTGTAACTTATCATATGGGGTTGTATATTTTTTATGTATTATGTACAAATTGAACATTGATTGACATGTGTACATGCGTGTGAAGAAGGAAAAAACAAGGGTGTCCAAAATGGCGTGAGTGTGTGGCTGTACAAGAGAAGAGGTTGGACGTGTGGGTAAAAGAGACATCATGCTAGGAAATGGAATAATCACGAGAGGGCCGTCGGGGATGATAAAACAATGACTTCAGGTGGTGGGACAAGTTATTATGCTTATTTGACATTGGGTGTTTTTAACTCCATGAGCTTGAAATAAGATCCTTTTGGACGTAATCATCTGTGGAATCCGGTGAAATGCCAAATAGCGCTGGTGTAGTCTTTCGACGCCTGATAGGGATAGCATGAGCGACCGATTCATCGGTAGTGACAGGGGTGAGGCTGTCATCTTGCTGCTGCTGCTGCTGCTCAATGACACTTTGTCGTCGTTCGTAGATATTTGGTTGGCTGTTTGAGCGCTTCCAATGGGTGCGAATACCGTCAATGATTGTTGAAAACATGGATATAGAATAGAAAGAAAGAAAGTAACTTTATCAGATACATGGATTGGTTTCTTTTTATACGTCGATCGGGGGATGAAGCTGTCACGATTATGGTAAAGATAAAGCTAACACTGCACCAATCGCATGGATGGCATGTTGGTTCTTTATAGATATCATGCCATCCCCACACACAATTCACATTACAGAAATCTTATCAACGAAAAAAGAGTTCATGTACGTCGTCGCCTTTGTCATTCCTTTTGTCTTCCTTTTTTAGCTATCTTTGGCATCCATGAGATAACGGGGCGCATACATATCTCACATTACACAAATGGAAATATGCATTGTCTCTTTTTTTCTCTCCAAACCATCAGCCCATGATTTTTTGTGTCTTTGTTTCGGATCAATGTTTTGGGTGTGGGATACGCTTGTGGGGGAGTCAGATGGCTACCCCTTGGGGAAAATGGACTTTTGCAATATGCAGCAGCCCACTCAAACACATACTGATGTCAGCATTTCAGCTCCACCACGTAACACATTCAGCGATCAATAAGCGTCATCAAAACTAACTATAGTATAAAGTTAGTGGTAGTGGTGATTGCCAAGGTCGCTAATTCAAACTCCTGCTAGAATTACTTTCAACCGGGGATGTGGGTTTGATTGGATGCATTGAGAATTTATATAGCCGTTCAGGCATCCGATTACGTCAATCCCCTGATGAATACATGTAAAATGAACCAGCCATGCAATAGTGGGTGTTTATTTAGAACCGGAATCAAGCTGGAAACCATTTATGAAAAGATGCAATGACAACAAACACAAGAAAAGCAACATTGGCATGATTCAAGGCTATATCACAATATGGGACAGTATACAATGGGCCACCACAAGCGGCGGGATTGAAGCATTGGGCCGAGCAACTTTTGCTTTTTCAAGACATCTTGTACGTGTGTCACGTTCTATGTGTACAATTTTCATGCTTTGATTGTGGGATTGGTGTACACCCACACACACGTTGTTGATGGTACCAAAGGATAAAGATTGCTTTGTTACACACAAACACGCGTACTTAAAACTGATAAAATGATAGGTCATACGCATCTGAGACTCCGTAAACAAAGGGGTCCACAAGACTTGTTCATGATGAGATGAGGCCGTTGATGATCACAACAAATATCAAAGACGTAAAAGGGTTGGCTTACTTGCGGAGATGATATCTGCAAAAGACTGGATAACCACCAACACGCAAAAGAGGCCCACGTCTCTGGAGCAATTACCCCGGATACACAGTACATGGACCAATCGGAAGATTCTGAAGCTAATCTCTTGTTGGGATTGGGCAACAAAAAGCTGAAAGGTTGTCATTACCAAAACGCTATCCTTTTTTTAAACCGGTTCCCCTTTTCTTCTCCTGGTTGCTTGTTCTCCGCCTCTTTCTTTTCTTCTTTTCTCTTCCATCTCAAATAACAACAATGTCACCCAAGGCATACTATCTCGGTATTGATGTTGGCACAGGGTAAGGCTTCATAAGGTGTATGCATGTGTGTGTACCTGTAAATGAGATAAAGCTGACAACCATGCTATTAGCTCTGCGCGTGCAGTAGTGATTGATTCTGAAGGAGCGTTCCTTGCACAAGACGTTGAACCCATCAAGCTATACAATCCACGTCATGACATTTATGAACAATCGACCACTGATATTTGGCGTGCTATCTGCAAATCATCGAGAGAGGCTGTTGCAAGTGCAAAGGTTGAGCCATCCGATATCAAAGGTGTAGGCTTTGACGCTACGTGTTCGCTTGTGGTATTGGATAAAGAAGGGAACCCTGCATCCGTGGATGAAGATTCCAATTTTGAAAACAATGATTTGAACCTGATCTTGTGGGCGGATCATCGTGCAGTGGATCAAGCAGCACGTATCAATGCAACTCAACATAAGGTGCTCAACTACGTGGGACGTACCATCAGCCCTGAAATGGAGATCCCAAAGTCACTATGGCTCAAGGAAAACTTACCCAAGGAAAAGTGGGATAATATTGGCCACCTTATGGATTTACCCGATTTTTTGACCTTCCGTGCTACTGGTTCACGTGCAAGATCAACCTGTTCATTGACATGCAAGTGCAGCTATCTACCACGCGGTGTTGGTAATGGATGGGATGAAAGCTATTTCGAAGCCATTGGTCTTGGTGAGCTGAAGGATGAAAAATGGGAACGCTTGGGTGGCATTGAAGGTGAAAATGGCCAAGTGTTGACAGCGGGCGATCCTGTTGGTGATGGTCTTACGCCACAAGCGGCTGAAGAATTGGGTCTTTTGCCTGGTACACCTGTTGGCTCCGCTGTAATTGACGCGTATGCAGGTGCTATTGCAACCACAGGTGCAACAGCCAACGCTGAAGAACGCACACGTATGCTTGAGTCACTTGATAAGAGTTTGTTGGAGCAAGGTTCAAGCCGTGTTGCTATTGCATGTGGTACTTCAAGTTGTCATATTGCAATGGCACCCAAGGATATCTATGTGGATGGCGTTTGGGGTCCCTATCGGTCCGTGATGGTACCAGACATGTGGCATGCAGAAGGCGGACAATCATCCACAGGCCAATTAATTGATCACACCCTTAACACGCATCCTGCCATCAATGAAGCTCGCAAGTTGGCTGATGCTGAAGACATGAATGTGTACGCTTTCCTCAACCGACATCTTGAACGCATGCAAGAAGAGCGTGGATTCAAACATTTGGAAGATTTGACCAAGCAAATGCATATCTACCCCGATTACCATGGCAACCGTTCACCCTTGGCAGACCCCACTTTGCGTGGTATGATTATTGGCGTCTCGCTTGATCATAGTATCAATGATCTTGCCACACGCTATTTGGCAACCCTTCAAGCCATTTCTTGTCAGACACGCCATATTATTGAATCCCTCAATGCACAAGGTTACAAGATCAATACGCTTTGCTTGTCAGGTGGTCTTTGCAAGAACCCCATCTTTGTAAAGTTGCATGCTGATATTACACGTTGTCGTGTTATTCTACCCGATCGTATTGATGCTGCCGTTGTTATTGGTGCTGCTTTCTTGGGAGCACGTGCTGCTGAGCCATCCACTAGTTTGTGGGAAATTATGGTGCGTCTTGGTCGTGCAGGACAAGTGGTCGAACCCACCTCAGATACTGAACTTGAAGAAATCAATGAACGTCGTTATCGCATCTTCCATGAAATGCTCAAGGACCAGAAAAAGTATCGTGCCATCATGGAAGGCTCTTGTTAGACATTTCATTACAACCTCAATCACTATTGCATATATCCACCACCACCACCACACTATTACAATTCACGCATTGCATAAAGAATACATTTTTCTGCCCCGAACCACCTTGTTTCTTTTTTGAAAAAGTGTATACAATGAAGGGGGGGTACAAAAGAGGCATTATGTGAAGGAAGGATGGAAAAAAAAAACACAAAGAAGTAAAAAACAATAGTCGAGGAGCAGGGAATTGACAGGTGTGGAATGTAGGAATCAACAAAAGTAATAGCACAACAATACAAGTATTTCTTTTTTCTTTCTCACCATCATCTTCAATCCTTGGAGAGACCAGGTCTCGGCCTTCCATTATCATCACGTTTATCAGCACGTGGTGGCATACCTCCAGGAGCTCCAGGCCAATAGTTTGGATGTTGAGACATGTATGGATGAGCACCAGGTTGTTGAGCACTATAGAAAGAGGCACCTGGAGGAGGAGGAGGAGGAGCACCAGCACCACCCGCAGTGGGTTGAGGAGGTTGACCATAATGTTGCTGTGAAGGATGTTGTGGTTGTTGTGGAGTAGCTGCTTGTTGATGGTGCTGTTGCTGTGGTGATGGTTGCGGAGGAGGTTGTTGGTATTGAGGAGCACCCATATAGTTTGGATAATTAGCACCAACAGGCATTGGAGGACCACCACTACCAGGAGCTGGAGCGTATGTTTGAGGAGGATAAGCAGAAGGATGAGGTGGAGCAGCTGTAGATGATGGAGGTGGAGCACCGGATGCAGCAGCAGCATATGCTGAAGCAGCAGCAGCCTGAGAATGGCTTACCGGATCGATCTGGTAACACATGAAAAAAAATAACAACAATCAATTACTGCGGTTCATAATACGCTTTTCATCCAAACTTACTCGCTTATCCTCATTCTTTTCCACTCGTGGAGACGCGTTGCTATTGTTATTGTATCCTCCATCCTACAATGAAAAAGGCATCCCACCATCAATAAAAGCCTTGACTCCCAATAACAAAACAATGGAATACTTACATTAGACGACTCTGCAGGCACAGGATCAGGAGCATTCAAACAAGCTTGGATCAAATTCTTTCCTTCAGGCTTGGTAACAATAGGTTGAAGTTTGACAGTCGTAAAGGTGTACACAAGACCTGTTTCAGAAACCACCAAAAGAAGTACTTGGGTGCCTGTCAATGTGCTCAACTCGTAGGCCTACGCGTGGATGGATAAGCCTTTTGATACCTTTATATAAACAACACCAATAGACATTACCTTTTTCATGATACCAGCCTTGCGTTTTGAGAAAGTGATATGTCGACGGTTCTTGTCTTCAATGTACTCAATCTTGATCTTGCGACGACCAGAGCGCTTGGCAGGTTTCTCGCTATCCGAATCGTCGGCCGAGTCATGTTCTTCTTCATCAAAGGGTTTGTTCTTGATGACTGGTTCCTTGGAAGACGAGGGATCCATATGCATTTGATTCATCGGGAAAAGTGGACGAAAAAAGAAGAAAAAGGCAAGTGGGCCTAAAAAAGAAACGGGGAGAATACACTGGATTGAAATGAATACACTCGCGCTCGCTCTCTTTCGCACTCTCACACGGCTGAGTTGTTTTTAACTTGACCAATCAAAGCTCTTCCTGATGAAGCACGGATGTTTTATACTCACACTTGTTTTTGTAGCAGCGCCTCACTCCTCCCCTTTCCCCACACATACGTCTTTGGTCCCAATCCATATAAGTATGCAAAAGAGCTATAGATTTACTCCGGATATGTAAAGCCCATCCCTTCCATTGGATATAAGTGTACATTCATAACAACTTTTCGGATTAACGGCAATACACATCATGTGACCTCCTTATTAATTGACATCAGATAGACCAAAAGTCTTTTATCGTGGAGCTCGGTGTTGAGACAGAGCTGGGTGGGAGTACACTATATTGGGTTGCTGCACGATCGCTGATAGATTATTAAACCCAACCAATCAAAGCCATCATCTCGCATGCCACATGCAGGCGATATCATTGTAAAGGAGTTTGGTACCTCAAGTACTTAATTAAGAAGAGTTCAAAGCTGCATAGACCACCATCGCCTACCAAACATAGCAACTACTTCTAGAACAATGCAACCATATTCCACTTTCAACTACTGCAATGGTCTTTACGTGACCATAATCATCTTTCACCATCACTCACCCTTCCATGTTCCCTTTGGCTGTTGCGACATAAACCTTAATAAACGTTACTCGTCATCTGGTCAAGTTGGTTGCCCTGCCAACCCCCTACACTATGCAACGGCTCGTTTCTACCATTGGGAGAGCTATCCTGACAAGAGAATGGAGGTGGGTGCTGCAATCATTTTCATCATCCAATTTCAAGGATCATGGGTGTATGTACGTGAACCTCAAAGAATACAAACACCCCAAGCTTTCATATTAGTAAACAAATTAGCGCTTTATCTTACATATCAGCAGGGCTGCTTCAGTCTCGGTGAACTACTATTACCATCCGCTGCAATGTTGTCTGTTGTCATGGGTTAATGACGCCCTTGTGATTAAGTTCAACAAGGTGTAGGTATTTAAGGTATCATAGATAATAGAGGACAAGCGTCATGTTGAGACCCATCATGGCTGTAAGTAGAACATCCAAGAATACAAACACGATAATGGATGATGAAAATCAAACGTAACAAGTGCCGGATATGAGCCAACCAAATTTTTATGCAGATGGGGATACTATACTTTATCGAGTAGCAGGATTTTTACTAGGACCCCCGGCAGTTTCAAAACCATCCACACAGCCTGTGCGTAGCACGCTTTGCTTCTTTTTCCCACAACATGTTTTTGTCAAACGCGCTTCGTTCATCCTATTCCAAAGGGTGCACTACTGCATCTGCTGTAAGCCTATACAACGCAATGCAGCTATTAAGATACACAAAAATGCTGATGGTGGATTACTATAGCATATCAAACGCTCCTATATGACGTCCACCAACGCTCGTCAAAGCCGTTGGGTGATGCCTGCTTCCATGTTGGCGAGTGCTGGGCTTGGTGCTGCCTACGTCATGTATGGCCATCATCCCATGTATGGCACTTCAAGAGCCTATGCTGAAGGCAGCAGCAACAATGCTCCTGCCGCATTTAGTCCTGAAGAATTTCGTGAATTCACGGCAAGTAAAAAGGTGTATTTGCATGAAACAACAACGTGTATTGACATTCTAAACGATAGTTGGTGGATGTAATGCCCATCAATCACAACACCAGCAGATTCCGTTTCAAGCTGCCAGATGATAGCGTGTCGGGCTTACATGTCGCGTCATGCATTTTTACACGACATCGATACAAAAAGCCCGATGGAAGCGAAGGTTCAATTATGCGTCCCTATACACCTACATCGGATGAAGGGGTAAATAGGACAATCTTATCAGATGATGACAAAGCAATGCTTACATCATTCCCTTAGGAACGTGGATACGTGGACTTTGTCATCAAGGATTATCCACAAGGCAAGATGAGCCGTCATATTCATTTGCTTAAACCTGGTGATAAGCTTGAGATCAAGGGACCCATTCCAAAGTATAATTGGGATCAAGGCAAGAAAGAACACGTCGGCATGATTGCAGGTAATGCATAAATTTGGTTAATGACAGCAACAGTGGACTAAAAATGGATGAACTCAATTAGGTGGTACCGGCATCACGCCTATGGTAAGATTTTGTATTCGACATGCGACCAACATGGCGTCTAACTAATTGTAACATCACTATAGCTTCAATTGCTTCGAAAGATCTTTGGCCCATCCTCCAAAGATAACAACACCAAGGTGACGCTCATCTTTGGCAATCAAACGGAGGAGGATATTATCCTAAAGAAGGAACTTGATTCTTACGCCAAGTCTTTCCCTGATCGTTTCAAGGTGGTGTACGCTGTGGATAAGCCAACCAAGAATTGGGATGGTCACCATGGATACGTTACTGCCGAGTTGATCAAGAAACATCTACCTAACCCGGAACAATCGAACTCTATCATCTTTGTGTGCGGTCCCGATGCAATGCTTGCATCGCTTGCAGGTCCCAAGGCCCCTGATAAAAGTCAGGGTAAACTTGATGGTATTCTCAAAGAGTAAGTGTGTGATGAATAGTATCGATAATACGTAGTACTTTATTGACTAACAACATACATACAATATAGAATGGGATATCCTCAAGACCATGTCTATAAGTTTTAGATGCATTGATTGGAACAAAAACATTTGATACATAAAAAAGTGTGTTGTCGCTTGATGCATGAGTGTGTGTGCGGGTGAATGGGAGGAGGTGGTTGTCATGGTTGTGTGCAGGGCTGCTAAATTTGGGCTGACTTCCTCGAGCTGCAGTGTGTGTCTCTCTCTTCTTCAATGTCAACGCCTACACGCAACGACCCAACAAGTCCACATCGTGGGAATGCGTTCTACAATGCTCCATTTACTGTCGACAACTCTGAATGGCGATTCTCCTCACGATTTGCAGTCAATGTAACTAGCCCAGCTTGTCCTTGCGACCTATGAGAACGTTGCAGCTAAACCATGGTCATAATGTAGTCTCCTGCCAGGAGCATTCTCAAAGTACGCACACCCGATCCATATGGTTCTCCTTTGATGACTTCAGCAAAGTATGTTGCAGCTTTTTCTTTCTCGTAATACTTGACGTTTGACCGTGCGTTATCATTATAGGCGACGACAATACCAAGTTGTGCAACGTCGTGTCAGTTTTGCACCAGATGCTCACGTCCGGTAAGGCTTACATCTTGTGCCGAGTTTGATCCACACACTAAAAGCTGCTATGGGATGATTAGGGTGTTCCGTGAAGATGGAAGGACTGAATTCAACGCTGATATCCCATCATCACCTACGCATTATACAGAGCAAAGGTAAGCTATTCACTGGATAAGAATGATTGCTATGTACTTACTCCAATCATTAGATCCCTCATGTCAAGGTTATCAGATCCACCAAGTGAGCATCGCAAGAGGTAATTTGATCCATCATAGTGACACAACAACAACATGTGATTTACCATTTCATGCTGCATAATAGAAGAAGAGATCTATTTGGAAGTCCTAGCGAATATCTCAACAGCCCCAAGCGACGTGCTACTCCTCCCAAAGTGACCACCACAAGAGAATTACCCAAGAGAAAAGAAGCAATGGATTTTACCGATTACATGGCTGGCCGTGAATTACCTACGTTTGACGATATCCTTGGAGATGATGATGAAGAAGATGGAGAAGATACCGAACGCCCCCTCACTTCAGCATCTTTACGCTCACGAGACATGGATGAAAACAGCAGCTCCTCTGATGAGCAATCAGCATTACCATCATTACGCAAATACGATCAAAAAGATACCACAACAACTTCATCAGCTACACGTGATCCTATTACTACTCCTCCATCTTCATCACATCCACGTCCCATATCTGCATCATCATCATCACCATCAGCAAGTAGCACCACCACCACACAACGTAAGCCCATTTCACGATTACCATTGGCTGAAAGACAAGAAGATTACATCCATTCATCATCATCATCACCCACTTCACGTGCGCTAAGTCGATCTTATGCACCCGTATCACCTATGAACAATTCTTACTCCTCCTCATCACGATCATCATCATCTCTTGGCCAGGCACGATCCATGTCTCGACAAGATCACAGCTCAGGATCCGACAATGACACTAGCCATAAGTTATCCATGGATTCGGAAAAAGGTATATGGGTAGTTTGGGGGATAAAGAAAACGAAAATGCTGATGGTCCAATTGAAGATATATTGAATGAGACGCCGATCCGCTATGATACCGCATTACGTGAGGAAGGCATTGAAAAGGTAACTTGTGGAGGTATGATTAATGGGTGGTTTAGCTTATGGGATCATATGTTCTAGAGCCCTGCTGTTTCCAAGACATCCCAATCTCTTTTTGAATGGTCACGCCGACTTCGTCAATCCTTTGGTATACAACAACCTGCCCGTGAAAGTTATTCTCTGAGGGAGTTTCTCAAGATGGCCGATATCCCTTGGAAAGAGCTAGACAAGATGAAAGAGATCAAGCATACACAATTGGATCATCCCCTTACACGTAAGTGTGCAATGAGTGGAGAAAGAGAAACAACTTGTTGATCTATAACTTGATGTATAGGCACAATCTCTACGCATGAGAAAGCCGCCACCGTAGCATCTCTCCAAGAGTTAGAGGCATACAAGAATGTAAGCGAGTATCTTCTCATGGTTAATTTATCGTCTAATGTGTTGCAGTACACATCTTCTTTACAAGAGCTGGTTCAAGATAATCAAGATGGCCTGCAGGAACAAGAAAGAAAAGTCAATGCCAGCCATCCACGGATCATCAGCCAATATACCCATGCTGACAAGGAAGAAAAGGCTCGTCTACAGGTAAGTAGGATCGGAAGCTTAGGTGCTATAAAGGAAGGGTTATCACTCATCATACCATGGGTACATTAGAAAGAGCTCCATAAGTGGATGAAGATGGGGAAGGCAAAAGCGAATGAAACGTTGCTCGAATGGAAATTGGCAGAAACTGAAGAGATGCTACAAACATGGGACACTTTTATGGCACAAGCGGATGAGGTAAGAGGTGGTAAATGTGATAGCGGTAAAACAGCAAGCTAAAGCGTGAATGCATGTGATACAGGATCTACGGCAATTAAGCGACTATGATCGATTTTTATCATCCAAGAGGCCAATACTGCAAGTGGACTCAACACGTCTTCATCATCAACTTGAGGATGCAAAGCAACATGAAGAGGAATACAACACCCCTGAAAGCATGGCTATTACATCCGACATTGAAAAGCATAGGTAAGGTTGCGATCATTTATTGAAGGTCAAACGTTGATGTGCGATTTGTGCACATAGGGCATCGCTGGAGCAATCTCAAAAAGACATCCAATCTCTCAACACTGAACAAACGCAACTTGAAGGATACGTGTCAACGCTGGATCAGAGAAAATCAGAGCTGGATTCTGTAAGTGAGGTACAACCAAAATGACAATCACACGTACTAATTCTCGTTGCTTTAGCAAATTTCTTTATTGACGCAACGATTGGAATCACTGAGACGACTCTCTTTTACAGGACGAGACCTTATTGATGCTAAAGGTACTTTTGATATCAGGTGGTATACAAGGATGTGGGCTTATGTCGTTTCACGCAGAGAAATACGAAGCTTGTGGCAAAATCGGAGGCTGGGAGATCATCAATTGGACAGACGATGAAACCGAGTTGACCTTGGACAATGATATCAATATTGTAATCGATCATTCAAAGCTCGAAGCTCGGGATGTGGAGGCCATTATTGTACGAATGGTGGAACAGCGTGAGCCTGTTTATGGTGCATTTTCTGAACTTGTTCTTGGATTGAGTGGTTTGATGACCGATGTATGGGATATGAAACAGGTAAATCATGAGCTTGAATGCTTGTAGCAAGCTATTCATTCAACGTGTATATGGGTAGATCATCCGAAACGCGGCCGTCTATTGGCAATACGTGAAGCTGATCCATGCCGAAGTTAAAGCAGCCAGTCAACATTTTCAGACAGAGGTTCAAGCACTTGATGATGGTGTTTCTTCTACCTCAGCCAATGATGCGAATGAACGAGGCGTGCTGTGCACGATTATACCAGCAAGCTTTGTTTCCAGGAGCAAAGTGGTCATTTCATTTCGAGTATCTACTGCCGATGTGATGCATTTTCCCCATATCAACATGGATACGGTCACTGTTGATCTTGAATATGGCCCTATGACGTAAGTTACGAGATCAAAATGGAATACAATCAATCATGATGGCTCATTATTAATTTTATTTGGTAGCCAAGAGGAAACTGAAAGGAAGGCACGGGAATTACTCAAGATGCATGGATTTGTTGGGCTTGTAAATACACTCAAGAAGCTTTTATAAACCAACTTTTGAGAAAGGACATTTACCATTACATGTTGGGGTGTTGGGATAATGGTGCGTGATAAGATTGTTGTCGTGATGTTGCTGAGACCGTTCGTAGCACTCACACGGTCATCCAATTGTAACCTTAAGATGCGTGCAGCTTATAAATCAGCAAACAACGAAGATTAAACAAAAGGCTCTCTTCCCGATTTCATACCGTACACCGTAGTTGTCAACGCGCTTTTCACCTTATTGGTATTGAAGGAAGGATACGTTTACGTCCGCTTTTGAATGCTTCCATGATGCGTGAGAGTCTCCCTTGTGCATCTTATCCCGGTGTACATTGTATCCAGCGTTCGTTACGTGTGGTGTTCAGTTAGCGTACACGCTGAGCATAACGGCAGTGCAAAAATCTCTTACGTACAACATCGTGCGGTGGAATCAGGCATACAGATACAACTTTAAACCAACAACGGGTATCATTTTGACCCGACAACATTTGCAGCGGGTTAGCAATGCTCTGAAAGCCGATGCAAAGGGAAAGCTCCCACAAAAACGAGCACGGGATATCATCCGTACTGGCGGGGGTGTCACAATAATGCAGCCGACAAAGACCAACATCACCATCAACAACAATTATGCACCATCAAGCTCAAGTGATGACAATCGCTCTGTCAGCAGTGTTGAAGATGCAAAGCACCCACGAAAGATCCGACTTACATATGTGCTTGTTGGGCTCGCTGAAAATGAGCTCAACGTATTGCCCAACTCAAAGGTATGGCAACATTTTCTTTTCATGACCATTATCCATTAATCCGCATTTCCCCTTTAGTGGGTAGTCCAAGCCGGAACCAGCACTGTTGACGTGTCAACCCACTTGCGTATGTATCGTCAAAGATGCATAAACATGGCACAAAGCAAAGAGATTTTATCAGATCGGAATGTGCTGTGAGTAGTAAAACATGTGTGCATGATCCCTGATACATAGCTGATTATGGTTTTTAATGTAGCTCACTTTCATTTATATATCTTCTCTCGCCAACCGATCGCTGTGCACTATCAAATTTGCCGCAGCACCAAAAGAAATGCATTATGAGCGATGCAAGGAAAAGCACAACGCTACCAACAGCATCCGATGACATGCTCATTATGTGCAAACAAGTCCAAAGGGCAATGACAGAAGATGATGACATTATTGCAGCGTGCGGATGAATGAAGAAGTCGTTGTATCACCACCATGCGGGCTGTAGTAGATTGTGCCTCCTAATCCATCTTTGCGAATGCATCTCTGGAGGTAGCTCCCATCAGAAGGAATATGAGTGTGTGCTTCCTCAAGCGACGAGATGATTAAGATTTACCTTAATAAAAGAGCCAAATATCACAATGACAACAATGACAATGAAAGTGCGATAACAATGAAATGCGAGAGATCATCACAAATATCAGTATTCGGTCACTCACAGAATGATACATATGATCCATCCTGATACTTACATCAACTTGGGCTTTGGAGACATCTGCAATCAAAGAGTGAGATCGATGGGGCGACAACATTAGTATTGTTTGTATATGCATGGTGACCGTGGGTACATTTCTACGAGCACAAAAAGGAGGGGAGAGTGATAAAATATTTGCTAGGAATGGTGCATTGATAAATGGGAGCAAGCATCTTCACCAGTAATATGTCAGAACATCCTGCGATAAAAAATCCTTGCGTAAATCAGGGTATGAGAGAAACAATGTGGCAATCCCATCATCCATCTACTATCACAAATCACTTGCTTTGCTTCGAAGTCATTGTTCCTGGATGTTTTGCTTGCTGTTCGTTTCTGCTACAATCTCAATTTTCAAACATTCACCACCAACCCAGAAACCAACCACGTGATCCACATCTTGCACACATGAGCTGAAAGTACGATACCCTCCTAAACATCATATTGAATCCAATTTTTATTTAGTGGGAAGTCGAGCAATAAGACATGGTAATGTGGGTGATTATGATGAAGTATGAGTATTGTAAGCTGGATAGAGCACAAGTAGATCAAATAGAGTCAACGGGTATCATTGTGTCATTGTATCCTTGGTTGCTGCCGTCATAAAGATCTCCATCCATGATTGCAAATAGCGTCTGCATGCATTGATTCGAGTACCCCAATATCATCCATGACTGTAAACCTCCTTCTTTCGTCAAAGATATCATCCCTCTCATATCTATCACCATCCTCAGCCGTATTCATTTGATATGATCCTTCCTTCCTGCTGACGATGTGTCGAGTAGCCAAAACGGCATTCCACAATTTCTCATTACTACACGTGATTGCAGCTATCCTTCTCTTTCAACCTTGCTGTTGGTCAATCACCTGAGTGGTCTTTTTCTATCGCATCTCAACCAGGTGATGGTGAAGCTAAGCGAGTTGCTACGCGTAAATAAAACTGCTTCTATACAATGGCTATCTGCTGTTCACGTAATAAAGGCTGTAGACCATGTTGCTGCAAGTAACTTGACACAATGCAGTCGAAAACTTGCTAATAGCGATTGCTGTTACGTTTGGTCGTGGCAGAGGCGTGTACAAGAGCGTATGTTGTCGTAGTAGAGTGACAAGGTTGTGAACGTTGTTTGAGACAATGCAGTCGCTAACAGTAACTGCTGCAGTGAACGTTGTTACGTTTGATTGTGGTCGAGGATTGTATAAGAGGTGGTGGAAGTGTCAAGAAACGCGGGTGTTGTAGTGGGGTGCACATGCCAAGAGCTTTGCCATTCAGTCATAGACAATCGGATCAAGAGAGTTGTAGGATTGACATGATGGGTTGAAGCAGGACAATCGTTCGCAGGTGGTAGTTGTATACTTGAATGGACCCAACAGTTGAGAATGGGAGGAAGAGCAAATAAAGTGGGAGTGGAAGAAGTGGAAATTAACTTGATTGTTCTGTTGCTTGGATGATGTTTCTTTGTTTGGGCGTTGCTCAGTCAAATCCTTTCGGATCAAGAAACATGAAGGATGGAAATGATGGGCTGGAGCAGGACAATCGTTCACATGCATTGGGTCGGCTAAAAGAGTTGAATGGGAGGAAGGGGCTATCAAGTGGCAGTTTACAAATAACTTTGCAAAATGATTTTTGTGAAATTGGATGTTGTTTTGTGTTTGAGCGTTGTTCAGTCAAATCCACTCGGTTCAAGGCAACTGAATCATGGACATGAATGTCTGGAGCAGGACGGGGCATCGTTCCTATGTAGTGGATTTGACAACAATGTCAATTCGGAGCAAGTGGCTATTAGCTACCAATGATGAGATGTTGCTGAATCTTGTATAACGTATCACCCATTACTCGTTCCATTCATGCAAAACGGCTGAGTTACAGAAACCAGCCCGTCTGCATCTTTTGCTCTGCCAGGGTCCAGCTACTTGGCAATGAACAAAGACCACTATTCATATAGCATCATGCTTACAAACATAAAGGTGCCTGTATCTCCAAACTTTACAATGAAACGTGGGGTTTTTAATAGAGCACTGGGCTCGGCTTGGTCAACAGCACCTTGTGTGAAAGTTTCGCGTTCAATGTCGCAACTAGCCCAAAAAATATTTTTTTGGTCGTCGTCGTCGAAGAGGTCGACCCCCAGATCCAGTTTGGCTGGTAGCGACATTGCGAAATCTGGGATTGGCAAGCTTGATCGTGAAACTTGTACACAAGGTGCTGTTGGCCAAGCCGAGCCCATTGCTCTAATAAAAACCCCACGTTTGATTGTAAAGTTTGGAGATACATGCACCTTTATGTTTGTAAGCATGATGCTATATGAAGAGTGGTCTTTGTTCATTGCCAAGTAGCTGGACCTTGGCAGAGCAAAAGATGCAGAAGGACCGCTTTGGGTAACTCAGCTAAAAAGTCAGGACTTCAGGGACAATGCATGATAGGTAAGCAACCCTCACTTTGATGTCATACATTGGCAGCTAATAGCCACTTTTGTGCATTCCCAATTTTGTGCATTCTATTGTAGGTGGACGATGCTCCTGCTCTAGACATTCATTTCCATGATTAAAGTAGGTTGATCCGAGCTGATTTGGTTGAGTTACGCTCACACAAGATTATATGGGTTGAGCTACATCGAGCGTGCTTTATGTGCAGAGTGATGTAATCTCTCTTTGACCGCAGCTCAGTCAAATCAGCTCGGATCAACCTACTTTGATCATGGAAATGAATGTCTAGAGCAGAGGCATCGTTCCCATGCAGTGGATCTCGCAACAATGATGATTGGATAAAAGTGGCCGTCAGCTAGCAATACATGCCTGTTCCTAGATGATCTATAAAGTAATTATACATTGACCCTTTCATTCATGCAAACGTAGCTGTGTTACACAACACGACCCTCTGCATCTCTTGCTCTGCCAGGGTCCACCTACTTGACAATGAACAAAGACCACTTCTCATATAGTATCACGCTTACAAACATAAAAGTGCCTGTATCTCCAAACTTTACAATGAAACGTGGGGTTTTTATTACAGCAATGGGCTCGGCTTGACCAACAGCACCTTGTGTGAAAGTTTCGCGTTCAATGTCGCAAACAGCCCAAAAAATATTTTTTTGGTCGTCGTCGTCGAAGAGATTGACCCCCAGATCCAGTTTGGCTGGTGGTGACATTGCGAAATCTGGGAATGGCCACGATGAACTTCATACTTTGACACAAGATTCCTTTGACCCCGCCGAGCAGATTGCTCTATTGAAGACCCCACGTTTCATTGTAAAGTTTAGAGAAATGACTGTCTTTATGTTTCCCTTATGCTGTAGGCGTGATGCAGCGGTTTCCTTCTAATGGATGATGTCGAGAAGCACTATGGGCAAGATGAAGAACTCAGAGTGAAATGGCACGTGGTGGTTACACACACGCGTCCTTGACAGCTTGCTGCACAAATGGGGGATGATGTTGTCGTTAGGAATGTATGTAAACAGCACCCATTCATATAAAAAACATCACCAATTATGACCATGACAATGACAACGAATTTATATAGAAACATCTTGTATGTTGGTAGGGGAGGCATGTAGCAGTGGTTGCACAAATCCAGCAGGCGTGTCGATCTGCATTGGTGTGCACGGACCTGATAGAGACATCAATCCCACCAGAGTAAAATCATGAATAGTGTAATTACAAAATGTCAAGCAGTGGTTGTCATTATTGACCGAAGTGTATAGGATATTGTCAATGCATCTATGCACAGCAGCAACGGTAGCAAGCGGTGTGGCGTGGAGTGCGCAATTAGGAATAAAGGGGGAACGAACAAAGAGCCCCTTCTCCTTCACTCCCGCTTCACAAAGCAAGGTAAGCTTGTCTCCATTTACGAAGTAGAGCTCATTGACTAGTGTCATTGCCTTCAATGTACAGTGTCAATGGGTGAACAAGTGGCCAATGGTGACACTTCCCAGTTACAACAAGTACGCGCGCGATCTACCCTTGACTACAGCTTCCATGCCAATTTGCCAATACAACATGTACGTTCCATCGCTGCATATGTTTTATTATCCATGTTGGGTATTGTGATACTAAAGTTCAAGGATAGTTTTCTGCTCTCTCGTTTATAAAAGTCCCAAGGGTCTGTCGTGTGTCGTGTGTATGTTTGCCATGGCTGTCATCAAGGAGAGCTCCCCAACACATAGCTACTTTGGGTATGTTGACACGAAAAGTGATGCCGACCTTTTTATCTTACGTTGCTCTACTATAGATTGAAAAGTTGCTTATGACATCTGTGGCAGCAACAAGACATTGATCTCAAAGCAAGGACGCTGGACATGTGTTTCATTGGTACGTAGGATGGTATCGGATCTACAGCAAGGCTTGTTAATTAATGAGCCTTTGGATACAACAGCAGCTGCATACTATGGATGCTGTGGAGATTTGGCTATTTGGGCAAGAATGGTATTGAGAAATACCCAAGGTAAGGTGTTATCCTGGATGGTTGCCGTCAAAGTGAACTCATGAAAAGAAATAGGATAGTAGGCTCTCACTCGGCTATTGCTATTATCACACACCGCGTGAAGGATCCCAACTCTCAAGGGGAGACGACCATGTTGTGCTAGCTGAAGTCGATCCCAATCACGGTGCCTCGTCAGTTTAAGCATGCATCCTCTCTTCGTTCAACGACCACCAAGTATGGACTCCATCATGAAGGGCTCGTTCTTGTGCGCCATAGAGAGAGAAGATGGGGATCTCTTTGACAACATGCAGGATCCACGGCTCATTGTGGTGTCAAAGTCGGCTGGTGAAGGGATCTTGGCAAACGGATTACTTGTGGTTTGGTGTTTTTTATCACGTTTCCACCAGGAATGGCTAGTATGCAGTCTTGGTACCTTGAAATTTTTGGCGGCGGCGGTGACATTTCTAGTGGATAACCATCACCCTGTATGAGAGATTCAAGTACGTATCATCTCAATGCTTTTGAAAACCTGTGCTGAAATGTGTGTTGTATAGGTAAGCCACTACTACAAGTAACCTACTTCTATCGACAAGGCCTATTCCATCATTGCTAGGTATGTACATATCATTTCAGTGCTATGAAGGAATGCTTTCCAACATGTGACCTTGTTAGTAGCATGGAGGTTATCTTGCAGCAAGCCTCAGGATGATTACAGCTGTCATTGCAAAGTATCCTCGTTCTACAACTTTGGAACCTTGTGTATCGTACATCTTTGAAGAGGAACATACATCAGAGTCAAGCAACAGCGTCCATGTATTTCGTATCGTCATTATTCATTTGAGCATCTGGTGGTTCTCTCGTTATCGACCTTTGCTGTGATGGGCATTATCCAACGCACATTTCTCATGAGTGGTGGATCATATCCGCAAAGAACAACAACGTTTATATCTTTCGATGTCAGCAAGCTTTATCCTACCATCCATCTGGTGATTATGCCTGTGATCGGCAACTCGATTGATGGATGCCTGTCTGCTCTCGTCTCTTATGGGTGGATCATACTATATCAGCAACAAGCAACAAGCAACAGCGTACATGTCTATGTGGTGTGGCACATTGCTTATTCGATGCGAAATGACTTTGGTTGTCAAGCAATGTTCCATTTATTTGTAAAGCGGCTACCAGCATTCATCTTTTTATGGACTCCTCTGCAGCAACAAGGAAGGGTACTTTTGATTTGGGTGACACCCGCCACATTCGATCTTCATTTGGCTTTGACTATCAAGCACCGTTCCATTCTCTGTAAAGTGGTTGCCAACACCCACATTTGTATCGCCTTCTCTGCATCTTGTAAGTATGCTGGCTTTGGTTATACCAGTGTGTGCTGTCGATAACAATACACAAATGACTATTGTGATAGCATTTGATCTCCTTGGCGGTATGGGTGTCCCACTACAAGATTCACGCATATATCGCAAAGCATCGTTTTCAGACTTGGGAATTTGTGGATCAAGAGCTTGATGGATCTTGCAAATAGCTTCTTCAATGATCCTCTATAGTATACACGTTAATCAAATTCCTTCATAAACCAATAAAACCTTACCTTGGTTTGTAAGAAACGCTCTAATACAACTGGAACAAGCAACGAGTCATTCTGCTTATTCCGCGGCAGGTCCATTTGGCCAAGTTCGACCATTCTACAATACTGGCCGTTGTACAGTGAATTCACAACCATTTTCGAGCAGTGTGAAGATTCAATGTAAGGCATCTTCTACTTGATCCTTCTTGAGTGTCTTTATCGACGCGATAATCTCTGCTTGATCAACGTGGAAAGCACCTGCAGTGGATATTTTTTTCGTGTTTGTGTATCATCCACTGAGATATAGGGCATGGCTGATGGTGTGGTAGTGCTTCTGGCGATGGTAGCGAAACCTTGAAGACGCGCCATAGCGCTATCAATAGGTTCTTTGAAGTGATTGAGTACCAATTGAGCCTTTGAAATACTGGTTGGATCGTTTTCATTGTTGGTATTGATATCATCATAATTGAATGGTTTCAATTGAGCTGGTACAATGCGATGGTATTGGAAACGAGCTGTAGTAGACTGTGCCGCCTAATCCAGCAATGTAGATGCTCCTCTGAAGATCGTTACATTAGAAGGGATGTGATCAAGCGACGAGATGACTAGGCTTTACCTTATGTAAATAAGGGATGAGCTAGATGTCACAATGACAACAATGAAAATGAAATGCTACGCTATCATAAATATTAGTACATGGATCGCTCACAAAATAAGACCATCACCTTTGAGTTACTCACGTCAACTTTGGCTTTTGTGGTGTCAGCAATCAAAGAGTGATATGGTGGGAGAAAGAGATGTGTGGGGCGACAACATCATCCGTCTTGTTTATATATGCATGATGGGCGTGGGCACATTTACGCGAGCACAAAAAGGAGGGAAGAGTGATAAAACATGTATTTGCTAAGAATGCTGATGGGCTGATAGATTATTGGGAACCTTCACCAACAATGAGACACGCTACAGGGTAAAAGTACGCATTACAAATGATACCTGCCTCCCCTTTATCACGTTGCACTATAATGCAAGTTCTTCATTGTTAGACCCAATAAGCATTTCCAAATTCAGCAATGGACAAGGGATGATGAGATGACACGCATAAATCAACCTCGAAATTAAAAAGGCGGCCCTCTTTTCTTTGTTCCCCTTTCCATCACAACCATAACATGGAGAGCTCAGCTAAAGATTCCCAACCATGGAATCGCCTTGACGACATCGTACAGCTATCTTATACCGTTACAGGCGTAGACGTAATTTACTCTCAATACAACGACACCACCTGGCACCTTCACATCCTCTCGGATCAAAACAAATACTATTATGCGCGGTATCAAGGAGAGACGCAATTGGAAAAGCTTATGGTAAGAACAAGTGAACATGATGACAACATTGATTCACCATACATACCGGGGGTAATATAGCAAATACGTGAACCACCAGCTACATCACCAAGTGATTTCACTCGCTGGCTTTTGGAAAGCATCATTCAAGGCCGATCGGCTGTTTCAGATACCAGAACGGTAGGTATTGTTTGATACCATTCAATTAGGAAAACAGCTGACACAAGTGCATGTATCCATTTAGTTTACAGTGAGCGATCGTTCAACAAAGATAGAGATACCATTGGAGATTGTGGATGATGCAGATGCGTTTCGACGCATATCTTGGAGCCTTCTTCTCAAGGTAACAATACCATACGCTATCACCCACCATTGCATTTGAATTCAAACGTCATCGTCCTGATAGTTAGTTGAGCATGTACAAAACGAAGGATGCAGCATAAAATCATCTCATCAATCTTCAGGCAAAGACGACCAATCCACTACTTCACCATCCTCATTAACTCAAGAAGACTCTGATGCTCTTAAATTGAAACAGCAAAACGAGCTTTTGAATGCAAAGCTTAAGGCCGTAATGACACAGCATCAATCTGAAGGTTAGCTCGCATGAATCCATTGATGATCACATCTCTCATGGACCATATGAATATGTAGGAGTTGCTGATCATACCCCTTCACCGCCTGATTTAAGTACAACTAGCCATGCGCCGGTGAGTCAGCCTGCCGTTTTACAGCCCAGGCGGAAAGGAATGAGTCTTATCAATCCACGTATGAAAAGGTAAATGGGTCATTGTTTCAAAAATGCAAGGTTGTATGTATCTTTAACATTGATTACACAAAGACGACGTCATCCTGGCACAGATGGTTGATGGGATACTCTATTGCGTGTTGAATACATGGATTCATGTAGCATAGCTTTTGACAGTTGCATGAAGCAAACAGAATAAAAAGAGTGAACGTTTCTTTAACATTGTACATTTTAAAGGTATGTCTATCATAGTGGTCCATTGTCTACTAGTGTGATATAATAACGATCACTGCATGGATGATACCTGGATGCTTGTTAATGCAATGCTATATTCATGCATGTAAATGGGCCTCTTACCAGGAATATAGCCGAGGCATGTTAAGCCAATGTTGATGAGGAGATCGATTGAACAGCCTATGATGTATCAAATGGTTACCATGGGAACCATGTGGATGAGGTTTATACCTGCCTCGTTCAGCGAAGACGCCAACAGGAGGAAGAATGACAGCTATCAAGCAACGTATGATTGATCAATACCCACATTACAATATTATACGATCACAAAAGGTAGATTACCCAACGCAAACTTGCATATATCGGTAACTGTAAGTGGCATCGTTGATTGTATTTTAAAAGCAAAAGAAATGGTACAAAAAAGAAAAAGGATTGTAGCAAGGGTAACTAAACTAAAGAAAAGACCCCTCCTTGAATTCGCCATTTACCGATTTCTGCGGTCATACTGATCTCGGTGGTGTCGGGATGAGGATGATCGATCATAACGAGAGCGGTGGGGTGATCGAGATCTTGAACGAGAAGAACGTCGTCGTCGTCGTCTGTCGTCATAGTCTCGGGAATGTCGACTCCTATCATCACTTTTTCTTCTCCTTTCTCTATCAATGCTGGAATCACGTCGTCGATCTCTGGTGTTGGATCTACGGTCATCATCATCATCATCGCCATCTCTACGTTTGCTTCGTTTATCGTCACGATCCTTCTTTGATGCATCGTCTTCCCCATCCGATGAGAGCAAATCATTCCATGCGTTCCAACGACCATCATCGTCATCATCATCATCATCTTCCTCCTCATCACCTTGGTCACGTGTTTTTGCCTTGTCGGGTGATGCATTGTCATTGTGTCCATGTGCTGATTTGACGTCCGTTTTCTTCTTCTTGCGTCGACCAAATTCATCCCATTCATCGCTATCATCATCTTGTCTCGATCTCCTGTATTCGACCACCTCGTCACGTTCCATGTATCCACCACCAGCACCTTCTCGACGTGATTGTTGTGATTCAGAACCTGGCTGTGGAGCTGAACATTGGTTACATGTCTTGCGCCTTGCCCAGTTGATATTGCCGCATCTTTTCAGTGTATGTATGTATATGAGTAACCAAGAAGCCAATGTCTCACTATCAACGTGTTACTTACAATGCGCACTTCCAATCGTTGGCTGAAAAGAGACCCTGATGGATAAAACAAGGTAAACACACGGGCACAATTACAGGCATGTCTCTTTAGTTTGCCTTGTATTTCTCTGCACCATCTTTGCCAATGGCGGATTGCATTCCTCGACTAGGTCGCCTAGATTCGTGTTCTCGTCTCGACATGGTGTTCGTGTGGATCAAAGAAAATAGGGAACAAGAGCACAGCAAAGCGACGCGGAGATTGCGTGTGTGTTAAGGACACGTGCCAAATAGCAGCCAGCATCCATCCCGTTTCCAAGACAACAATGAGTTACTTTTTAGGATCTATCCGATGAGAGTAAATAAAGCATGTCCTTTATTATAATCACTAGATTGATGACCACGTGATGATGTCAATAGTAAAAATGAGCAATGCAGCACCATTTATATATTCCGGTCATGGGTTTTTATGGTGTGGTGTTGTTTTATTTCAACATTAACCCTTGTCTCACCATCATGGTCGTTCTCTTTCTCCTGTAATACAAAGAAATCATGTCATTGTCCAACAAGCTATCGATTCGTGATCTTGATCTCAAAGGCAAGCGTGTGCTTATCAGGTACTCGTTATGATCGACTTGTAGTAGTAGCAGGACATATAAATAACAACGTACATGTATAATAGAGTTGATTTCAATGTGCCCATCAAAGATGACAAGATCACCAACAATAATCGTATTGTGCAAGCGCTACCTACTATCAAATACGCATTGGACCAAGGGGCAGCAGCAGTGATCCTCATGTCACATTTGGGTCGACCCAATGGCCAAGTACAGAAAAAGTATTCGATGGAACCAGTGGCCAAAGAAGTTGAATCATTGCTCAAGAAACCGGTTACGTTTTTGCATGATTGTGTGGGACCCGAGGTGGAAAAGCAATGCCAATCAGCATCAGGTGGTCAAGTTATCCTTTTGGAGAATCTACGATTTCATGCCGAGGAAGAGGGTTCACACAAGGACGCGGATGGCAAAAAGATCAAAGCTGACCCCAAAGCAGTTGAGCAATTTCGTCAAAGCTTGACAAAGCTTGCTGATGTGTATGTGAATGATGCTTTTGGCACAGCCCACCGTGCACATTCATCCATGGTTGGTGTGGACTTGCCTCAACGTGCAGCTGGCTTTTTGATGCAAAAAGAACTCGATTACTTTGCCAAGGTGTTGGAGCATCCTGAGAAACCATTCCTTGCTATTCTTGGTGGCGCCAAGGTGTCTGACAAGATCCAGCTCATTAACAACATGCTTGACAAGGTGGATGAGCTCATTATTTGTGGTGGCATGTCGTTTACCTTTAAAAAGACATTGGACCATGTCAAGGTATTATAAATCTTCTTTACCTCGTTGCCTGTACATGGCGAATAACAAACAACCTTCACTTTTCCTAGATTGGCAAGTCTTTGTTTGACGAGGAAGGCGCCAAAATTGTCAAAGAGCTTGTGGATAAAGCCAAACAAAAGAACGTTAAGCTTGTGTTCCCAGTGGACTACGTGACAGCCAACGAGTTTAGTAATGATGCCAAGATCGGATATGCAACGGATAAGGATGGTATTCCTGATGATTGTCAAGGTCTCGATTGTGGCCAACAATCCAACCAAATCTTCCGTGACGAGATCATGAAGGCCAAGACCATTGTTTGGAATGGACCACCTGGTGTATTTGAGTTTTCCAATTTTGCTAAAGGCACAAAATCATTGTTACAAGCTGTGATTGATGCAACAGCCAAGGGTGCAACTAGTATCATTGGTAAGCAGTTTCGGAAGATGTTTTTTTTTTCTCTTTGGGGGGAGGGAAGGAAGGAAAAGGGGACTTCAATGGTGGTATGTCGTACGAGATGACCCAACCAAGTGCGTGGGGGATCGGCTTACTTTTGTGTATACTGGGGGTTAATATTTTTTATACTCACCACATGATATACTACTATGTAGGTGGAGGTGATAGTGCAAGCGCAGCATTGCAATGGGGAGGTGAAGATAAGATTAGTCACATTTCAACGGGTGGTGGTGCCTCTATGGAATTATTGGAGGGTAAAGAGCTTCCAGGAGTAGCAGCATTGTCATCAAAGTAGTAGTAAACAAGTGATGATGATTATTGTCATCGCATGGAAGTCAAATAAACATTGAGTATCACATCAGCGGCCAATAGAGCAAAGAGGAAAGCTACAAATTAGCGGAATCAGTCACCCACGTGCAATCTAGATTCGTAGACGATTCTCGGAATCCAATCCCATGGTTGCCTACTTCTCTCTTCTCTCTACTTTATTGCTTTTGCTGGCATCCAATCTACAAACTAGTGTTTTTTTATCTATCATTTGACTCTATTTGCTATCTCTTTTTTTTTACTCTACCAAGCACCCAAGATTCCCTTGGAGTGTGTGTCAATAACGTTAAAAGATGCCAAACAGCAATACATCGCCGTCGACGTATACGACCATGATGCGCGTCACCTCGAGTGGCCGACCGTATGCCAAAGTTAGTAATGATTGACATCTATCTCGATAATGTTCCTCTCTCTTGGGTATCAATGGAAATGAAACTGATCATCATCGCTGTTGCTGCTTGCAGGACATGTTTGACCTATGGTCAGCCTTTTTAATTCAGATTCCTCTTACCGATCATCGCTCCTTCTTCCGCACTTATCCTTCTACTTTCACCACTGAAGAAGCCGTCAAAGTCCTTGGCGATCTCAAGTTCACTCACGTCGTTCGTACAGTTGATCCCAACGATCCAACTCGTCATGTCGCAACACGCACTACAACCACATTCAGCATGTCACCCAACATGGCAAAGACCTTGGGCACCTACATTGTCAATGCTCGTTTGTGCGAGGATGCTGTCAACCCACAGAACCGTACCATGAAGGATAAGGGTATATGGCGTCCCACTCCCAAGGGCAAGTTTCTAGCACAAGAATTCGCTCAACGTGCCTATGTATCCATGAGCCATATGCATGATCCCTTGTCGCGTATTGGCAACTTCAAGATATTCTCATTGGAAAGGTTACGTGTGGATGATCGCCTTTCTTTTAGTCGTGTCAACTTGACGAATGCATTCAAGGTAAGAGAGTGGATGATTGCGTAAAAGTATACTCTATACTCATACACAACGCCCTTTTTTTGTCCTCCCATAACCCGGGAATGTGGGTGTGTTACCATAGACGATGATGGCATGGTTACCGACCGAACGATTGATTGCAGATGATCATGCGACAAATGTCAAAAAGAGAAATGCCAACGACTTTCAACACACCTTTTATGGATATCAATGCTTTGAATGGCTATGCGAATATACAACAACAGCATCACCTGAAGAAGCACAAGCGATTGCAGCAGAGTTCGTGTTATATGGATGGATTTGTGAGATCACCGACAAACCCGAGTTGCCTTCGGATGATCCCGATGCACCGCCTTCTTTCAGAATGACACAAAGCACACTTTATTATGTTACTGAACGCGGCCAAAAGGTGCTAGAATGGAATACGGCTTCAATGGATGAAAAGGCTAGCTCTGTTGCTTCAAGCAGTGATCAATCTGTCAGTGACAAATCGGAACTTGTGCAAATGCAACAATCACACGCAAATCGCTTGCTGCCTACTGAAAAGCACGCCAATCCAACAGGGGTCGTCAAGGCTACGATTGCTGAACAGAAAGAAAAGGAGCAAAAGCAACAACAACAGCAAAAGCAACAACAACAGCAAAAGCAACAACAACAGCAAAAGCAACAACAACAACAACAACAGCTATCTCAATCCACATCATCATCCACCCAAACACCATCGTCGGGGAGTAGCACCGGTGAAAATGGTAGTAACAGCAACAACAACAACGCACCCTTGGTACTCAATGCTAAGGACCGCAAATATGATTTCGGATTTTCGACTGATTCGGTATCGGACGAAAGTGTGGGCAACAGCAGCGATGTAAACAATGACGACGACGAATTGGATGAGACCACACGCAAGTTGTTACGACTACGTGCTAAGGGCGGTGGTTCGGATGATGGCAGTATCAGTGCTAGGAGCAGCAATGACAATGAGCATCAAGAACAAGAGGATTTATTATCATTGGGAGCACACAATCAACCGAAGGATATGCAATGGATTCGATTACGACAACTCTTACAGAATCGCTTGCTTCGAATTCATTTCCGTGAATATTTGAAGTCCACGTTTTGTGAAGAAAATGTCAACTATTGGTTGGATTATCAAGGATTGCGAAAGAGGAATCGAGAAGGTGGAAGCAACAAAGAATTGGGGATTGAATGCTATCGGATCTATGATCGATTTCTTGCATCCACGGCTGAAGAAGAGGTCAACATTGATCATGCTTTACACCAAGAAATCATCCATCTTGTCAAGAACAATTTCAAGGTGTCGGCTGGTCCGGCAACAACCGATCTCCCTTTCTCCTCGGGTGCTGTGCAGCAGATTGCATCGGCGACCAAGATACATGTTGTGCACGAGGAGGTGACACTGGCGAAACTATTGCATTTGTATGGCCGCGTCAATGATCATGTTTGCCGCACCATGGCCCAGGACTCGGTACCACGCTTTGCAAAGACTCAACGATATCGCGAATTACTTGCTGAAGGCAAGATCCAAGAGTAGTAATATCATCACAACAACAACATTACATTCATCATGTATGCTATATATGCCCCAAAACTATTTTTCTTTACCCCCCCTTCCTTCCTTATGCCTCTCCTTTATGCAAACGTATATAGCCCCATTATTCTCATCTCATATAGAACAAATATTCTCTGATCTCTCACACATACGCTGACAAATACATGTATCACATAACGCACAGCCGATACCAGGACCTACTATATTGATTGGATATCCGTGCCTTGTAGTGACAAGTGTGATGGGGGGAGTGGGAAGAAAAAAAGAGTTCAGATGTATCTGTTTTAGCATTAGCCTTGTATAACATGCTTGTTGTTACACCTTGAACTCGATTTTTCTTAATCGCCATGTACACGAATGTGTATGTCAATGACAGCTTGGGACCAGGGAGGCTTGTACATATTGTCAAATGCCCAAATTCGTCTCCTTCTCCTTTAACACAAGACTCACATGACCATGGAACAACCATCATAAACATCAACTTCATGACCTGCTTGTTACTGTTTATAGTTGACGCATTTACATGTGTGATGGCAGTATTTGGGGGGAGGTGGAGGTGTGTAATATGGTAGTCAGCAAGGGGTGATATTTGCTAATAACAACCAATAAATGAGTTAATGGCGCCGAAAGAAAAACAAAGAACCCGAAAAGTATATCCGTAAAGAAAAGAGACCACCATTGAGAACCAAAAGTGTGGTATGATAAAAAAGGGGGGATTGAACACAAAACTGTCTGTGCACGGCATATACAAAAGCAATACGCGAAAAAAAGATCATCATCCCGCCATACCGATGCTCCTTGTAAAATTTTTCATGATATTGATACTGATGAGTAGTAATCGTTGATACATACATAGGAGAGACATTAAAGACGTAAACGTGTTCTTTGTGAGGATGTCTATTCCATGCACTATTCATTCATTGTGTCATGGATGGCTACACAAAGAATTGCCTATCAAAGTAAAAAGGCTTCATCATACACGTACACCACTGCCATTATTAAACACCGCCTATAACATGGTCGTCGTCATCATGAGAAATGGATATGCATCTGAGAATTCCTCTTTTATGAACCCTATCCATTTTAGTCGTGATATGAAATGTCATCTTGCATACGGCTAATTTAACAGGCGTACAAAAAGGAGGAGGAATGAGAATTGAATCGACCGGATAAAACCTCGCGTGGTGCAAACCGATCTAATGATATCGAGATATGCACATCAAGATCCACCACCGCCCAAAAGCGACATTGGGATTCCGAAGTAGCGGTTGATCACATTTCTCTTGCCCTCCTCGCTTCCGATTCTTCCGCTTCATATGTCCAAAAAGCCGAGGATCATGATGATGGTACCATTTGTAACGTATCGATCCTTGTCTTTTCTTTTCTACTTCCGCTTTTGATCTTGTGTCATAGCAACACCAATTGCCATGGCAACCAAAGCAAGGCTGATCGTTTATCCTCCTCCATGGAGCTGTAAATCATAACCACACCCAGCAACGTTCTTTTTTCCCATACATCGATTGTGCCATGAAATGAAGTCGTACAACGTTAAAAGAAGCTATAGACCCATACCCATGGTTAGGAGAAAGACATTGCGGGGTAAGTACCTGGAAAATGGGTTGATGTGGAACGTAAACGAGACACCACCACGCGAGAAAAGGTGTCCCAGCAATTGGGTACGACTGAGATGTGAAGCGTTTCTTCCGTCACACAAGCATTGAGAATGGTGAGTAGTGCATAACATTACGTTGGATGGTACAGTAAGCATTTTTTTTGTTCAATGAGTCATTCATCTTCGATATATGCAAGTACCATGTGCAAGATCTTTTTCTTGTTACTAAGTAACAGGAGTACTACTGTAACCTAGCAAGATTAGCACCGCTCGTGGTGGATACGACGCATAATGACTTCGCTTTAAGAACGCCCATGCGGATGAGTATATATATACATGTAGCCCCGCATCACCTGCTCCTTAAGCGAGATCAATGGGAACCTCCAAACACTACATGGAAGAGAGGGAGAGGGGTTGATGAGGCAAAAGGTTAGGGTGAAATAGCAATGTCGTCGTCGTCGTCGATCCTTGATAAAAATTACTACCTTGTGCTTTTGACTTGTCACATATGCGGGGAAGAGGGATGCTTGTCAACTCGATCATCCTTGTGCGTACAACCGATATTGTAAAAGAAGATGGTGATGATCACCCATGTGCATATAATAATGTTTGTGCTGACCACCAGTCGTCGATAAGCAGCGCGTGTTACAAGGGACCAATGTATCCAGCATCAACAAAACAATGCTGCATCAGTATCCATACAGCTCCTTCTTACATATGCACATACTCCCTGCAATGCATCTCTTTTCAAACACATACACTCCTTCTCCGTCTTTTTTTATCCTGGTGTACTCTCAATAGCGTACATACCACCCTCCACTACTACTACTACTATAGTCCCCTTGTATCGGGTCGGCTTACATTTACACCACCACCACCATCACATTTAGCTCCTAAAAATATATACGCACCCACATGCATGTAATAATAGCAACTTTGAGAGATATTATGTATGACATGACACAATTTAGAGATGATACAAGGAATGGCTCTTACAACACAAAGATGATGGTGATGATGATAATCTCTGCTTTGATTGCCACCGTCGTTTCCGTGCTACAGATGCAGCTGCAGCGGCTGTGGGTGGTAATGAGATGAGGTATGCAGTAGAACACGGCCTGATTTCTTCTTCGTCGTCATCGGAAGAGGAATCATCGTCATCATGATAATCGAGACATGAGGATGAGGTTGGTGTAGAATGAACACGACGACATAAAGGTGGTTCAATTGAGTCATCATCATCAACCATCATTGTTACATCTTGTTGGCTATGGTCGTTGTTGTGATTGAATGCTGATGGTAAATGAGGTGTAGAGTAAGTGCTTCTTTTTATCGTACGCATAGATGCCATGTTCATCCTAGGAGCTGTTGGTATGCTGTTGTGTCTTGTTGTGGCTGCTTTGCTTCGTTCCTCTTCTTCCTTGTCAACAACCGGAAACAAATGGGTGGACATGGATGCAAAAGATGCGTAAAACGGTCTCTTCTTTTTGACTTGAGGAGATGACAAGGATAAGGATGATGATGATAATGTAGGTTGTTCATCATCATCGCAATAGTTGTAGTTATGCCTTCGTTTCTTAAGTCGACTTTCGCGAACGAGATCTGAAAGATAAGTGAGCTGTGAAGCAGCATCATCATCCTCGTCATCGGTATCAGCTGTATACAATGATGAAGCCGAAGCTGTGCGGGGATCAATAAATTCAAGATGGTCATCCGTAGTAGTAGTAGTTGCAGACCACAAAGGAGTGGTGCGTAGTTTGATAAAACGCGAGGCGTAACGCATCATGTGATGTGTGCTGGATGTCATTGAAAAAGTTGTATATAAGAAAAAGAAAAAGAAAAGGAAACTGCGAGAACAGACTTGTTTCATACTTTCTCTCCCTCTGGGGTATTAAAAAACGTTTTTGAGAACGACGACCCTGTTCTCGACAAGATCCAGGAGTAAGCACCCTTCTTTACTTTTTTCTCCTGATCCACACCGCCATCTTCATCTGTACGACATTGTGCCAGGTCTTCGGGTTGGTTGTTGTGGGCTGCTGTAGTATTCTTCTTCTTCCCACCACCACCACCACCATGCTACTCGTTCTACCATTGCCGATCATCTTTTTATGTGTTGCTAGGCTGTTTCATCATTGGAGATACTATCACGTTCTTTATAAATCTTCTTCATCATTAATGCACTACGCTATTTCTTGCATACGCCGCTTTGCAGGTCGCTTTACATATCACACATGTGGCCGTTTCTACTTTTCTCCTCCTAACATGTAGGAGTATCATTATCAGTGGTAATGTTATTGAATATGGAATGAAGAGGATGGTAAATAACAACGCTAAGTTAGCGGGTATGTAGAATACACTTGTCCATGACATTTACGAAAACAGCGCCTTCATTGCATGTAAAACAATAAATGCATATGGATTGGGTGGATCGACTAATATATTTTTGGGTCTAATACGTCTAATCTCTATATAAAGTTCAATCAGAGTCTATCCTCAGACAACCTTGTTACATATGCTCGTCATGTGTGCTCGTATGATAGCTCCTAGACCCGTCATTACTGGTATTGCAGATATGCTTGCATGTGCCGACTTGCATCGGAAGACCAATGGGTATCCAATGAGAGGGATCAAAGTCGTCGGAAGGTTCCGGTGCATGTTGATGTTTGGGTATTTGGTGGTGGTGCTGCTGCTGGTAAATGAATGACTTTCCTTTTAGTGCAATTAATCCTAGACTAATGATTAGACGATGCTCAATTTACAACCATCCCCATAATGGGGAACACGCCGCAAATAGAAAGAATGGGGGATGAAGGTTTGGATCAAGGAGGAAAAGAGGAGAAAGGGACCTGTACCATTTTACTATTTGAAAGTCAGTTTGCATGAATACCATAACCCTGCTGTAGATGATGTATGTAGCAAAAGTGTGAATACGGATGTCTTGGCGACATGTATCCAAGGAAACATAAACCAATCCATGTTGCTATAATCGTTGGTGATAAAGGTGGCGCTACAATTGGAGTATTAATCAACCCAGTAAATAGTGGTGCGTTGTTGTTTTATTTCCTTTCACCGATTGTTTCCTTGTTTCCTTTTTCTCTTTCTTGAACAACACAACCCGCATACCTCCCACACACACACGAGCCCCACTCATTAATCGCCGTGTCCTCATGCAAAAGCCTGCATCGTCATCGTCTTGTTCCAGTAATCCTTCTCCCATTCAACAATGCCGTCCTCGCCGTCAAAGCGTGTCCATTGCGGCTGCCGCTTCCGCCAACAGAAAAGACGACTCGTATTTGACAGCTGGCACCTCTTTGACACCATGGAAAAGCGCTGATAGCTTAATATCGACCAGCCATGACCAGTCATCATCATCGCCATCATCATCATCAAGAAAGAAGGATATGCATAATCTTTTTACGGATAATGTGCCATGGAGTATCACCCAACGGCTACGTAAATTCTCCCTATCACGGCCTACTTCATCATCAGCAGCATCGTCTTCTTCCTCCAAACACCCAACGACACCCACTGTTGTGGAGACACATACCATCAACAAGGATTATGATCCAACGACAGGCAATAAGATACTCAACAGCAAATACATGATCGTTCGTGAAATCGGTCGAGGCGTACATGGCAAGGTCAAATTGGCTGAGGATATTGAATCACATGATCTCGTGGTATGTAATAATAGCTAACTACAAGTCTATGATAGGGTGGCTGATGATGGGTATAATAGGCTATCAAGATTGTTGATAAGAGAGCACGGCAAAGGCAACTTGGATACAATTTGCTTCGAGGAGGTGGAGGTGGTGGTAATAATGTAAATGGATCTGGTGGACACATGAATGCTACAAGGCGCCTGGCGGATCAATATCGAGAAAACGAGCAAAAGATCAGAAGGGAAATTGCTATCCTGAAAAAGTGTGCACACCCACATGTTGTTCGATTATTGGAAGTGATGGATGATCCAGCGAGCCACAAATTGTATATGGGTAAATTATCAAAGTAGCATGTTATGAATGCATCATGGCTAATTGCATACATAGCTCTCGAATACATGGAAGGAGGTGAGATCCAATGGCGAGATGAAAATGAAATGCCGGTAATGGTTATGGAAGAGACTCGATCCATCTTCCGCAGCGTTGTCAGTGGTCTGGACTATCGTAAGTTTACGAGAAATGTGGGTTCTATATGCATCATTTCGATCCTGACGTGGGTAAATCTAGTGCATTATCAAGGCATCATCCATCGTGATATCAAGCCTGCGAATCTATTACTGACACGTGATCGGGTGGTCAAGATTTCAGATTTTGGTGTATCTTATCTCAATGAGCATTTGGCGGGCAATCAACATTCGATACGAGAGGAGGAAGAAGAGGAGGAGGAGGAAGATGGATGTTGTGATAAGATCGATCGAGAACTTGCAGAAACAGCTGGCACACCGGCTTTTTTCGCTCCCGAACTTTGCTCGACAGGGGGAGAAGATATGGGTGATATCAACAACACAAGCCATCGACGCCGTCATCGCATTACGAAGGCTATTGATATATGGGCACTCGGTGTCACGTTATACTGCTTTGTCTTTGGACGGTGCCCCTTTACAGCAGCAAATGAATTTGAGCTCTTCAACAATATCCCAAGGGAACCATTACAATTTCCGGACCCAAATGAGATTGGATTTGATATTTCAGATGCACTCAAGGATTTATTATATCGATTATTGACCAAGGATCCAGAAAAGAGGATAACCCTTGAGCAGGTTAAGGTAAGAAAGAACGAACAATGGATGCATTCATTCATCGTAAACTAAAACTTTTGCCTTGTGTAGCATCATCCATGGGTGATTGGAGATCTTGATCATCCAGAGCAATGGTGGCAAGAAGCTGATCCATGTCGGTACAAAGCTGTGGAAGTTACGGATGATGAAGTAAACCATGCGGTGACAATGATGGTAAATGACTTGCATGAATTAGGAGAGAGAGGGAGTACATCATCAAATGACTCACACGCATTTGCAGGATCGAATCCGTAAATCCATTCAAAAGTTATCATCATCGCTTTCGCATTTGACACAAGGAATCACTCGTAAACGATCCAAAACAGTATCCTACTCTTCTACCAATGACAAAATCACTCCACCACCATCAGCGCCTCAATCTGCAACACCAACGAGTGGCAGCAACAACAACAAACAGCATCAAAATCACTCATCATCACCATCATCTTATCACCGACCCCATTCCTCCTTATCCGATGATACCATGCAAAGCTCACGTTACCCATTGGAACATCAACCATCAACCACCACCACAAGTTATGAGGAGAACTCAAATGGATACTATGGCGACGACCGACCCACATTAGATAGAGAAGTGTCAACAGCATCCTCATCCTCGGACATGCCCATTATGATAGGCCGTTATCGTGGTGGATTGGATTTGAAAGGATAATAGAACAATGAGAGAAGGAGCATATATGTGTGTTTGTGTTTGTTTTATGTACAAAGAATTCCATTATTTACAAGAGATGCGTATTGGGTTAAAAAGGATCTCAAGGGGAATAAGGTGGGGGAGGAACGGTCATGTCATTGGTGCCATGTTGACGTTGGAGTTGATAATGGAGATGCTGTTGTTGCATCGTGGGTGTGGGTTCCATGATCATAGCAGGTGCAGGTGCTGTAGGAGGTGATGTCGCTGAAGAGGACGTGGCAGCTGACGATGATGATGCTGAAGATGTGTTTCGAACAACAGCAGAGGAAGATGGGTGTTGCTGTTGTTGATGCTGATGTTGTTGTGATGGTATGGGTTGCATGGTAATTGTATTAGAAAATGGATCGCCTGGATCACCTTTGCTCTTGAGCATCCGCACTTTGCGACGATAATAGACAATACCAGCAATGGATACAATGGCCAAAACGGCGACTACCACAACAACAACAATGATGGCAATGTGCACCTTGTTGGTGCCGTTGGATGGTGGATCATCCTCGTTGCCATCTAACGATACGTTGGTGCACTTGTTTTGGATGCACAATAACGAGTTGTTGCACTGATTCGTCGAGTCGCAAGTAGCGTCTTCTTCAAGCCTATCAACGCAAATGCCTGTATCCAAATCGCAAAAGGTAGATGGTTCACAATCGCTGAGATGTGAATCAAGAGGTCGATCGGTATCGGCTGGAGGCCATGGGATAATAGTTTGGTTGTCTTTAATGTGAGCTGTGTCCTCTGAAAGGTAGTGTAATGTCGGATTCGGAGATGTGACACAGGGCGTGTGCCAACGTGCTATTTCACCCACAAAGACAGGCGACTGGTTCGGTTGCTTAAGTACCCATCTTGGCGTGGTATGAGTATCTCATCATCAAAATAGCAATAGATACAAAAAGTATACTTACTGTGAGTTGTGTTGAGGACGACATTCAATAGATGTTGAAGAAACAACGCACACTTGAGAACTATCTGCACATGGCCAGGTACAATTTACCACGACGTGAGCGGCTTGGCATATGGATGGGAGGATTAGATGCAGTATATAAATGAGAAAAAGGAACATGGCATGACATGGAGGGCATCAAACGAGCAAAAGAAGGAGGGGAAGGAAAAGAGAAAAGAAACCCGGTTAATAACAGCAAATGACACCAGAGAAAGAAAAGAATCGCTGGAAAGGTACTCGGAGTTCGGTTGTGCGACCATGGTCCGTGAATATCCATTTCTCTCTCTCTCTTGTTTTCTTGTTTGTGTGCTCTCAAGTATGCTAAAAACACGCTTGTGCATATTTGCCTGGGTATGGGTTGTAAATGTCGATCTCCAAAATGAGACCATTGGGGCGTTTTACAGTCTAAAATGTGTCACATCGTAGTATACCCATCGATGACAATGGAGTTGTCCCCTATTTGTTTGCGTGTTAGTGTCAATTGACGTACACATACCCATGCAGGGACCACAACAAACATTCATCCATGGTGGCTAACGATTGTTCTTTTGGCTTGTCGCTTCCCCGCCAGTTGAGAAAAAAAAGTTTTCCTTCTCCTCTTCTTCTGGCAATATCCATAACGAGTAATCTTGTAGAACGGGGAAGATTGGTAAAGCCGAATATTATCCGTAGTTCTTTGTTGTTATGGATTTCAAATAGTGAACAGCACAAGGCCACTCTACTACATTCAACGATTTTGTTTCTTCGTATTTCGTATGTACTGTGCTTCCCTTTTTTATTTGACATCTTGACAAAGGATGATATACATCATGTGTGTACCTTCCCAAATAAGTTTGGTATCCATCTACAAGCCGAGTGGGCAATATGCATAGGTGCATATGCTTTATGCTGGAGCCAGGCATATACTGATGCTAGCGGGCGATCATTAAATTTGCTTATAGGGCACGCTTCTTATTGGATAACAATTCCAAACATCGGATGCAATTCTTGTCAGCGGACCCGCATGATGATGGTGGGTTGTTGTGTTGTTTTTATGATATCACCCTACAGCGTGCAAATCCATTGATACCTTAAATTCAAGCCAAATGATAATTTTTGGGGTTGCTAGCTCTGTGGAAACATGACATCAACCACCTATGTAGTATAGTGGATCCAAAAGTGCTCGTGTAGAAGATTGGTTGCCTACCACCCATCGTCATCGAATCACTCAAAGCGTGAGTTAATGTAATGCGAGCTATAGTTTTCTCTCTCATAAGATAAAATGTGTTTCGAGGGGTCATGGATTGGCAAATTGCAAAGCCAAAGTGACACTCACCATGCTTGAGGAATATACCACAGGGCATGGATCATGGTGAAGAAGGTCGAACACCAGCGTATATGGGCAATACGATCAAATCTGGTAGCATGGCAACGTTTACGCGGTTGCTGCAACAACATGCTTACATAGAAACGTTATACAAACAAACTCAAATCAATCCAATAGCAACCATTATTAAAGATGCAGGGCTTGCCTTGTATCCAAAGTGCTCCCACTTCATCCGTAGGTCTGTGGGTTAATGGTACGCCGTATCACTGGATGTCTTTATTCTTGGCAGGTGAGAGCCAATTGATGGGCACGGTTACTATTCTGGTTGATGCAAAATGTCTCATATTTGTCTGTGTAGCAATTGATGTGACATTAATAGAACATGTTGATGAGAGATGTTATAAACAATCAATAGTATAGGGCTGAGAGAGATGAATGATGTTGCTAAAGGGTTAAGTACATTACATGTAGAATGACCTATACAGCTTGACACTATGCTGGGCAAGTCATTGTATCAACCCCTGACAAAAGAAAAGGCTAATGATAGTAATAAAGAGCATTTACCTGGGTTGCAATTGCTTGTGTAGCGCTACAGCTTATTTTCGCCATAACAGGTGGTCGCCGCTTCAATGGCACATAAACAGAGGGGACACTTGCCGCACTCTATTGGGTGATGCGAGTACCAGCATGATGGACTTGCTCACTTGATTGTAGTACATGCATACGACGATCAAACGTCCAGACCCTTTATTCTTGTCTCCTTACAATCAAACTTTCTCTCTCTCTCTTCCTCTTTTCTTTTACTCCCTTTTCCCTTCTTTCATCCACAAATGCAAGAATCGATGAGTCGATTACCACGGATATGCGGGTTACGACGATTGGGTCTAGTCTTGGCTCTTCTATTTGTCATTTTCACAGCTACTATTCTACGACCTCAATATCCATTATTCGACCAAGATTTCAGCATCTCCTCATTCTCAACAGCTCCCAATCGTGACAATGTCATTGACGATGACATGACATTACCAGCTTGGCCTGTTCAGGTTGCTGATACGGGCGTGTTGGCGCGTCAAAGCTTGTACACACGTAGCATGTTTACGCCAGACGCCACATCGCATAACCACTTCATCCCTGTCAGCGCAATCATTACTCGCCTGTCGACTGATCCACGGGCCATCCATCATATTGTAAGGCACTTGTTGAAGTATCCATTCATCAAGGAGATCATTGTGGATGATCCATTCGACAACATTGATTTGCAGGTAATCGATAATAGAAGAGCATAGGGCATACAACTGATTGAGTGATGTGTATTATGGTAGCTGTTCCAAGATCTCAATTTCAATGGCTCGACATCCAAGCCTGATGACGATGTTGCATTCCATATTGTACACAACGACAACCGGTTCACAACATGCGCCACGAATACCACTCATCGTACATGCTACTTTCAAGATGATTCGGCACTCAATTTATTCATGGATACGCTTTATACCAATCACATTCGACATCCTCATTTATTGCATGCCAACGTTCGGGCTTCTCGATATCTTGATCATCAAAAATGGCGATTCCAAAACAACAATGGCAAGTCTGGAATGGATATAGGTGATGGATGGATGGGTGGATCAATCAAATCCTTACGTATGCTAGTGTAGATTTACATACAGGATACGCTGATGTCCGGTATGGTGCCATGGCACCTCGTTCCGCTGCCGAAGCCTTTGTTCAACATGACTCGGAGAGTGATTCCGTAGACTATCCGGAAATTCGATTTGCGATCAGCATGAATGAGTATCCATGGGTGCTAGCCAACTCGCTTTTGACACTTGGCCGTGAACCAAAACCTGATAAAGGATACAGCAACCGCCCTAGGATGCAAGAAATTATGGTAAGCAAGTACATGATTGATACCTGGATCATGCAAGATGTATATAACCAATTCCCCACTCATAGTATGATACATTGCGACAACTTGAAGATCGACATCCTGAGGCTACACAAGTGGAACCATCAGTAACAGAACGTGATGCTAGGTAGATCATCCTATGCTAACAAGCAATGTTTGAGTCTAACTTTTATTTCTCAGGGCATCATGTGGCAATGATCGATGCATGTTCACCACCAATTTGAGCCCGATTCCAGATAATCCAGCACTGGTTGGACGAAGATTCAGCACCAAGGATATCACTAGCATTCGACAATGGGAGACGTTATACCACGACATGGACATTCCTATGCAACAACCATGGCTCTCTCATCCATTCCATTATGCCGTTGATCAAGATGCTAGCACATGTTGGAATTCATATCACTGTATGTATCCTTTTATGCAATGGTAAATGATTGACTAACTAGAACCATATGACACAGATCCTCAAATTGGTGATTACGTTGGACTTGATATGGTGGGCACGATGCGAGCAAAGCGCGTGATTCTTGATTTGGGACGTAAAATCCTTAATTCAGATGACCTATTTACCGTGTCAGTCGCCAAAGAATCAAACCATTGGGTAGGTGGAAATTGGGGGAGGGGATCACGTTACATGAATGTTGACAAGATGGGCTGTTGTTTATATTAGGTGAGCTGCAAGATTTCAAAATTGGAGGAGTATCACACGCCAAGACGAGTTGCGATCCGGATCCATGAATGTCCTGGCGTACAAGATTGGAGTTCTATACGCATCACCTTTACAAGGGATCAAAGAGAACCACTTGAACTCTGCGGAATGACGATCGATAATATGGTGCTCTAATCACATCCTCACCAATATTACCTTACATCCACATTTCATTGTATACAATCATTCACATCCACTTCGTAGTATATACCTCCCGCCATACGTTAATAAAGTAACTATCTTACAAGATTAAATCACAAGAAGGAATGTGTGGGACGAGATGAGTGATACCATCTATCTACAGCCTTCGCTCAAGACACAATGAATCAATCAGACCCTTTCTCTTTCATTCTTTTCCCTTTTATCACAGCATTCATAATAGCGGATATACTTCTACAGCTCTGCATCTATCTTTCTATAATGCAATGGAACCAACACCCACACACACGGAGAAGTCCAACTCAGGAAGAAAGAAAGTCTCTTAAACAAGAAATGGTTGGCCAACGTAATCCTGTATACGTCAAGGTAACCGTTTAATCCAACATCATTCACAAGGAGATACATTGAGGGGTACAGCAAACTGCTCCAGTGGGGGGATACATCTGTTTGAGAGTTCTCTATCCTTTGAGCATGGATTGTGCAAAGGTGAATGGATGGATGTGGATGGTGTTTGATGCGCGGTGAGGAATAATATGGATGGTGTGTCAAAACATGAAATTGGACAATGATGATGGCTGTACTTGGTTGTCAGGTTGCACAAAGGACGATGATAATAGTAGCTGCCATGGAATAATCAATAGCACCAAGCATAATGGTCAAGTTGGCAATGGATACACTCTTGTTCCACGCGTTGTACATACCCCAATCCCTTCCATCCCATGTACCAAAGTCATATCCATATCCATATCCATATCCATATCCATATCCATATGAATTCGTATGTATTGAACAAAGTTGCTACACGTAAATAAAGCTGCTTCTACACAAAGGCTATCTGTTGTACACGTAAAAAAGGCTGCAAAACAGGTTGCTGCAAGTAAAGAACGCTGTTGATACAATGGTGCAATAACCTTGCTAATGGTAACTGCTGGAATGAATGCTGTTACGTTTGATTGTGATCGACGAGTGTGCAAGAGCGTGTGTTGTGTCAAGAGACTCGTGTGTTGTAGTAGAGTGACAAAAAGGCTGTATACACGCCATGGACTTGCCATTCAGTTAAAGACAATCGGATCAAGACAAGTGCAGGATTGACATGATGGGTTGAATAAGGTCAATCGTTGGCAGGTGGTAGTTGTATACTTGAATGGGCCAACAGTTGAGAATGGGAGGAAGAGACAAGAAGTTGTAGGGAGTGGAAGAAGTGGAAATTAAAAAGGCGGGACACCTCCTGTATAAATGCATGAACACTGTACATCAAACCTTGATATTGAGATTCCCCCCTCTCGAACCTGAAGTTTTCACACAAGGTGCTCTGGGACATGCTGATCAACGCTATTCATTTAAAAACCACAGGCTTCATTGTGAAGATTTAAAATGCGGGGTGGCCCAAATGTAGGAGAGGCGATGAACTGCGGGGGCATAAGAGTGGACGGCCCACCGCCCCGAAGTTGCCTGCTTCCAACTTGAAAATTGGTCAGAAGGGTGCTCCGAGCATGTTGATCAACTTTTTCTAATAAAAACCTCACGCCTCATTTGAAAATTTGGAATGGGAGCGTCCAAAAGTTTGAAAGACGGAGACATTCGCAGGGTCTGCGATTCATTGATTTTCATGTTTGCTCTTCCAGCGTAGCTCAGTCAAATCGGCTCGGATCAAGAAACTTGAATGATGGAAATGCTCGGCTGGAGCAGGAGAATCGTTCACATGCATTGGTTTCGGCAACAATGGTGAATGGGAGGAATGGGCTGTTAGCTCGCAATGTATGGGCTATTGTCAATAGTATACAGTATCATCCTTCTATCCTTCCAGCCATGCAAAGTAGCTGAGTTACACAAAGAGGTACCTCTGCATCTTTTGCTCTGCCAGGGTCCAGCTACTTTACATTAAACAAAGACCACTTCTCATATAGCATCACGCTTACAAACATAAAGGTGCCTGTATCTCCAAACTTTACAATGAAACGTGGGGTTTTGAATAGAGCAATGGGCTCGGCTTGGCCAACAGCACCTTGTGTGAAAGTTTCGCGTTCAATGTCGCAACTAGCCCAAAAAATATTTTTTGGTCGTCGAAAAAAGTTTCAAGAGGTCGACCCCAGGATCCAGTTTGGCTGGTGGCGACATTGCGAAATCTGGGATTGGCAAGCTTGATCGTGAAACTGGCACCCAAGGTGCAGTTGGCCAAGCCGAGCACATTGCTCTGATAAAAACCCCACGTTTCATTGTAATGTTCGGAGATACAGGCACCTTTATGTTTGTAAGCATGATGCTACACTGGGGGTAGTTGCTCTAGACAGAATCTATTTCATAT